GGAGCACCTCCTTCTGGAAGGACTTGGGACTCCATTGCTGCTGCAGGGGTGGGAGCCTGGGCCTATGGTTTACCGGGCTGTGCCTTTCTGGTTATTGTTTTGGTAATTGCTAAATCAGCAGTGTGATGAAACCACTATAGCTTGAAGACTGAGAGGTGGGAGCTCTTAACGATTTGAATGGGACCTAAATGGCATAGTACGCTTAGGACCCAATGGCACATGGCAAGGTGTCAGCTGTTCCTAAAATGTGACCCAGAACAGGCTTTGCTTAACCGCAGTTTGCTTAAGCCTTGTTCCAGAGCTCTCAGTGGAAGACTGATTGAGTCAGTGGCTCTTGGTTTGGTAAAAGTCACCCCCAGAAAACCATATCCACTGCTTTAGACCAGAGGTCTGGGGTTCGTGGCAATGGCTCCTGATTAGTGCAGCCCGCTGCCTGGCCTTGGAATGATCCTCTCTCTCCTGCTCCCTTTCCTTAGCTGTACGGTGAGTACCTAACCAGGTGGCGAGGACTTGATAAGACAACATGTAGAAATGCTTAAAACTGAGCCACACAGGGTCACAACTTGATCCTGTTAGTTCCTGTCATTGCTAGAGCCAATTGGAAAGTTGAATTTCTGACATTTATTTTGATACGCCAAATGCTAACATTTATTTGCATATATATGATTATATTACCACTTCAGAGTTGTAATATTTAAAGCACTTTTGACATCCTATTATACGAAGAAGACACACTCAACTGTAGAAAATGTGGGAACTGCCAACAACAAGAAGAAAATAATGACCATCTGTCATCTCTGATTCCTCACTTTTTCCCATGAGAAAAGCCATTAAACTTTGGTGTTTATGTTTTTATCTTTGCAGCTAAAAATGATACAACCTTAGCGTCTTGTGTGCCAATTTGCTTGTAACCTATTATTTTGCAAGTGATGTATTTGGGTCTGGAGATTTGGGTAAGATTGCAAACGTTTATTTGGTATTGCCATTTTGTTTTGTTTTTTGAGCACTGAGAACCAACCCAGGACCTCACTCTTGCCAGACATGTGCTGAGCCACTGAGCTGAATCCCCAAGCTGATACTATTTTTTGAGAGAAAAGCCCAGGGGTAAGGTGTGTTCTGGAAGATCTAGGGTTGTTTCCCACATGGGTTTTAGCCCCTGTGGTACTGCTGGTGAGACCAAAAGCCTAGCCAGGACCACGACCCAAATAACACAGCAGAGACTTAAAGGGCAGGTAAGTTGGTGGAGGTCATCTAAGTCCAAAAGCCATGGGAACCCGGCCCTGGAGCATGGGTATCGTGGCTCTGCTTACGTAGTGGTTTCACCAAACAGTGGTCTCTGAGATCTATTATCTCTCCAGACCAAGGTTTTGGAATATTTAAATTAATCAGAAAAATGACTGGGTTATCATTATTTATTATCTTTCAAAAACAACAGAGAGAACCATGCACTATTTTAAGGCGAAAAACACAGTTATTTGTATAATTTGCAAAAACACCCAAGTGGCTGAGTGTACAAACAGACAATGGCTAGGTCATGAATCAAAGCAAAACTCAGACACGAAACAGTACAGGACCCTTCCCTGTCCACAGTACTGGCCCTGGAGATCAGCCTGCTATCAGTGAGGCTTTTAGGAAGCTGGACCACTATCCCTACCCAAGTGCCAGGAGGCCAGATGATAACCCTTGTGAACCAGGACACGGCCAGGACGTGGCTGATTTCCTTGTCTCTGCCCCACCTCTGGCTCAGCACTAACCAGAGAGGCACAGAGGCACCCTTACTGGGCATAAGGTGCCCCACTCCTAGTTAGCTGGCTGGCAGCGCCCCACACAGGGCACAGCTTCTAAGCTTCGCTCTTCCACTGCCAAGCCTTCCGTGTGGGAAAGCTTGTGTCTGCCTGGGTCTCCCCGAAAACTCAGTGATTATTGGCTCCTTTGCACTTGCAAGCTCTGAACGACCTTTGTGTTCACTTAGTCTCTATCTTCACACACAAAAATGGGTTCTTTTAAATAAAACTGACAAAGGAAGAAAGACTCTCATAACATGGCTATTTTTAATCCATATTACTATCTTACAAGGAGTTTTATGCCTTGGTTGAGTATCTACTATGTGCAAAACATTCTTCCAGGTGCTGTGTGGGAGACAGATGAGGGTGGCATGGCTCTGGGTGCCTCCTGCAGGAGACAGGACTTGCTGCCTGCAGTCATGAAGGGTTAAGGCACGGTAAGCATTAACAGGGAACCCAACTAACAGATCACAGAACTGGCAGGAGGAGGTGTCCAGTGCTTAGAACAAAACATTTCAAATACAGTAGGATCTGGCTGGTATATATGAATCCAACAAGCTCACCATGGAAAACACTGCAGATGTTCCTCAAAAAGTTAAAAATAGAGGAACAAAAGGCCAAGGATGTAGCTCAGTGGTGGAGTGTGTGCCTAGCATGTGTGGGGACCTAGGTTGAATCTCCAGTACAGCAGAATTAATTAATTAATTAAATTTAAAGCTAGGATTATCACACAGCCCAGCACACCCACTTCTGGGCATATATCCACAGGATCCGAACCTGTGCCAGAGACCGGCACTTGGGCATCCCATACAGCAGGGTTCATAACGGCCAAGGTGGAGAAGCAGTGTAAGTGTCCACCAGTGGTACACTCTGGGGTACCTGGAGGCCAATGAAATAGGGCAATCTGGAAAGTCAAGTACAGTGAGATATAAGTCTGCTTATGCTGCTGTAACAAAATACTAGGTAATGTGTAACACAGAAATTTACCTTCTCATCAATGTGAAGGCCAAGACTAAGACAACACCCCACGGTGAGGGCTTTCTTGCCATACCTTTGCATGGGAAAAGACACAAGGACAAACATACTGTGTGCTTCTGGGGCAGAAAAGCAAGACAACAGGGTGCTGCCTGCAGCCTCCTTCCCAAGAGCGTGAATCTGATTCATAGCATAGAGCCCTAGCGATCTAAGCACCTCTTCAAGGCTTCACTCCAATACCTGTGTTATGGTGGAAGTTTCCCCTGTAGGCCTGAGTGTGGAAGGCTTGCTTGCTAGCCTGGGGCACTGTTAGGGGTGTGTGTGGAACCTTTAAGAGGCAGAACCTAGGGGGAGGAAGTTAGGTCAGGGGGTGTGGCCTTGAAGGGGAAGGTGGCACTCTGGCACCTTTTCTTCTTCACCTTATGGCCCAGCTGCCATAAGGTGAGTAGTTTCCTCTACCATGCATGCTCACCATGATGTTTGATGTTGCCACACCCAAAAGCAAGTGGTCAACCAACCATGGACAGAAAGCTCTGAATCTGTGAGCCAACAAAGCCTTTTTTCCCTGTATTGATTACAGTACCTAAGGTATTCTGTTACAGTAACGGACTGCTGACCAAACCTACTATCGCACTGGTAACACCTGGTCTTGGAAGAAGACATTCAAACCACAGCATTGTGAAATGTAAACAAGTCATTATTACAGATGCAGAGAGTGGAGTGCTTATTACAAGGGCCGGGGCATGGGGCAAACAGAGGTGTTGGCAGAAGGGTATAAGCGTTAGTTATAAAATGAGTAAGCTTTGAGGACCGATGTGCCACATGACTGTTGTGCATGTTAGCGTCTTGTTTACTTGAAATTTGATGAAATTTCAAGTATACCCAGGGCCCCCCCCCACAAACACACACACTCATACACACACATAGTATTATGGGAGGTGACAGATGTGCTAATTTGTCCTGCATATCTTGCATATGTAACATTTTAACTTGTTAATTAAACATTTGAAAAATTGTATTCAAATTTTACATTTTGTCACACTCAGGCTTTACCATGGGATAAGGTGGAAGTTCTTTCCTCCTCTCCAAGCCCCATTCCTCTTTCCCTCCTTCAGGGTGTCTTTTACACTTTTTATTTTCTTTTTATCAGTACCGGGAATTGAACTTACGACTGCCTGCTTGGAAGGCAGGTGCTTATGCCGCTGAGCTAAATCGCCAGCCCTCAGGGTGTCTTTTTATGTCACCCTGGAGCTATTCTGGGAAGGTGCTTCTTAGCTAGTGATTTCCGGCAGGCGGAGCAGGGGAGAGCACAGGGCACCGTTAGGTAGGGCGTACAACTGGGGAGGTGAGGAACACTGGGGCGTCTTGCCAGCGGGTGGGTGTCCAAGTGCAGGAGAGGAAAGGCGGACCATCTCGGGACACGTGCGTGGGACCGAGACTGTCAGTGTCTGGGGTCTGACAGAGAAGGGGGCGAGGATGGCTGTGGCTGAGACAGAGGAAAGGCTAGAGCAGTGGGGGAAGGAAGGCCTGCGCGTGGGCCGTGGAAAGGCAATGTGTCTATGACTGTAGAGAGGCACGAAGAGTGCATGAGTGTGACCGTGTACACGCGTGCGAATGTGAGGGGGCGTGCGAACCGAGTCGTGCCGGCAGCCGGAGGAGCTCGGTCGGGTGCTCAGAGTGCGAGGCTGAGTAGGCTGGGACTCGCTCGGGTGGGGAGGCGAGGTCAGCGCGGGGCGCATCAGCTGAGAGGCCTGAGCGCAGGCGGCGTTCACCGAGCGAACGAGACACAGCCCTGGGAACTCTCTCACCGGAAGTATCAGAACCTAGGACCCGCCGGCAGCCTCTGGGAGAACTAGCGGCCGGGCGGGATCGGCAGGACTTTCCGCTCCCCTGACAGAGCCCGGCTCCAAGGCAGCTCCTTGCTTGGGAGTCCTGGAGCCGGGCAGGAGGAGCCATAATTGTTCAACGCGCCTTTCGGTTGATAGGACAGCATCCCAGGGCCGCCCTTGGCTCCTCCCTGTGCTTTAGGTTACGCCCCCTCCGGCCATGATTGGTCAACGCGGCCTTCCCGTTGCTAGGACAATATCCCAGGGCTTCCCCTAGCCCTGCAATGAGATTTTTGCCCCTCCCAGACTCCGCCCCCCCACAGTTCGGGGCAGCCATTGGTCGACGCGCCCTTCTCGTTGCTGGGGCAGCACGTCAGCGCTACCGCTGGTTCCGCCCCGCGCCTCTCGCCCCGCCCCTTCCCGGCCGCGGGGAAGGCGGGGCTGGCCACGTCTCCATGGCGACGGCGGACGCGCCAGAGGAGGTGGCCGGTACTTACCGGCTAGCGACGTGGCGCCCAGAATCGAAGCAAAGAGGAGACCATGTCGGATCTGGGCTCCGAGGAGTTGGAGGAGGAGGGAGAGAACAGTCTTGGGGTGAGAGCTCCTGGCAGGGAGAGCTTCCGGGATGCGCGGCGGCGGGCGCGATCCGGAGGTCGGCCTGGGGCCGCGGAGGCGGGGAACTGAGCACTGAGCCGCGGCCCGGTCGGGACGGGACCACGGCGGGCCACACCCGGAGGCGCTGCGTCCTCCAGTGGACGGTGAAAGGTGTAACGCGGTGACGTTTAGTTCCACCGCCCGCCTCGCGCTCCCTCCCTCCCGCCCGCCTCCCATTTAAAGGCGAAGATTTCCAGACCCGACCTCCCGCCGTTTCCTCCCTGCTCTGTGAACTTCCTTGGATCGTCCCAGGCGGTTGAATAAATCATTTCTGTAACTTGAGCCTTGCTCCTGCGGGATGGAGGACGCTGCTTACCGGCAGCATGAGAAATACCCAGAGGCCTGAGCTCAGTAAAGGCGCCCAGATGTCGCCCTGTAGGCCTGGACCCACCAAAACTCCCTCATTGAGTCCCCAGAGAGGAGGCAGGGAACGCACTGAGCAATATGACTTGACCCCTGCGTGCTCATTTGTTTACCCAGAGAGCAATTCCTCCCAGAGCCAGAGAGGCCTGTGCAAGCCGGAGGCAGGATAGGTTCATAATCTACGGGAGAATCGAGCACCTCTTCGCTAACTGGACTGGTGCCTGTCCAGAGCTTGTTGCTGGCTCTGTGGTTCCATCTCCTGGCTTCTGCCTGTCCTGTGTCCAGTGGAATGACCTGGCCACTACGGAGAGCAAGAAGTGCCCGGGACTCTCCCTTCCTCTCCCCTCCCCCACAGCCAGGGCAAAGACCTGGACAGACCAAACCCCAGCCTCACCACACCCCCTCCCTCCGCCCCCCTTCTGCAATCAGTCTGAAGCCTGTACTCCTAGGCTGCACCCTCCGAGTAGTAAAGCTACCTCTTTACTGCAGCTTATTCAGGGGCCCCTCCTGGGTGAATCCAACCTGCATTCCCTGTCTTGTGAGCTTTGTTAGTGTCCACCCGGTTTGTAACTTTAGTGCTCCTAACTTGAAGTTTGGGGTCACTTAGAATAAGGAGCTATTTCTTATGTGGCTCAGGAATGGTAACGTTGGAGGCCTCTCTGAGCTAGGTGGGAGGCAGCCCGCTGTATATTTTGGTTTAGACTTGCCCTGAATTGAATTCTGTAGTCTAGGCAAAAATTTCCAGTGAAACAGGGCTGTTTCTGTCTGAGGTCTTCACCACGCTTACAAATACAGACACCTTTGTAATAAATCTACTTACACAGACCCAGTTCCATGGGGGCTTCAGTTTTAACTTTAAAATAAACGTTATGGTATATGTTTAAAGTATCTAACGTGACACTTTGAACTACCCACGTTGGCCATTTTATTACTTTTTATTTTTTGGTACAGGGATTGAACTCAGGACCTCTTGCTTGCCAGGCAGGCACTGTGCCACTAAACTGTATCCCAGCCCTGTTTTTGTTTTTTGAGATATGGTCTCTATGTAGTTCAGGCTGACCTTGACTAACGATGCAGCCGAGGCTGGCTCAGACTTGATAGTCCTCCTGCCTCAGCCTCCCTAGCACTGGGATTAGAGAGGCACGCCGGCACGCCTGTCTCTGTTATTATATATTCCACCCTGATGTGCTAAGCACTGGGAAATGGCAAGCAAAGTAGTATTATGTTATAGTTTTCTTTTAACTTGGGGAAAAAATTTCATTATTTGAGCTGAGGCCTTGTTCTATGGCCCACACTGGCCTGGAACTCCTGCCCTCCAGTGGTCTTACCCTCCCTTTCTCCACACAGCTGAGATAACAGCCAGGGGATGATATTTGGAGGTGGGAGTGGCGAGCTGAAATCCAGGCCCCATGCATGCTAGACAAGTGCTCTGCCAATGAGTTGCACCCCAGCCCAGCAGACGTCCACGTCAGGGACATAACCACTCCAGACCCAGCTATGCGTGTCTGGACCTTGTTTCTGAGAGGCAGGCGTCCGGGGAGCCCCTGTATGTCCAGCACCCCCGAGCCCTCACCCTCCCATTGGGCTCTTTACAGGACAAAGGGCGCCATAGGAACAGACACCCAGGGGCTCCTGCATGGAGGACCCACTTCTGCTAGAAGTGCACAGGGCTGCTGACCTGTCCTGCCCAAGGTCAGGCTTGGCCCTGTTCACATTCCTGGCATAGGGCTGACTCAGGCTCTCCTTGAGGCTGCACCTCACTGACTGCAGGCTCGGAAGCTGCAGGGTGTGGGCATATCACACGCACAGGCAGGTCACACGCACGGGCAGGTCACACACGCACCTGTGGTGTGGCCTCGGACCGGGCGTAGTTACCCCCCCACCTGTACCTAGGGCCCCTGAGTGCAGTGCCACCCAAGCTGGGGTCTATACTACATGACCTGAGTCGCTGTGGCCCAAACCCCCTCTCTGCAGGAGTATGAAGGGGAGCGCAACGAGGCCGGGGAGCGGCACGGGCACGGCCGGGCGCGGCTGCCCAACGGGGACGTGTACGAAGGCCAGTATGAGTTCGGTCAGAGGAACGGCCAGGTCAGGAGCTGGAGAATGGCTGCTTTTGTGTTTTATTCTCTCTTAGCAAGTGTGTAGTTCGGGAATGATCTCCATGGTGTCAATCCGTGTGTTTCAGGGAGTCTACAAATTTAAAAATGGTGCCCGGTACACTGGACAATATCTTAAAAATAAAAAGCACGGTCAAGGCACTTTTATATATCCAGATGGATCGAGATATGAAGGTAAAACATTGCTCAGAGTTCTTTTTTTATGTTGTGGAGGTTTTTTTTTTTCCCTCAAGCTTGTGCAGACGTGGAAGTATTTGAGAAAGCTTAAATTTCTCTCAATTACTCATTCGACAAACCCAGATTGTGTGCCTGTATTCACAAGGTTGGTACAAAACTCAGGAAGCCTAGAAGCTAACTAGCTAACCAGTTAGTTAACTAGTGTGGGAAACGCCCATGGTCTCTGAGGCCAGCACTTGCCCTCCTGGAAGCCTGGTTCTGGGCCCACCCTTGGGCCACAGCCTGCAAGCTCTGTGCCTCAGTTTCCTCAAATTGTCCTTGCTGCCCCTGCTTCTCGCCACGCCCTCTTCACGTGCACTTGTTGTGTGTCTTTGAACCCATTGGTTCCTTCCTTTGCATGGCTGGCTTTCCTGTTTCTGTCCCAGTTCTATCAGCGTGGCCTCTGCCATAAATGTTGGCTAGATCTCTCCGACAGCTGACTGCCAGCGTGGCCCCTCCTAGCTGCCTTCCTGGGGGCTCCATGTCCTGTGTGGTCAGCACCTTGCAAGTCCTTGAGGCCATGTCCTCACCAGCCTTACTGGCAAGAGACTTCGTGTTATTTGTAACTCACCTTGTGGTTTTGTCATGGTCTTTGGTTGTGAAGAAATCAAAAGATGTCTGTGTCCCAGTCGAGGTCTCTTTACCACCAGGGTGTGCTGAGTCTTAGCTCGCAGAAGCCAGTTTGCCTTTGGTTTTTTGAGACAGGGTCTCCCTGTGCAGTTCAGGCTGGTGGTGAGCTCACTTTGCAGCCCAGGCTGGCTTTGAACTTGAAGTGATCCTCAGGCCTCAGCCTCCCGAGTGCTGGGATTATAGCTGTGCACACCCAGCCCTATCAGTTTCCAGTTTTTGATTCCGAGTCTCTGTTGCTCACACTGTCCGCCCTGTCTTCCTTCTCACCTGCACTTGTCCGAACCGTGGTCCACTCCTGAGATCCTGCAGTGGGGTCCCCCCTCCGCTGACAGCTCTGTCACCAGGCGGGTGCAGGCTCCTTGAAGACCACGCTGGTGCCTCCCAGAGTGCTCAGGTTGTGGCGAATAATGTGGGGATGATTGAAGAAATATGTGAAAATTCCTTGTGCAGATAAACTCCCGGACTTGTTTCTAGGAGCAGGCACTGCTTGGGCAGTTTGCCCCGCATATTGTGGTGCTGGACCCCGTTTTTATGTAAGGCAGAAGCTGGAATAAGCTTTGGGTCTTCTGGAAGAAAAAGAATATGAAATATGCATGAATCTTTATTACTGATGAGAAATCAAAATCAATTAAAAATTTAAAAGGCCACAGGCCACACAGCACCCTTGGAGGTGACCTGGGGATTTTTGAATTAGTGCCTGGCGCTCTTGTCCACTACCTGCCACTACCTGTCTGTCCTCACAGCTCTCCAGTATCGTCTATGGGGAGAATAGAGGCTGCTTCCTTCGTTTCCATCCGATCAATGCATTGATCAGTTGGTTTCTACTTATTCACCTAGTGATTTGTTCCTGGCGATGCGAGAACCCGTGATAGAAATGTCCGCTGGGGAGCCTGGCCAGTGCCATTGGTCCCTGAGCGGTCAGTGAACCAGAAATGGACCCGAAGTTCCCTGTAACTGGCTGCCCAGCTTCGGCTGGCCTCGGGATCCGGGGGACTTGAGAGTCTCCGTCTTTGCTGGTTTCAGTGTTTCAGGACCTGGTGCGGAACATCTGGTTTGCAGCCATGTGTGGGGGTGGCCTTCTGTCCTCCCTTCTCCTGCCCCTCCGTCTGTCACTCGGGCCCCTTCCCTTTGGGAGCCATCTAGCTCCCGACTCCCTGGTGTCTCTTATTTTGCTCTTTTTTGTTGTTGTTTTGAGACAGGGTCTCGCTATGTGGTTTGGGCTGGCCTTGAACTCACTATGTAGCCCAGGCTGGCCTCGAACTTGGGGTGACCCTCCTGGCTCCCCAGATTGCTCCTTATTTTTATGCCAGGTTTCTCAGTAAAGAGAAACCATGTGACATTAAAGCTCATGAGTCTGATTTGTTTCACTTAGGATTATGGCCTCAAGATGCACCCTTTTTCCTACAGATGACTCAAATTATCCTTCTTCACGGCAGATTAGGCTCCACAGTGTGTAATGGCATACTTCTTTTGTCCATTCATCTGTCGATGGACAGAGAGACCACTTTCAAGGCTTAGCTATTACGAGCAGTGTTGTTGTAGACATGGGCGTGCAGGGATTGCTGTGATATGATGACTTTGACTCTTTAACTCTTTCGGGAAGGTAGCCAGAAGAGAAGCTGGGAATTTCTAGTTGTGGTTTTTTTTTTTTTTTTTTTTTTTTTTTTTTTTTTTTTTTTTCTGTCTTTTTCCTTTTTATCGGTACCAGGGATCGAACTCATGACTACCTGCTTTACAAGGCAGGCGCTTATGCTGCTGAGCTAAATCCCCAGCCCCTAGCTGTGGTTTTCCACTTTTATTTTTCTAGTTTTGGTTTCTGATTTCCACAGTGTTTGTACTGTTTTGGGTCACCCCCCCCCCCCACCCCGCAGCCTCGCCAGCACTTGTTGTTACTTGAGGGTGGGGTAGGGTGGAAACTCCGTGTTGTGTTAGTGTGCAGTTTTCTCGTGGCAGTCAGGCTCAGTTTGAACGCTGTCTCTGTCCCAGGCAGCCCATGAGAGCCACACATGCACAAGTGGTGTGATAGAAAAATAGGGCAAATGCTTAAACTTTAAAAATGTATTAGAGTCACAGAGCATCGGTCCCACCAAAACCCTCCCCTTGCTTTGCACACACCCCGCCCACTGCGCTGGCCCCTCCTGTAGCAGCTCTGGAGCCCTGAGGGTCTCTGGTTGTGTTGTCCTGGCTGCCTCCATGTCCTGACCACTTTCATGGTCACTGTGACTTGGGGGAGGAGCAGGCAGTGGCCCAGTGCCAGGTTTGGTAAAAGGTGGGTGAGGACACTGTGGGGTTTGTGGGAACCCTGGCCTTCCAATGGTTGGCACACACACTGTGTTTTTGACCGCACCACTTAAAGACGCTTAGAAAAGACGACTCCAGAGCTGCTGCAGAAAGCGACACGAACAGTGGGGTGAAAAGCAGCAGGCAGAATTTTGAGAGGATTTGTGGTAATGTGTCTTTTTCTGTAATAAAATTTTTAAAGTTAAATACCATAAACTTTGACCCCCCTTGTACACTACCCTAGGCCAGTGGACCCCACTCTGCCTGGCCTCTTTCAGGTCCACAATGGAAGGGGGTGGAGGGAGGTCACAGAGCAGGGTTACCATGGTGGCTCCACATTTGTCCCGCAGAACTTCCTGAGCTCACTGCCAGGGCCCTCGGTGCCTTCAGAGGGGCCTATGGCTCTGTCCCTTTCTTCTCACTGGGACTTCATGTCGCCCCTCGCAGGAGAGTGGGCAGATGACCAGCGGCATGGCTATGGCGTGTACTACTACGTCAACAACGACACCTACACCGGGGAATGGTTCGCTCACCAAAGGTTGGCTCTCACCTCGGCCACCGCTGTATTTATGGGACTAGAACCGTGACACCTCTGCTGCACCCCTTAGAAAGCAAAATCCTGACAGACCCCATTTACAGGCTCCCCCAGGCCCTTCCACAGCGGGGATGGAGGGAAAGCCACGCAGTAGGTGCCGCTGCCTGGCAGATCCTCTTCCCATGAGCCCTGGGGGTGGGGGTCACAGAGACCCCAAATCAGTGCCTGGGCTGCAGCTCCCTGCAGCTCTGCCCAAGCCTGGCAAGCGGCCAGCCTCTGTGCCCGTGCCAAGCAAGAGGCGACCTTAGGTTGGACACAGAAGCCAACTCAGCAACCCAGCAGGGCACCGGCCTCCCCGAGGCCACCCTCAACCCCACTGCCTGAGTTAGACACCCAGAAGGACTCTCGGGATGCGGACCCAAAGCGCACTGGGCCCTTTCTCTGCCAGGCACGGGCAAGGCACCTACCTCTACGCAGAGACCGGCAGTAAGTACGTCGGCACCTGGGTGCACGGCCAGCAAGTGGGCGCAGCTGAGCTCATCCACCTGAACCACAGGTACCAGGGCAAGTTCCTGAACAAGCACGTAAGTCGGTGGTGTGGGGTGGGGTGGGGGCTCAGCCCTGCCACGGTGCTGGGGAGCGGGGGGAACCGCAGGGGAATCTCCCTGTCCCTCATAGATACTGGTGCTGGCTGCTGTGCCCCTCAGATGCCCGCAGAGGTGGAGGCAGGTGGTAGCCACTGGGGGCCCCCAGCCACTCCCTGTTAGGACACGGGGTCGCCTCAGACTCTGGTGGTTCGTGCCCCTGCTGACCTGCGCATCAGAAGTCAAATACCTATTTCCTGCAACTCTAGCCTGAGCTGGAGCTCTGCTGGAGCCCAGGAGGGAGACCCCAAGCTCTGTCCCCTCCTGCCAGCCAGCTCACTGCAGGCACTTGGGGGAGATTTGGGCAGTGGCTGGGTCTCTGGTTCCCTGCTCCAGTCCCACTGCCTTGGATGCGCTTGGACTTCTCATAGCAAGGGGTCGTGGGGTGCAGAGGAACCCCAAGTAACCACATGGGCATGTGCGGTGGCTTTGGTCAGGGCGCAAAGGGAAACTGCCCCTGGGGTGGGGCCTTGCTGAGCACAGGGTGGTCTCAGAGGACCACACGGCGTCCTCTCTGGACTCACTGATGGCCCAGTTTTCATGTGCATGGAGGTCATGCCTGTCCGTGGACGTGGCAAGATCCGTACATAAGCTAGACCAGGCTGACCTGAAAAAGCGAGAAAGAAGTGGAGGCTCTGTCCTGCCGTCAGTGAGAGATTCATGTTCTACCAGGCACCCATGTGGGTTTCCCACCTGTAGATCACTGGGATAGGCCCCGACCCTCCTGCAACCCGAGGCTCTACCTCCTTGAGGTGTTCCCACTGGTTCTGACTCTGTCTCTGTCTTTCTGTCTTTGTCTGTCTGTCTGTCTGTCTGTCTGTCTGTCTCTCTCTCTCTCTCTCTCTCTCACACACACACACACACACACACACACACACACACACGGACAGAGTTTATGCTGAATCACAATTTTGAGGTTTGAACCACACAGGTAGGGTCAGGCTGTGTCAGAACGCAAAGTCGCATCCGTCATCTCCTGGGCATGAGGGGAGGTGTGAGCCAGGCCTGGCTGGGACTGAGCTCCCAGCAGCCAGGCAGACAGAGCCACTCACTGCAGAGCTGTGCAGAACTCGCCCAGGTTGTGGATCCCAGCTCCCCAGCCTTCTGAGACAGTAGCCAGAGCGCCATGCAAACCTGTGTGGGTGGCTGGAGGGGGCGGTGAGGAGGCCCCCCCAGCCCTGCTGTGGTCTTTGCTGCAAGGGCACCTCTGGATATCACTGGCTTTCTTTACTTGCCCTTCCATCTATGAATCCATCTCCTCTGCTCATGGGAATACATGTTCAATTTTGGGAGAATTTTTGCCCAAATCTAGAATTGCAGATAAAAACCGATGAGATTTCAAAGTTAATTTTATTCCAATTTTGTCTTTTGGCAAAGTGATTCTGCAGGGTTATTTATTTATTTATGTTTCCAAATCCATTTTATTTCAAGGAGAAAAAGAAGAAAAAAAACTACAACAAAATTTCAATATAAGTCAATCAGGGGCAGCAATGGCACATACATTGTGCACTGTCACCCCCAGATCACTCACCAGAGCACAGGACGTCTGCATTCAGCTGTCCATACATTATCAGCACCCATCTTTCTTTACTGCAAACTCAGAGAAATCAATAGTGTATATCTACCTTAACTAGTTTTTTATGTACATACACATATGCTATTTCTTTCAGCTTCTCACACTAGTGAGACAATATGTTTGCACATGTGAGTCTTACTTATTTCACTAATGAGTATGGTCTCAAGTTGCATCCATTTACCTAGAGGAGTCTGTACTTTATCCTTCTTTATGGCTGAGTAGTACTCCATTGTATAAAAATACCACGTCTTTTTAATCCATTCCTCAGTTAATGGGCGCTTAGGTTATTTCCAAGATCTGGCTGTTACAAGCTGTGCTTGTGCAGGATTATTTACATAGTGTTTATGCAGATACTGGACTTGCAAAATGTACGCATGCTGAGGTTTTAAATTATGGCTCATAAGGCCCATTGTTCTAAGCAGCTCTTATATGCTTGACAGTAAACCAGGAGTCTCTCTGTCCTGCGTTCTCACCAAGCTTGAGTATTATCATTCTTTTAATTTTTTATTTTAAATCTAGTGGGTACAAATGTTGTCCCTTTGTTTGAAAGTATGTTTCCCTGGTTACCAGCAATGCCAGCACTTCTCACACTTCCTCCAGAAATCTCCTGCTCAGGTCCTCCCTGGTGGCTTATCTGCCCGCAGGATCTGAGTTGGGGACAGGCAAGTCCAGTGAGGCAGGCTGGACGGCAGAGTGAATAACTGGATGCTTGATAAGGACATGTTTTGAAGGAATGAACATAAGAGCGTTGCATTCTGGTGCAGGTCCAGGACAGCTGGTTGACCATTTGAGAGAAGAATAAAGCCCACATTCACCCCCAGCCTATGTAGGAAGGAACTGCCTAAAATCAGCTTTAACTGTGAGCAAGATAATCACTTGTGGAAGAAACTAGTTGTATTTTTATGGCCTTTGAAATGAGGAAAGAGGACTTTTTAGACAGACTCATAAAGGAAAAACCAACAGATTTAGTTTCATAAAGATAATTCCTCCTTTGAGACAGGCGTGGTATCTTGCACCTGGAATCCCAGCACTCTGGGAGGCTGAAGCAGGAGGATCACAAATTCGGGCCCAGCCTGAGGAATCGACTAACTTAGTGAGGCGCTGTCTCAGAAATAAAGAAAGGCTGGCATGGATTTCACTCTGCAGGCCCTGGGTTCAGTCCTTGGTAACACGCAGTCCCGTACCTACAGATTATCTGTTATAGATTAGGAGACAGAAGAAAATTTAAGGGGCCAGTGAGAATGGGCTTAGGGTACCTGCAGTGTTTCCTATGCGAAGCTTTGTATTCGTCAGCATGGTTTAAATAATCCCCATAAATTTGTGCAGTTATAATGTGTTGATTGAAAGGTTTATGCAAAACTTTAGGGAAATACTAACTTCTCTGCTTTATTACACTGTGCATACATATTTGAAATTACCACACCGCAACTCTTCCACTTATATAATTAAAATTGAATTTTAAAAGCATTTTTAAATCTTGAAAAAAATTCAGCCTTTCCAATAACTTAAAAGTGCAAATTAAAATGATAAACTTCCTGGTTTTTGTATAAAGATCATGTAAGGAGAGACCAGGACATGCGGTGTTGAGGGTGTGGAAAGTCAGAGAACCTAGGTGATGCACACTGGAATTGTCAGGAAGCCTACAGTGCAGGAAGGGTCGGGGGTTCCAGGGAGACCCATTGCAGCGCTTGTTCAGTGAGGTCTTCCCTGTCAGGGAAATTATGGGCATAGCAGATATCAAGCTTTGGTGGGGGCGTGTAGGGAGCGTGCGGGGCACCATGCGGCGAACCTCACCTGTGCCCTCTTCCTCGTAGCCTGTGGGGCCGGGGAAGTACGTGTTTGACATTGGCTGCGAGCAGCACGGCGAGTACAAGCTGACTGACGTGGTAAGTGGGAGAGAGGGGCCTGCTCTCTGGGTTTGCCCCGCCCACAGTCGGGCTAACTCTGGCTACTGTTCCCTGTCTGTCCCCTTGTGTATTCTCATGTACCCGTGTGAAGTCACACAATCATAAGTCACAGGTAACGTGTCGCAGTCCTCGCCAAATCCTGGACCTCGCTCGTTTCTGTCCTGAATCAGGGAGGTCGAGGCAGTGGTAGGTCCAGGAAGGACAATGGAAATCTGCCACTGGGGTCATTGAGTTGCCCCTCCTGGAACCTGGCTGATGCATCATTTTCTCTTTTTTTTTTTTTTTTTTTTTTTTTTTTTTACCCTTTTCAATATTTAGCATTAATATTAATACTGAATTGAGGCCTTGCATGGTGGTACAATCCCAGTACTCAGGAGGCTGAGGCAGGAGGATTGCCTTGGGTTCGAGGCCAACCTGGGTTACGCAGTGAGTTCAAGACCAGGCAAAGGCAGACCCTGTCTCAAAAAGACAAAACCTAAACAGAACAAAACAAAAGACCTGAATTCATATTAAAAGCTAGCCAGCTTTTAATGTCATCGTTAGTGGGCACTCAGATGAAGATGGGGTGTGTGTCAGGGAGGGAGATCTGTGTTCGGATTCCTAGTTTGGATTATCTTCCTGTACAGATGCTCAGTAACTTATTAAAAGCTGCTAGTATTATACTAATTTTGAACCTTTAATTTCTTTGCTCACGAATGTCATTCTCAGGGTGGGAAGTTTGCAATTTTAGGGATGAAAGAAAAATGCTAAAGGTTGCTTCTGTTTTTATTCTCTGAAGCCCTTGGGCGTCCTCTCCTGTGGGCCGAGCCCCACAGTGCCGTACAGACCCCCTCCCGTATCTGCGTAGGGTCTTTTCTGAAACCAAGCGTGGTGTATATATGTGGCCATCGTAAAGTTTAACCAAGGAATCATGGAGAGCACTGATCCCTAGGTGTTCTTTCCTGTACGTCAGGAGGGCTCACAAGGTCTAATTTTAAGACAGGCACAGCAAGAGATTAGTACCGATAACAGAACAATGATGACTACACCGTGGAAAAGCTACATGGATGTGATCGCCCTAAACTTACCCTGTCCGCGTCCTACTGTCCCGTGGATTTGAATGACTTCCGTGGGTGGTTTTTCCTTACCTTGTTAGGTCAGGGATTTTCACCCAAGGGTGGGGTTGGGCTTCTCTCTGAGGAAGGGAGCTGCTGGCCTCATGGCTGTCAGGTGTGGGACAGTAATAAGTGGCAGAAGTGTCACCTGGCCACAGCCCTGAGACCTGGTCACCAATGGCTGCTCAGTTCAGTGACAAAGGCAGGGGGAGGGTGGAGTGGACTCCAGGCTCCCATCACATTGTCCAGTGGGGCGCAGGCTGAAGCTGACAGACTGTTTCTGGAGTTTTCCTGTTTTAGAAGGTGTGGCCGAGGCAGGGTGGCCCAGGACCCCTTCTGCCTTGACTGACCCGGCCCTGGTCCTCGATGATGCTTTTGTCAGCCCTCTCCAGCCCCCAAGGACCTCTTCACACCGTGGGTCCCATGAGGTTTGGTCACTGAAGGCTCCACTCAGCCCCCCTCGGTGGTAGCTGTCAGCTGTCACCTATACAGGGTGCTCTGGCTGTTCTGTCCTGCTGGCCTTGTTTTAGTCCTGGCAGCCCAGCTTCTCTACCCAGGGTTCCCCGATTTTACCATCTTCACCCCTTCACTTCCCATGTACATGGATGCTGAGCCCCTCCAGCTGCTGGTCCCCAAGTGTCAGGGTCTGGCCATTCCCCACTGCTCCCTGCTTCCAGCTCTGGTTCCCTCGCCGTGATGTCCACTTCCTGTGCCTCGCGGTCACTTTGTCCCCAGCACATCCTGAAGCCACCAGTGGTCTCTGAGGAGATGCCCACCTTTTTCCTGGGGCCGACATCTTTAGTAACCTTGTGCCAGTCCATCCCCTTGGCCTCGCTTCCTCCTGTCTTCTTTGTGGTCCCCTTGCAGTTAAAAGCTAAGTGACCAAGGTTGTGCTAGCTGACTAGAAAATGGTCACAGGTGGGTGCCATGGCACACATCTGTACACCCTGCACTCAGGATGCTGAGGTGGGAGGATTGCTGCAAATTTGAGGTCAGCCTGGGCTACATAGTGAGTTCAAGCTCAGCCTGGACCATGAGGTGAAAACCTGTCTCCAAGGAAGGCCGTAGTAAAAGGCAGTGAGGTTTAGGGCTCCAGAGCACTGAAGTATCTTTTTTAAGAGTTGGGGATGGGGGTGGAGCCAGTGATGTCAAAACAGACCCCAAGTCCTGAGCCGGATGCACAGGGCTTTGGGGTCACCTGCAGCGAGGAAGTGGGGAAAGGAGACCGGAAGAGGCAGCAGCTGCCCGGCGATGTGACCCTGGGGCCCTTGGTGTGCTTGTGGAGGGGCGAGGACCGGGAAGTGGGTGTGAATGCTGGCAGCTGGGTGGGCACCCTTCTTGGGAAGGACTTGGTTTGGAGCCCTGGCTGCCAGCCGTGAGTCTGTCCTGCAGCTGGAGCACAGGAGCACTGTGTCCCCTCCCTCGGGGATGGAGCTCAGGTATTTGGGACCAAATGGAGTGAGCAAGATCTGAGCAGAAGGTCGAGGCACTGCAGATCCTGTCACCGGGGACAGCCTGCCGTCCCCACAGGGCTGCTGCTCAGGGCTGCACGGTGTGTGAGCCTTGGTGTCCAGATGGAGAGCCCTGCATGGCTTCCCTGAGATTCCCCCTCCTGTGGTCACGCCCTCCATGTCACTCTGTGGGCGTCGTCCACGTGGCCCCTGTGGTGCGGAGGTGATTTGATTGCTCAGAGCTGGGAAACGTGGCCCACGGCTGAGCAGCACAGGGTTTAGGGTGATGCTTGGAGCCTGCAGCAGCAGCAGCAGTGTCTTGTTAGAATCGCCAGGCGCCGCCTGCTCCGTGGGGCTCCGCGCCCATACAGGGCTTTGGAACTCTGTTTGCAGCCCTCGGTGGACGCTTGGACTCTAGGCTCTTGTTCTGGTCACCGAGCAGGGTTACCAAAGGCTCCCACACTACCTGGCCTCTTTCTATGGCTTTCAGTATCCCAGACCCAGCATATGCAATCCTTGGTAAATTTCTATTTCTTGCACTTGAAACAGGAAAGAGGAGATGAGGAGGAGGAGGAGGAGACCTTGGCAAACATCATTCCAAAATGGAAAGCCACGCAGATCACAGACCTGGCTCTGTGGACACCTACTCTCCCGGAGAAGCAGCCCTCCTCGGTGGGCCCTGGCCCGGATGAGACACTCGGAGAGGAGGGTATGGGCGCCCCACTGGTGCACCCTGGGGAGGGCTCTCTGGGGACAACTGCTAGGATAGGTCAGTGGCTCCTGGCTTTGGGGAAGTCACAGGAGTGGCCAGCAGAGGAAAGCCAAGCCTGAAGCAGCCCTCGGCCACCTTGGTGAACTTGGGCCCCCTAGGTCTGTGCCCTGTATGGGCAACTCAGGCTTGGCCTGTTCTGTCTGCCACTAAGCCCTCCCTGAGACTGGAAATGTCTGGAAATGTGTCCCAGAATGTTGAATCAGGTGTCACCAGGTGACACTGCTTCCAGTGGAAGTGGTCAGAAGACAAAGCAAGGAGTCACATTTGTTATCTGGCCACTTGGGTGATTTTTGGCTGCCCTCACTGTCCGGTCCATAGCAATCACTGTGGGGGCTGCTCTGGGGCCAGACCTGGACAGGAGCCCCCTGCTCTCAGGAGGACGAGAGTGGTGCTGGGCAGCTGGGTCGGGCTTGCGAGGCCAGGGTCACCCTGCCTGGGCCAGTGTCCTCCCATTCTCTTCCAGGTGTCCCAGAGATGGAGGAGGAAGTTCAAGCTCTGTCCGACGGTTTTGAGGGGGAGCTGGACCTGCGGCCAGGAGAGGAGGACACGGATGCCTGGGAGCTCAGTTCCGAAATAGACCAGGGTGAGGACTGGGCTCCTCTTCCTTCCTCCCTCCCGTGCTGGCTTGGCTCAGCCCAGGATCCGAGGAGCCATGGGAGCTGCAGGAGCCCCAGGGACCTGATGCTGGGGTGCTGTCCAGTATGGCAGTGTCACGGTGTCACGGGGGACCCCTGGGTGTGCATGGACCTTGTTTGGAATCCGAGCCAGGGGTATGAGTTGGCTCCCCTCTCCTCCCTCCCCCAGCAAGCACGGTTGTGGAGGAAGAGGAGGCGAGGCAGGCGGAGCTGCAGGACTAACAGATGGCAGAGAGAGCGGACTCGGCCAGGGTCCGGGCCGGCGCTGTGAATGCACCTCCTTAGTTGTTAAGTCGGTTTATGATGGCAAATAAACCCCTCCAGAGCCCCTTGTTTCTGGAATAACTGCTGCTACCTGTTGTGTGTTATTTAATTTTTTTTTCTATTCCTAAACATTTGCATAGTACGTGTTCCTGATCCATAATGACTAACTCACCGTGGGGCTGTAGGGAACCGCTGAAGCTGGAGATCGATCAGGTTGTGGGGCTAAAGCAAGGCCGGCCCTGAGAACATGGAGCCCAAAGCGAGCCGGGTAAACCAGCTGCCCCAGCTCCAGGAAGGCAGGGCCCAGCCGGCCAGGCAGACAGGTAGCCGGCAGCGGGGCTGAACCTGCCGTCCTCCTGAGTGTGTAAATAACCGCGCTGCAGCGGCTGGGCAGTTCCTTCTGTCCCATCAGGAGAGGGGGCTCCACCGGACCCCAGCTTTCCTCTCCTCTTTATTTTCCCATCCTCTCACCTCCTTCACCCCAGGAGCCTCCAGGGCCACGTGGTCACAGCATGGGGTGTTGGTCCGCGTGCTCAGCACAGCTTCGTTCTCCCTCCTCCTCCTTCCTCCACCTGTTGGTCCTTTTCACATTTTGAAAAAGCTCTTTGCTGTTATCTGGGTTTTTCCTTTGCTCTGTGTTTATACTTCAAGTTTCTTGGAAGGGAAACCAGGCGGGATTTAAGCCCATGTGTCTGACTAGTTCACGATGCACTAGGTCTCAGGGGCACCCATTTCCTACAGATGACGCCAGTGTATCCTTCTTTATGGCAGGGTTGTAACGATGGTACAGAAACCTTTCAGTGTGCCTCCCCTCCGTGTATTGTTTTTGGCCAGCAAGTGCTTCTTACCATGAGAATTCTGTGATGTTTATTCTGGGGTATTAGATAACCATAGTGTTTCTTCACTGTGGTTTTTATTAGTCACTGATTTTTGAGGACTTGATACATACCATGTAGACACTGCTGTCCACAGAACTGCAGTCCTTCCCCAGCAGAGGTGGCTTCTCCTGTCCCCCAGTGTGGCCGGCAGGAGGAACGGTTTTGACTGGCGTTGGTGAGAGGTGGTGGCGGGGCTCGGGGTGCCCAGGCTGGCTTCCCGGCTCCCGAGGTTTTGCTTAAGTCACAGTTTCATCTGACTGTGGGGAGAGGTGGGGCGTGCCCGGGCAGGTGGTTTGGAGAGCATGCAGTCCACACGTGGGCCCCGTGGCCTTGTGGCTGGCAGTGGCTGTTATTGTCACTGGGGCCAGCTTGGCCTCAAGACCTTGTCTGAGCTTCATCCCCATCAAATTTGGGGGATAAATTGCTTTCCTCTGTTGGTGGGGGCGGTCCCCAAAGGACGCAGGTGAGTTTTTTGTCCACCCCATCTCTCGTGGGTCAAATGCAAGGGCACATTTGAACATGGCATTGGTGACTGGAATAGGGTAGGACTGTCATTATTCCTTTGGCGTTTGATCAAATTCATTTTAAAATCCAATTTGTCAAGGGGACCCACAGCCAAGTGCCAACACTCAGAAAGAAGCTGTCTAGAAACTACAGGCCCCAAAGCTGCGATCTCCTCGGTGGGTGTCCCCCAGGGGCAGGGGAGCTGTTCCTTCCCTTCTGGAAAACTGAGCAGGGCTAGGGGTGCTGGAGAACCCAACCCTTTCTGGTACCCCCCTGAGAAACAGAAACTGGAAAATTAACGTCGGGAATGCAGTTTTCTTGACCTGGATATACACACACTATCAACGTGTAACACCGAGAGAAGCTATGGATGGGACCTTCCTCACCTGCGGGCTGAGGCCTTCGAGAGCCTGGCACGCCTTGCCCAGACCAGTGGGGCTGGCAGAAAGGCCGGGAGCACAGAAGCATCCGGCCCAGACTCTGCCTCATGCCTGGGGTCCTGCAAGGAGGAAGAGGACTGGACTCCGGCCACAGCCACGTGTCCTCAGAGAACCCCTCCAGGACCCTCGGACACCATGCACCGCGCGTGGCTCTCCTGATGCCTCGGTGGTGTTTTATTCTCTTCCCTGCCACTCGGGATGTTCACATGTTTTTAGGAAGCTGTGCAAACACAAATACTACGGACTCCATAGTTTAGACAGCTGAGAACTCGGCATGGGCAGCACCGCGTGCACAGCTGGTCTTAGGCACAGCCCGCTGGCTCCAAACACACTTAAGACAGGAACGCTGAGCTTTCCCAAATCCGAGCTTTCTCTGTCAGATGTGCTGTGCAAAGTCAGAAGAGTGCATGCATGCACACCGTCTGCACATGTGCGTGCACGCTCACACCCGTGTCCTCCCTCCGATGCGAAGCCGAGCCCTCCTTCAGTGTCACAGTCCTCCGTCTTCCTTCCTCCTCTCCACAGGAACTTGGGCTGTGCTTAGGTCGAATCAAAAATTAATACTATTAGGAATTAATAGTAATTCCTAACTCAGGCCAGTGAAGCAGTACAAGGGAACACCGGTGAGAAAAGGCAGCCCCTGGGTGACCGGGGGCCGAGGCCAGGGCTCTGGCCTGCAGCTGCCAATCCAGCAGTGGATAGGGGCTTCCCACGGCGTCCTTCCACACCACAGAGGGCGGCCAGGGCTGCGGCTGGGGACTCCGTGTGCCCACAGGTGACAGCTGGAACGGGCGGTGAGGACAGAGTTCCCGGTTTTCTTCATTGTCATTGAAAATGTCGCCCATCCATGGCCCTGACTACAGAGCGTGTGTGTGTGCTCTATTGGCCGGCTGCCTTCAGCCCCCAAGGGGCAGAAGTGGTCCCCGAGCTGCCCTTGGCACCAGAGCCTGGACCCGGCACCTGGCCCCCTTCACCGGCCTTCCCAGGCAGTTTTCACAGCTATCCACAGCCACCAGTAATCACAATGGCAGCCCAGGTGGCTGGGGACACACGGGGTGGCCTCAGGTCTCAGGGATGCAGCTCGGCCCCCTAAATGACCAGCTCCTCCTCTGTGTGGGCTGCAGCTCACAGCCTGGTCCTGTGGATCCCAGCAGTGGAGACCAGGACTGCAGAGCGACAGGGAGATGGTGCATCTTGGCCACTAGGGGGTGCTGCGACCCCAGCCTGGCCCGCAGCTGGGGCAGGAGCCCTGCAGGTCCTTGTGACACAGGGTCCTCCTCATTTCCTTGTCTGCGTGTGTGCCCCGTGGTCATGGCCTACACACTAGGCACTGCTGTGGCTCCAAAGATTACACTCCACCAGTGTGGGCCTGTGTTCCAACTTCCCCCTCTCCTTGGTCTTCAACATGAGGACCACATGGGGAAGAATGTTGTAGGGGTTTGTTGAATGAATTCATGAGTACATCCCATGAAGGAATGAGCAGGTTTTTCCTGACTGCAGGGCTGTGGTCTTCCAGAAACCTCTGAGCTTCAAGGCAAGGACGGTAGGGAGAGCCTTACACCTAGGCAGGTGGGGATCAAAGCAGCTGGAAGTTCCTGTGCTCCACCTACCAGATAGGAGCTGGGTACCGCAGAGTTCCAGGTCACCCATCCTACCGGCACCCTGGGAAGCAAGAGCAGTCCTTATAGGTGGGGAAACTGAGGCACTCAGGGCAAAGGTCCTCACCTGCTCCTTTATGCCCACTTCAGGCATTTCTAGTCAATCCTGCATCCTCCACTGTGGAACACTGAACTGCAGCCAGTACCAGTGGTCAGTGTCAGACCTCCTGGAAAAGATTCTGCCCAGGAAGGATTCTGTCCATATGGGGTGGTCATGGCTGGGGCCCTCTCTCCAGAGCTCGACCTGGGTCTTTGTGACTTAGTTTTCTGAATTTTAAATTGTTTGTAGGGTCAAAGTTAAGCCCCTGTGAAAGGTTGCTCGGGAGTTCACTTTCCCCTGTCCCCCGGTGTCCTCCCTGTCCCTGTGGGGCCTGGTCCTGCTCATTTCTGCTTTGTCTTTGCAGTGTTTCCTGGTGGGGCCTGGTGGGAGTGTTGAGGGGGTCTCCCAGGCTTGTGCCCCCCTGCGCTTGGTGACGGAGTCCAAAGACGAACCAGGTCTGGGCAGAAGGCTCTTACCTGCTCCTGCCATGGGCAGCACTGTCTGTGTAACAGTCCTGTGACAGCACCAGGGCTGTGCCTTGCTCCTCTGTGGGGGACAGAGAGGGGAAGTCTCCCCTGGGACATGAGAGCCACCAGAAAGAGCCAGCTGGACCCGGACCTGTGCAGGCTGGAGCCAAGTCAGCAGCACAGCAGGGCTGTCCTGGGCTTGGTGGGCAGGGTCATGCAGGAGGGGCTGCTCTCCCCAGGCCCTGAGGGCCCCTTGTTTCCCAGGGAGGACCAGTGCTGGGCATGCAGAGTCCCCTCCCGCAGCTGTGGCCGCCCTGCACGCTATGAGCGGTGATGCCTGCCTTTGCCCTCTGTGCTGTAACAGGGTTGAGGTCCCCATGCACATGGCTGTGGGGGGCGGGAGGACCCTGTGAGGAGCCCCCATCTACTGCTGGACCAGCGTCCTCTAATCAGAGCCGTGGTCAGTGCTCCACCTTCACCCGCTTCCCATCTCAATTCTTTACTCCAGACTGCAGTCTCCCTGCCCCGCCCCCTCCACTGGAAGAATGGGCGCCGGAAAGGGGGTGCACAGAGATAGAGGTGTCTGCAGTCCTCACACTAAGCGCCCTGGGGAGCAGGCACAGGCAGAGGCGTGGGGGGCGCTCAGCAAAAGCCCAGGGCTGAGGCTGCCCACCGTGACTTCCGTGGGAATAGAGACTGTCCTTTCTCTCTCTTTTTCTCTTTCTCTCCCCTCCCCCCAGCACTGAGGAGTGAACCCAGGGTTTTTACGTTGAGCTGTGCTCTCAGCCCTTCTTAAAAGGTTTTTATTTTTTGGAGACAAGGACTCACTGAGCCACTACGCTGCCCAGGCAGGGCTCAAACTTGTGGTTCTCCTGCCTCAGCCTCCCACATGTGGGTGCTACCACTTGAATCTTCTCTTGCTGTTAAGGATCTTGAGCTGAGAGAAGACCCTGGGTTCCAGGTCTGAGGCCTCCTGGGAGAGGAGGTGGGACGCAAAGTGAAGGACAGTGGAAGGAGAGGAACAGAGAGGTCCAGGGCGTTGCGCTGCTGGCCTGGGCGGTGGAGGAGGGGCAAGAGCTAGCCGCTGCAGGCCAGGCAAGGGCTCTGCCCAGAGCCTGCGAGGGGACCCCTGGGCCCTAGTTCCAGGGATCCCGACTCCGAGACTTGGGCGAGTCTGCGAGTGGTCGCCGTGTTGCACTGCTGCCCGTCACGCTAAGGATGTGGCAGTTTGTTAGGAGGCTAAGGGGGCAGTGGCCACAGCTGCACTGGTTCTGATCAGGGCTGTGGTGCCGCTTTATTGATGATCGCACCTCCCTCACCTGTGTTGATCAAGATAGGAAAGGGACAAATGCCCGGACCCCATGGCTGGCACTCGGGAGGTGGACAGACCTCCTCCTGTGTGTCTGTGTGTGTGTGTGCATGTGGGGTGTCGGCTCCTGACAACCAGGCTCCTGGGTCCCTCTCTTCCTCCAGCCATGGCCCGGGCACCCTTATCACAGGTCCCCGCACTTGTGACCCCATCACCTTGAGACACCTGGTCCTGCGTCCATTCTGTGTTCCCACAACCCAGCTGGCCGCCAGCAGAGTGGAGGCTGAAGTGAGGGGCAGGAGTCCCCGATGCCAAAGTGCACTTTGTGCTTCTGTCACATGGTTGAGGCAGGGACATCCCCATGGCGAGGCCGCACACTGGGAGGTGGCTCAGCTGCCCGGGATCCAGCTCCTCCAGTTGAAGGCCGAGTTGGCCCCGTGTGTCAGAGTCCTTGCAGGCGGGCTGGCCAACTCCCACTTCCCTTCTTCGTTCTCCTCGCAGAAGCACATGCCCAGAGCAGGGATCTAGAAAGGAGCGAGCGTAAAGTTCCTGAGCAGTGTCTCCCGAGACTCCCACTGCTGGGTTTGGGACTGGCCACTGGGGGGCCCAGGCTTTGCAAGTACATGGCCCTCCCAGGTCACCCGTTGTCACCCATTGCTCATCAGCCACCTGCACCCACCAGGCCCAGCACCCTGGCGTCCCACAGCTCCTGCCAGCTTGCCATGTGGCACAGCAGGTGGGGACCCTGTCCCTTCCCACCCATGCCACTTCCTGTCCTCAGGGGCAGAGCTCAGCCTGTTCTCTCCCCACCCAAATTGCTGGCTCCCCACTGGGCTGGGGTGGATCACAACATGAGCTGGAATTTCAAAACAGCTCACCCCTCGTTCGTCACAGTATGGGAGGCAGGAGCAGGGTGCACAGTGAGGGTGACATGCTTGTCCCTCTGGCCCCCTACTGGGCTGTGCTCTGACTGGCAGTGGGGCTGCACACCCTCAGTGGCCAGGGGTGGCTGGACCCCGACCTGCACTCTGAGGAGGGTGTGTGGCAGCCCTGAGCCTTCACGGTGGTGGGCCATGGATGCCAGAGATGTAAGTGGGAACGAACCTTTCTCACCAGCTGGACGAAGTCCCCGCAGTCCCGGGGCGGGAGCCCGAGGAGAGGCCGGGTGCAGACATCCAGGGCTGAGCCGTGGCTCACGATGAGGATGACGCCCGCTGTGGACAAAACACCCCAAGGTCAAAGCAGCCATGGAGAGCGCCTGGAGCCCCAGGACCTCTGCAGTAGGCTACGTCCCCAGCCCTTTTGATCTTTTATCTCAGGACAGAGTCTGGCTGCAGTCACTAAATTGCCCAGGCTGGGGTTGAACTCGACATGCTTCTGGCTCAGCTGCCCAGAGTGTTGGGATTACCAGGCAGAGCTCACCTTTCATTATCCAGGGGTCCCCCAAGCTGCGGGGGTGGAGCTGCAGGAGGTGCGTGTGCTCCGCAGTAGTGCTTTCTGCACCCTGGCTTTGTGTATTAATTTCAGAGTGCACCCCCTCTATATAGGGTGTTGGGGTACAGCTCCCAGCCCCCAGCCCCAGGGATGGAGGAAGGAGCCATCTGAGCCACCGTTCCCTTGGCACTGCCTAGGTGCTGGCAGCTGGAGGTGGGGGCGTGGTGGTGACTTGCCCAGACCTGATTCCAGAGCTCCCAGAATTGCATCCCGGCTGCTGCAGCCTCAGAGGAGGACCCTCCAGTTGGAGAGTGGAGTGGGGCTGGATGGGTCAGCTCCCACCCTAGAGGTGACCCCCAAGCCCAAGACTGCTCCACTAGTGGGCTGTGGACACTCACGTTCCTGTGGGCAGGCGCCCAGGACACGCTCCATGCTGTGTGCACAGCGGTCCGTGTACTGCACATAGCTCTCTGCAGGCAGGAGGGAGGACAGCGGAAATGCAGGCCTGGAAGGAGGAGGAGGTGGCTGTGCCCTTGGGAGAGGGAGGCTCCTTCCACCCCAGCCTGGGTTGACCAAGCCCAGCAGGGGAGGCAGAGGAGGACCTCACCTGGCCACCTGGGATCTCCTATCCTACCCACCGCCCACCGGCACTTTAGCTCCCCACCCCGTCTCCCGCCCCTCTTTAGCAAGCGTCACACATTTCCAGAGCCTGCAAAAGGCAAGAGGCGAGAGGCAAGGCGCAACCTGTAGTCGAGGTCCACGCTGAAGCCCGCCTCTCTCAGCTCTGCCTGCGTCATGAAGTTCGGGCCGGTTCTGCCTGCTTCCCACTTGGTCCACTCAAAGATCCCGGGCTCTATTCTTATCTTCAGCGTTTTCTCCAATTTGAGTTCTGGGTTCAACCAAACAGAGTATTTATCACGGTCTTCTAAACGATCTCTTCCCAGCTAGTTCTGACCTATGCACAGGTCTCAATATCTTTCAGAAAATATACTTTTTATTTCTCAACGAAGACCATCCTGGTATTATGCATGACTGTGGGCACTTCTGAGACCAGCAGTACTGCACAGTTAGGAGCAGTCTGCCCAGAAGGGCTGTCTCCCTGGGCTGGGAAGGTGTCACATGATCATCTGAAATAAAATGAGCTCCCCAAATGTGTCCAAGTCTGGGGGCCGGGTTCCTGCCTGGAGCACATTTGGAAAGAGGGGTCAACTTGATAAGGCTGCTTATCCAAGGTACATGGGGGCCTCATCTACAGTGCATAGTGGGGGCCAAGAGGGCTTGGGGGACTGGTGGGGGTGTGTGGCCTTGGGCCTCCTGTGAGGACACCTGAAGGCCACTGTCTAGTGAGATGCTCTGGCGATCGGCCCGGGCACTGGCACTGAATCCACAGAAAGCTCAGGCAGGATGGCATCTTAGGTCTGTCTGAGAAAGAGTTGCTTTTGTGGGGGAACTTTGGGGGAAGCCTGAGTCCCCTTGTGTTCTCTAGTTAACTCAGGAATTGTGAGTCCATGCCCTCCCCTAAGCACAGCAATCGTGGTGCTTGGTACATAAAGTAAATTCAGTAAGACAGCGTGTGAAACACACTGGCACTGGCGTGGTGGGAAACATTTCTGAGAACTTTCTGTTTTGTAGGCAAGAGACCCAAGTAATATAAGTTTAAAAAGCCCCCAAATTGGCATAGGTGGAACACTGACCAAGATGGGAAAGTTATGAAAAATGTTTTCAAAGCTCTTGCTCATATACTTTTTCTAATCACAGAGATTGGGCAAAAGAATAGTCTGTATCCTTCTGTCTGTGTCATTATGGTGAGGAAAAGGTCACAGTCTTCATGGATTCCCTGTGACAGTCCACAAAGGGTGCAAAGCCAGCCAAGATCGAAATTAAACTAGCTTTGGAGGGAGGTGCAAAACCACATCTGATGCATCCAGGAAAAATTCTCTATACACTGGGTGTATTGGCCCATGCCTTTAATACTAGCGCTTCGGGAGGCTGAGGCAGGAGGATCCCAGCCTGGATGACGTAGTGAGTCTTTGTCTCGAGATAAAACATCCATACAGGGCTGGGTGTATAACTTGTGCAGCCCTTGGGGTCAACCCCCAGCATCTAAGAAAAACAATTTAACACACTGCGGGGTGTAAGAGCCAGGGCCAGGACCTGGGATAGAAGACAGGAAAATCAAGGCATGGGTTTTTCTTACGGACTTGTGCATGGCTTTGCTGTGGTCAGAGCCTGTTACTATAGTTGTTGGGGTAATTGTGAATACCTGAAATCCCAAGGTAGAGCTACTTCCCGTGTAGAAAGTGTTCCCACCTTGTATGTGGGAGTTTTCCTCAGGCCAACGCCTTGGAGTGAACAACCAGGAAGGAACAGTGCAGGGTGTCAGATCGGCAGCTTGGGTCTCTGATTTTGTTGTCCTTGTCCTCTCTGTCCAAGGGCAGCACTGAGTGGCCACTTCTCCTCCCCTCCCTCAGTGAAGGGAGAGGCAGGCCCCACACCAAGAGGGGGAGAGGTAGACGCTGCGGGGCCTCGTCCCTTGCTTAGGGCTCTCAGCCTGGGCCCCTACACCACAGTCTGTGACTCATTGTTGAGTGAAGTCTCAGGAGAGGGTGTGTGTGTGTGTGTGTGTGTGTACAAGCTTGCACATGCTCATACACACATGCAGGGATGTGGCGAGGCTGCTTGCAAGCCTGCTTGTCGCAGGGCCAGGCCACGCTGCCTGTCTGGCTGCACCAGGCCTCACATGCTCGCTTTGGGAAGCTGACGTGGTTCTTTTCCTTTTCTTCTCCCATGTGTGGCACTGGGGACTGAACCCAGAGCCTCTGAACTGAGCTACCTCACCAGACAGTTTTGTTTTTCTTTTTGTTTGTTTGTTTTTCATTTTGAGACAGGGTCTTGTTAAGTTGCCCAGGCTGGGCCTGAACCAGTGACCTTCCTGCCCTGGCCTCTCACAGTGACCCTGCCTGCTGCTGCTTAGCATCATCTGCAGTCACATCCCCTGTCACCTGCTTTACCTGCCCTCTGTCTGCAGGGCCCGCTTGCTGGCCAGCACCTACTCCTGGCCTGGCCTTCATTAGCAATCTCCCCAGCTGCTCCTGGCCACACTGGCTGCAGGACACCTGGAGCTCAGGCCCAGCACCCAGAGGGGGCTCTTAGGGCCACCTGCTGGGCATTGTCCATCCAGCCCATTTCCTGGGCCCTCTCCCTGACACCAGAGTCACCCGCTCCGAGCTCTGCAAATGTCCAGCAGCCTCCCTTGCTCCCATCTGCTGGGGCCTGGTTTCCCAGGCTGTTTGGGGGTTCCATCCCATGGATGGATGCTCGGAAGCACCTCAGCTTCCTGCCATACCCCCGCCTGGAAGACACTGCCCAGCTCCTGGCAGCAGCTGTCCTGGGGTGAGTCATGCATTTGGGTCCAGGAAGGACGTGAGAGTTCCTAACTCTCAGGAGGAGGCCGCTTTCTAGGTGTTTAGACATCTGGCTGAGGAGTTGCAGCTGAGCCGTGTCATGAAAGGTGCTGACTGTGGCCAGCTGGTGGCCACTCATTGTGCACTATAAGGTGCCCTTTCTCCTTCCCCTGCCCATGGAGAATAGCCCAGAGGTCATAGCCACAGGCAAAGGTCCTGGGGTCTCACCTACCTTCCAGGATGTGGTTGGCCGTCTGCACGCAGCGGAGGGCGGGCGAGGAGAAGACCGCGGTGATTCTGACGCCGCTGTCCAGGAGTGAGTTCCCTGTGAAACGGCAAGCCGGACACACCCTCATGATCCTATGCCATGATAGGGGGGCTAAGAGGCTTCCGGACTCCTGCTCGGGCCAGCTAGAACCTGCTCCCCTGACCACCCGTTCCCCGTATGATATTATGGGGCTACAGGAGATGTTCTGGGACCCTGGCTGGGCCAGGCGGTCCAGTGAAGAGCAGAGATGTCCTCCAGAAAAGACTCTGAAGTAAAAGGCATTCAGCCCATGAGAAATCCTCCAATACTGTCTCAAAAGATGGAGGGCTCACGTACCAGGGGTGTGGGTGGCTCAGGGCAGAGTGGCCCAGCCCATGGGAGCAGGTAAGGAGCAGGCCAGGTTTCCTGCCACAAGGGTCTGAATGCTCGGGGGCTCTGAGCTCTTCTGAGGGCACCCAGTCCACTGATCCTCTCGCCTAGGGCCTTGAAACCCTGGACAGACACCCTGACCCACCCTGCTCAAGCTGGAGGGGCTGAGCTCACAGGCAGGCACTGCTGTACACATGTGGGAATTCACAGGCAGGGACAGAAGACTCAAGGCCATTCTGGAGGGAGGAGACGTAACCTGAGCACCTTCCCTGCCACACTGGAGGCCTTGGTGGCGGGGAAGCAGCAGGGTCTCTACGCAGGACAACTGCAGCATGTTGAGGCTAGCGGGGTTCCGGGGAGCCTGCAGTGGGTCAATTTTACCCCCCTACCCCAAAGCAAGATCTGAGAGCGCATTGGCAGCATCTGCAGATGCTGCTTCCAAGAATTGAAAGGTGGATGGGAAACGTCTGACAGAGCGTCCCTGAGCAATGCCGTACGGCAAGTCCTCTACAGAGCATTTCCGCTGTGTTAGCCGAGACTGTAACCACCCAAGTCTGTAACCACTCAAATGACAGGTGTGGAGAGGGTGTGCTCCTGACCTATGCAAATTTGAGGCCACTCTCCTGGGGCCTAGGGACAGCTGAGGATTTAGGTGGTCAGTCCATCAAGGGTACCAAGGGATGGCCATAATCCTATTAAAATAAGAGTGGGTACCCCTGTAACAGGAGCTTTTTATTTTATTTTGTTGTTTCTTTTGTCTTGCTATGCAGTTGAGGCTGGCCTTGGGACTCATTTAATAGCCCAGGCTGGTCTTGAACTTGCAATTATCCTCCTGCCTCAGCCTCTAGAGTGCTGAGATTGCAGGCAGGGACCACCATGCCTGGCTAGATACTAGAGTATTTTTAAAAAAGGCAAATTTCCATACAGAGACAGAAGACAGTGCAAAGGCACAGGGGAAGATGCTGTCTCTAAGCCAAGTGGGAGTGGGGAGCCTGGGCTAGATTTCCCTCCTAGCCCCCCAAGGAACCAGCCCTACAGCACCTTGCCCAGGGACTGCCAGCTCCAGAATTGCTGGCAGTGATGGTCATTGTCATCTGCTTTGCCCTGCACTGTCACAGTGGCCACTGGCCACTGATGGACCACATACACCAAGATGCTCCCAAATGCTCACGTGGGGAGGGTGTAAACATCTTAGCAAGATTGAGGCACGGAGAGGGCTGTGGAGGCCGCTGCAGCATGCACTGTGTGTATACACGCACACGCGCACATGCATGCACCCAGACATGCACACACACAGCCCTCAGGCTGACCCTGTAGCTGATGCCCGCCCCCTCTGACCTTGCCCAGGGATGTCCCCCTGGAGCCTGAAGTTAACCGAGGTGTCAGCACCATGTTCTTGCCACTGAAATCGGGCAAAGGCCGCACACCAGGGTTTCCCGTCCCTCTAGAGCTTGAGGGTTAAACTGTGTGCGGAATTCACTGCTGGGTGGTGGCTCTGGGGACCATTTGTCCTTCAGTGAACCTGTGGTGTGACTTGGATGTCATTTGCCCCTTTGGGTTCCCTTGGGGACTTTATCAAGGTGGGGCCAGATGGAGTCAATGATCTCATCTATTTCAAAAGTTCGATCTCATGGCGTGACAGCCCCAGACACAGGACAAAAGCCCATGGTGACAGAGGTTGCCACGGCGTTGCTGAGGGGGTGTGGCTTATAGTTCTTACGTCGCATCCTCGGGGCACGCAGGGCCTGTGGACGTCTCCTGTCCTCTTTCCTCTTTCCTCTTTCCTCTACTTCTTCTACTCCATTCCCACCTCTGCACTTCCGTTTCCTGCCCGGGTGACCTTGGGTGAACTCTCGGTGCCCAGGTCCCATGCTGGCAGAGTGGAGGCAGTGCTCACAATGGTGGCAAAGGACACGTGACAAGGGCTCCCTGTAAAGCTATGGTCATCGCTGTCTCCCGCCCGCTGGCCCTGCTTACCTGCGAGCCTGGCCTGGAAGGTTCCACAGGACGACAGCGGTGGGTCGCGCTCGAAGTCACTGAGTCCGCTGCTCCTCCTGGGCAGCTGGCGAGGGAAGTTGAGGTCCGGCCTGTAGTACTTCCCTGCAGCAGAGGCGGGTGTCATGTCCTGGCTGACCATGTTAGCGCGCAAGGGTCCCCCAGCCTTCCCATGATGAGACCCAGCTGCGTGGTCCCCTGGCTGTGCTGCATGGTGTGGACTGGACTCGAAAAGCCAAGCAGCTTTGCCAGGCATGAAGAATCTCCTCTAACACAGAGCCCCGGGGGATCATGGTCCCCTTTGTCCTGCAGCCCCTGTGACAGTGACCCCTGCAGCAGGAGCCAGATGGAAACCCAGCGTCTCCACGGCTGATTCGGGCTAACAGGGCAGGAGCCTCAGGTTGGTGTCTACTCTCGAGGGGAGCTGGGCTATCGTGTTGGCTGCAGCATGCCCTGCTGCCTGGGGGGCAGCGCACAGGTGGCTGAGGTGTCCCGGTGTAGTGTGTGACCCGGCCAGTGGCTTGAAGGCCGGTTGAGACCCAGCACCTTGTCTCTTTGTGTTTGACCTTGAGCTCCCAGGCCTGTTAGTCTGGCACCAGCACCCAGTGGCTGTGTGACGGGCAACAAAGGCTTCACCTGACCTAAAAACGGGTCACTGAGTTGGAGCCCGGAGCCCAGCCCCTGGCTCAGTAGGCGACCCAGGGATAAATCATAGCACAGGTGAGCTGTGCACAGTGGTGTCATTCCAGCATTCTGGAAGGCTGAGGCAGGAGGATTGCAAGTTTAAACCAGGCTGGGCAGCTTAATGACTTAACCCTGTCCCCCCATCCCCACCCCCCAAAAAAGTGAAGCTGAAGATATAGCTCAGCATGAAGATTCTGGGGTACAATCCCCAGCAGCAAAAATAAAAGTGGCAGGGCTGGTTCTTGATCAAGAGCACCTGTCATCTTCGTGGAGGACACCACCATACCAAGGGCCCTGTGCGCTCCAGCTCCTCTCTGAGCTCCTGAGGGGGTAGGGACTGGGTGGGGACCGGGCACCAGGTCCAGTGTGCTCACTGCGAACCATGCCTATGCCCATCCACCCATCGCCCGGCCCCAGCGCTGCCTACCGTCTGTTGTGGAGCACTGTCGCAGCCAGTACTTCCCGAAGACCTGGTCCACCCGCTCCCCGTGGCGCACCACCAGCACGCTTCGCCTCGCGAGTGTGGCCTGCAGGGAAGCCGGAGCCACTTAGAGACAAGCAGACTCACTCTGGTGGCACCTGGAGACCCGGCCGCCCATGTGACCTGGTCACTACTGGGGTAGGGACCCGGAGCCGCTTGTTTACTGGACAAGAGGGCATCTCAGAGACGGAAGGGAAGGTTGGCTCACACCACCATCCAGTGACTGCTGTCTTTCAAGCCCCTGTCCCTCTGCAGAGGTGTCTCAGACACCATCTCTGTCCTCATGCCTGTGTCCTGTGTCACCATAGTGTCCTGTGTTACCATAGACCCGGAGAAACAGGGCCAAATAATCTGTTGGACTTAAACCTTTACAGCCAGGATCTGAGCACACTTTTTGTCTTTTAAAGTTGGTTGCCCAAGGTGTTTTGTCACAGTAGTAGAATGACTGCCACCAGACACTTGTCTGACTTAGTAGATGCAGAAGCTGTGGATGGCAGGGCTGACTATTTTGTTCAGTTTCTTCTCAGTGTGGGGTGGGTGTGCTGGGGACTGGTGTGCTGGACACTGAGCTGACCAGAGGATGGTGGGACAGCTGTTTGCAGCAGAACCTTCTCTTCAAGCTGAGACCCTCAGGGCAGGCGCCGAGGCCCACTGTCATTCTGGATGGCACCACGGGCCAGCAGACAACACCTGCACTCATGTCCCAGCCCCATGGGGTACAGCCCGGTCCTAGCGTCAGACATCTGGAGGCTGTTCTAGAGCCAGATGGGGGTCCCCCCTCCACACAGGTCGCCTGGTGCTGCCCATAGCCCTGAGAACTCAAGCCATTGCTGCCTCTGTGGGGCCACACCTCAGCCCACGCTCCTTCCCCTGGAGCCCCAGATCTCCTGGGGGCCAAGGGACAAGTGTAGAAAGATGCTTTGTAGAGAGGACAAGGACAGAGTGCACAGTGGCTGTCACCAGACAGTTCAGGGAGTTCCTAGGGAGGACAGGACTCGGCCGTGCTCCAGCTGAGGTCGTCAGGATGGGTCAGCGGACAGTGCAGGGGACGGCCCAGTGTCCGCTCCCATCCTTTGCTCCAGCTTTGGCAGCACAGTTCAGGGGTTCAAATGCAGCAATGCCTTTTCTGGCTAGGGGGTTGGCATGCTCTTCCTCAGCCTAGCTCCATGCAGCAGCCTCCTGCTGCTCTCTGACTTCCCCTAAATCCTAGGCAGGGAAATACAGTGCGGTTAGCATCCTGAGTGGCCCCTTCTCCTGGGAGCAGGAGATTTAACACCCAGCCAGGCTGCAAATCACACTAGACTGTGCTTTCTTCTGCAGACACTGATGGAGCCAGCAGCAGGGTCCCCTTGGGTGTGCCTGGTGTTGGGAAGTGGCTGGGGATCGCTGGACGGGAGGAGGCTGGTGAGCAGAGGATAGAGGCTGTGTCGCCCTCCTCAGGGCTCCTGGGCTTAGCACCATGGACAGCTCCAGACGCCTCCAGCAGCCCAGGCTGACCTGGACAAAGGCCATTCCAGCTGCTCTGTGGACCAGATGTTCTAGTGACTCTTCTACTTGCAGCAGACGTGGGAGCTACAGTGTCTGTGAGAGCAAAGGACGCTTTGAATTGCACACATGCACTTTTGGAGGACCGGCCTTTTGAGCAGTGCTGAGGTGCTTCACGTGTCCAGCTCCAGGGCACAGCTCCGAGGGGAGCTTTGCCTTGCTGTCTTCCCGTTATAAGGCAGGGGACCACCGCTTCTGACATGTCACCTCTTGAGAAGATGCACTTGTATCTCCTGTCTAGCTGCCAGCAGCTGGCACGGCCCTCGGGTGCCCGGAGCTCAGCCTGCCTGGCTGCCGTCCTACGTGTTGGCAGTGCTTTGGGCTGAGGTGTTGGAATTTGGGGCCTTTTTACCCTGGTTGACTCTGGAGCACTTGTACTTTGAAATGAGAGAGAACTAGGGTGATGAAGTGAGAGAGGGGTACTAGGGAATGGGGTGGACCAGCCCCGAGAGCAGCGGTAGTGAGGCCCAATCAGCTCTCTAGGCAGAAGGGCTGTGTTTATGTACTGGGTTTCAGAACAAGGTACCCCAAACTGGGGGACAGGGGATAACAGGAATATATGCTTCCATGGCTCTGAGGTCAAAAATACAAATCCAAGACTACAAGGTTGGGTCCTCACACAGGCCCTGTGAAGGTAAGGATCCAATGTGTCCCACCCGAATGCTCCTGTGTTAAAGACATGGCTGTTGATGGATTTGGGGGCACTGATTGGATCATGTAAACTGTGATTTAATCAGTGGATGAATCCAGCCATGAGATCATACTTTGAAGCTGGGTGTGGTAGCATTCCTGTAATCCCAGTGCACTTGGGAGGCTGAGGCAGGAAAATTGTAAATTCAAGCCCAACCTGGGCAAATGAGTGACTGAAGGAGACCCTGACTCAAAATAAAAAATAAAGGGCTGGAAATATAGCTCAGTGCAAAGGCCCTGGGCTCAGTCTTCAGTATTGGAGGCAGAGGAGACCCTAACTTGACTGCATGATTTGGAGTTGGTAGAGACAAGCGGTGGGGCCTGGTTGAACAAAGTAGGTGTCATGGGGATGTGACCTGGGGGGCTGTCATTGGTCCTGGCTCCTTCCTGTATGGCTTTCTCATCCTCTCTGCTTGCTGGCTGCTATGAGGGAGCAGCTTTTCTCCCTCACAGCCTCTGCCATGTTGCTGTTCTTCATGAAAGGCCCACAGCCATGGAAACCCCAGACCATGGACTGAACCTCTGGAGCCACGAGCCAAGCTATAAACTGGGGAGCAGCTAAAGCTGGAGGTGGATCACACGTGTGGAGTTGGAGCCAGGCCCATCCTGAGACCACAGAGCCCCGAGGCAGTGGCGTGAATAAGCTGTCTCAGCCCTGAGCGTGCGAAGTGCCCGAGGTGAACCAGGTGAACTGGAGCTGTGAGAGGCGAGCTGTTGCTAGGCCGATGCGTGCAAATAAAGGCCTGCAGTCATTGGGCAGCTCTCTTCTCTGCCCAAGAGGAAGGGCTCCCTCTGGCCTCAGCTTTCCACATCTTCTTCATCTTGCTTTTATTTCTTCACAGTCCTACCCCAGAAGTTTCTCCAGAGCTGCACTGGACACTGCAACAAACCCATCCTCCTTGAAGCTGAGTCTCCAAGTTATTCCATCACAGTAGTGGGTGGCACAGGTCTCAGGGAGATGCGTCCTCCTCCTGCCAGTGTCCTTCTGTCCACACTGCCTCACGCCAGGCTGTTCCCATGTGGCTACCTCCTCTGGGTGTCTTTCTGGCCTCCTTCTGTAAGGACCATTGTGATGGCCTCTAAGGCCCCCTGGTCACCCAGGATCATCTCTCTCCTGGTCCTTAGCTCCAGGGCTCTGCAAAGACCCTTGTCCTTATCCTCGCATGCGAGGACTCCAGGGTTTACAGCTTCCGGTCTGTGCGGCCTTCGGTTCACCCCTTGCTGTACGGAAGGGGTGAAGGCAGAACAAGGGAGGGGCCAGCTTACGGGGAGGTGCATGTGCCTCGATCATACATTTAGGGAACCAGTCGGAGTAGCACAGGCCCAGCTCAAAGGACTTCTGCCCCTGGAGGGACACACTCCAGAGAGTCCTGTGGGGCCTGCTCTCACTCCCTGGGGACGGTGGCGTGTCCAGCCTGCACTGTCACCAGGTGAGGCAGGAGGGAGCCAAAGAAAGGCTAGGAAAGAAGCGAAGATGGACTGGCCTTGGAGCCCACTTTCTGGAATCCAGTGACCAAGGAAACAACTGGGAAATAAAGGTGGCTTGTAGATTTCTGGGCTGGAGCCACCTTCTGGGTTAGACGCTAGCCTGGAGCCAGGTGCCAGGTCTGAACACAGAGGGATGCAGTGACCAGGCAGCTTAGTGCAGACATGGCAGGTCCTGCACATGCGCACAGAGCTCTTCTTCATCCCTCGGTGACCCCGACCCTGATCACCACATCGCTGAGTATGCATTTGAGTCTGTGGGCTTCGGACACCAGGACAGCTCCTCCAATGGCCACACAAAGTCAAAAACTCCACCCATGGAGGGGCTGAGTCAGGCTGTCCCCTGCAGGGGTCACACTCAGACCCAACCTTCAGTCCTGCCCAAACCCTAAGGCTCGAGACCCTTGGCACTGAGGCCTGCTGTGCTCCTCCCTCTGGCCCGCTTTGCCCGTGGAGTGGACCCTGTCTTTCCCAAGTGAATCACTGACCCCACTGCTGCCCTTGAGGATCCTGCTCAGTTCTTTCAGATACCAGGAGCCTGGACAGGACCACACCATGGTAACACTGACACTGGGCAGCCTGGGCAGAGGGGCTCTTCCTGTCAGCTGGTGACCGGCAGATGCTTGGCTCCCTGGTCAGTGGCTCCTGGGCCTCTCTGGTTGAAAGCCTGGCTGGAGAGGACCCGTGTCAGCTCCTGCCTGGGTCTCTGGTGGTGTGGCTGACACTCAGGGAGGATGCTGGGAAGTGGCTAGGGTGGCAGGCGCAGTCCCACGGCCGGGATGCAACCGCACAGGTCTGTTTTCTTCTAAGTGGAGCCCACGAGTCCAGGCCACGCTGTCAGCATGCTGGCTCTCTGAGGCCTTTGTCCTTGGTTGGGGATGGGTTTTCTCTGTGTCCTCACGTGTCCTGCCTGTGTGTGCCTGTCCTCATCCATTCTTCTAAGGACACAGCCCTGTGGCTCGAGGCCCATGTGAATCAGGTCTACAGAGGCCTGATCCCCAAATGCCATCACAGCTGGAGGGGTCGGGGCTGTGAGTTCCCACAGATGGGTTCTGGGGACACAATTCAGCATCACAGTGGGGCAGCTATCATCTGGTCAGTGTGCTGTTCACCAAAATGCCACTAATAGGTCAGGTCTGGGTCTGCCTCTGGGGCTCAGGGAAGGGCCACACCACAGCCCTGTCCCCTGGTAGTGACACCCATGGTCCCCAAGGCCAGTCAGCTCCTGACATCAGCCCCCTGCACCCTGCCAAGCCCCACTTTGAGACCTGTGAAGGGAGGGGTGGGAGCGCTGCCTGCATTGATTGGGGTCACTGAGATAAGCAATGCTACACAGCAGGGTGCAGAGCGACTGCTTTGGAAACAGGAGGGCCAGAGAGGCCTTGCCACACATGTGACAGCTCTGTGCTGACCCCAGTGGCTACTTCTAAAGAAGGACAAACCTCCGCTCAGACAATGACCCTTTCCTGGGCAGCCAGGTACCAGATGGCCTTTGGGGACCGCATGGCATTGCTAGCTGCCCCCTTGCACCTTGCTTTGTTGGATGTGTCTGTGTGGGCGGCCAGGTTCAAGGTGTCCTCCTGCTGTGGATCCGGCTCCTCCACCCTGCAGCCTGGGCTCTCATCTCTCTCCTCCCTGCCTGCAGGAGCCTTCTTTGGGCTCGGTCCTTAAAGCAGGAATCTGGACATTATTGTCCCTTCCACTCCTTGTGTGAGGTCCTAGAACCATGACTTGTGTCCACTATGGAGTGCAAGGTGGGTCCCCTTGGCCAGGGAGGACAGACCAGATGTTGCCTCTTGGGCCCTAGGCCTGCTGAGAAGCATCCCAGGCCAGTCCACATCCGGGTCTGCCTGAGGGCAGGTGGAACCGAAGCTGAACCCAACAGCCCCACCTACGACAGGGTCCACGGAAAGCAGGTTTTACTTACTGCCCTTAAGAAGTGGGGGTTCTGTTACCTGCAGGGCCTGTAAGCTGCTGATACTCCTGGGTGTCGGAGAGTGGAAATCTCCGTTCCGCCTGCCGCTGGCTTCGGCGTCCTTCCTGGAGCTGGTGTCCGTGGCTAGACTGAAGGTGTACGTCCTGTGGGGGGGGGGGGAGAGAAGCCTATCATGAACAGAGCTGTGTCTGTCATTGCCATGGAAACGCAGCACGTGGTCCTGGAGGTGCGTGACAAGGTCCCGGACCACCTGGGCAGAGCAGATGATCCAGGACGCAAGGTCACAGCGCAAATGAAGTGCTCAGGACTGCAAATGGGAATTGCAGGCAATGTCATTGCTTCTGGCACTTCCTATGACGCTTAATTTCATGGTCCACTTGGCTGAGACACAGTGCCCTGGAAATTGGGCAAACACTTATCTTGTTTTAGCCTTGAGGACAGAATTCTGGAACTTCACAATGACCTACATCCCCAGCATTATTTTAAGTTTTACTTTGAGACAGGTTCTTGCTAAGTCATTAAACTGCCCAGGCTGGGTCTGAGCTCCCAGTCCTCCTGCCTCAGCCTCCCAGGTGCCAGGTCTACAGTTGTGCTAAAAGTGGTCCAATTTGAGGGGCTGAAGCATGGAATGTATTTTCATGGTGGGGTAAAATTTTCCCATTGTTTTTATTTCCCAGTGTTTTCTCATCTCTGCTATTTATTCTTCCCGGTGGGCTCTGTGTTCATCCAGGGAAGTTGTAACAAATGACTCCCTGGGATTTTGCCTGGAATCCATCAAACCTGGGAAAGCATGACAGTGAGAGAAGCGGGTACGCTCCTGTATTCCCCGTTCTCGCAGAGGTGTCGAGAGTTTATTTCTTCCTCCCTGCACGCACGTGAGCTTTTTCTCTGCCCCCGAGTCCTCCTGTGGCGAGCTTTTGTCCTCAGCCTGCTCCAGGGCTGTCCTGTGCCCATGGTCAGGCCTGGCCACCCACTGCCTATCCTGAGGTTCCTATTTCCTTGCTCGGCACGAGTGTCTTTCGCAGAACCGGAGGTTGAATGCAGACCCGGCCTCCAGGCAAGGCCTCCACCTCAGGGTCACAGCCCTAGTATTTTTTAAATTTTGAAACCTTGATCCCATATCTTGCATAGTCAGGTGCAGGGAGAGGATCACGGCCGCCCAGGAACTCCAGCAGTCACTGCAGACCCCCGATGGTCGTCGTAGATCCCTGATGGTCTCCTGTCCCCATGGGCAGCCTCTGAGGGAGAGCCCCTTCACAGGGCCTCATGGTGACAAAGGAAATGGCGGTCGGTTTCTTCTTCCGGAGGGTTAGGGTGGGGGCACCTGAGCGCTGCTATCAGCAAGTGACATCTGTGAAGTTTACAGTCAGCAGCAAACCGAAAGCATCGCTGAACTCAGAGATGCAGCGTGGATGGGTCAGGAAGAAGCCAGGGCTGCGGCCTCGGGGAGGACGGGAAGGGGTGGGGCAGCGGTGTGGACCTGAATGCCTGGTCCTTGGGGGCAGTGCGTGGGGCTCCGTGGTCAGTGTCATCCACCGGCATCGGGGCTAAGCCTCAAGATCATGGTGCCCAGGCTGTCCTTGAGGCCTTGTCCTTGGCTTGGGGTGGCCTCTTCTCCCTGAGGTCCCTCACACGGCCCCTCTGGTGGGCCTGGCCCTCAAGATCCAGTTCAAGGCTGTGGGCTGGATCAGGGCTTCCCCTGGTGACCTTGTTTTACCCTCATGCCTGATAACAAAGCTCTTCTCTGAGTGAGGTCCGGAGGTAGGTGGGGTGCTGTGGGGCAGGAGTTCACACTGTGAATTTTGTGGGGACCCAACTCAGCCCATGGCTCTGCTGTCTTTTTTTAAGGTCCGAGATGCTTGTGACCAAACTGCTCGGAGTTTTGAGAGTCGCTGCCTGGGTCTGCGGCAGAGCTGGGCGTGGTCTTCCCTGGACTCCAGCCTCGGCCTTGTTCTGGGCTCTGCGTCCCGTCCTGCCTGTCCGGCCTCCCGTACAGGTACAGAGTGCCGGGTCCCATGGGGTTCCCCGGGCTGCCCTTTGGGGAACCGGTCTGGCCAGTGTGGGATCCTCTCCCCAGTATGGCGGGTCCCAGGCTGGGGATGGGCTGCGCTCTGGCGCTCTCTTCTTGGGTTCCAGGGTGGGGTGCCCTCTGGCCGAGTTTGTGTCATCCCTGCCCAGGTGGTGTCCTGTGGCTGTGTCACAGTTGCCAGGTTGCCTCACGACACCACAGCAGGGTGGGGCTTCCAAAATGGGGCTCATCAGACACCTCTCAGTACCTGGCTGACATTTCTCTTCTTTCCTTTTGCCGCAGTTTTTGCTAACATTTATTAATTCCTAAAGAAGCTCATCTCCAGAAAGACACATCAGCGTGGCAGGTGGATGGTTATGCAGGCTACGGGCGCCGGGCACAGAGTTAGCAGTGACAGCTACGTGTGTGTCTTCCACAGGATACTCAGTGACAATGGGCTCTCTGTCTCGGGCATCGAGTGACAGAGCCTACCGGGGCACCCAGGTCACCTGGGACCTGCAGGTCAGGTTCGGAGTAACCAGGACATGAGTCTTTAGCGGTCACCAGGCAGGGTGATGGGCGGCGCCCCTTGATGCAGCCCTGGACACCAGCAGCCCCTGGACCCACAGCTGCGTCTGCATACCCCCCAACCCCCCATGCTCCTTCCAGGCCACCTTCTGCAGGCGTCTGTGCCCGGCAGCTGAGACTCTGTGTTAGAGCTGTGTTTCCTTCGATCCGAGGGCTGGGGACTCTGAGTCCGGATCGCCCAGCAGCCAGGTGCAGACGAGCAGCTGCCCTGGTTTTATCTGACTTCTTTATTTCTCCTTTGGCCCAATTTCCTCAGATTCTTTAGGTTTAAGATGGATCCATTCATACTTTGAAGCCGCAGTGCATTTTTAAGATACGTTGCATTGGAAGACAGCGAGGTTCCCCTCATGCGTCTGCCGCAGGAAGTCCCAGGCTCCCAGCCTCAAATCACCCCGCTGACGCCCTGGGACCTTAGGTCAGCACACACACACTCACACTCACACACACTCACCATGCATGTGTGTGCAGGCAACCTCCTTACCTCTGCTGCCCTCACAAAGTGTCGTGCCACACGCATTGTTCCGCAGATTGCTTTTGTCACTTGTTGATAAATGTTGGATTTTTTCTTTTTTTTTTCTAGTGCTGTGCTGCGTCCCTATCTTGGACGTATATTTTTCATAGCAAGATATAAAGTATTTATCACAGCTATGTTAAAGCTGCAAGTGTTTTATTATACGGATGTGTAACACTTCATTCCACCAGTGGTGGGTTTTTTTTGAGACAAAGTCCCACTTTGTAGTTCAGACTGGCCTTGAACTCCCAGCAGTTCTCCTGCCTCAGCCTCCCGAGTGCTCGAATTACCTGTGTACACCACAAGGCCTGGTCTCTGACATAATTTTTAATAGAATGCTTGCTTTGGGTAATGAGTTGGGGATTAGGATAGGGCTGAGTAAAGCCCTGGGGGAAGGTGGGCCAGTTGTTGGATCTTCCTGTGCCTCAGTTTCTCCAGCTGTAAAAGGCAGCAATAACAGTGCCTACTTAGGGGCTGCTGCGAAGCACAATAAACTGCTCAGGGCCAAGCCAGGGTCCATGCTTGGCCCCGGCAGGGTCCAGAGGTCATGGAGCTAGACTTATTCCAAAAATAGTCCCCAGCTGTTTGAGCCGAGCTCGCTCAGAGTGGGAACCTCACTGCCAAGTGTTGGGACCGTGGCTGCCTGTTCCCACCTGGGTGTGCTGTGTGGTCCCCACAGCACCCTTGGGTGGTGACCTCAGGGAGCTGCACTGCCTGCAGAGCTGTAGCTCAGGCTGGGGTCTGTGGTGTGAGTGGGTCCTCCATTTTGGGTACAGCCCACGGGCACTGTGCTGCCCACACTGTGGTGCGTGATCAGCAGACGGAACCTACACTCAGAAGCAGTCAGGCTCGCCTGGCCTTCCTCTGCGAAGACCCTCAGCGAACACCTCCCCACTTTCCCGTCTCCAGATCTAACTGGCTGCAGCTGGTGCCCCCACCCTAGCGTAGAAAGAGCACCCACTGACACAGAGAGCTGGGGTGAAGCGGGATGAGGAACAGAGCGGACAGACAGGGGTGTCCCCATGTCCCCCTAAAGCTGTCCTTTTCTAAATGATGTGGCGTTTCTCACAGTGACTGCTTTAGTGCGGTCCGGTGCAACTTTCTGCTTTTTAAACTGCGGTTCCTTGCAGAATCCAGCCATTCTGCCTACGGGCTTCTCCTCTGCTGGGCACCGCCCACACCTGCTTCATGATCTGCTCGGCACGGGAGTCTCATGACAGCATAGTTCTCAGGCAGGGAACAGTTAAGGGGCAAGTGTCGCTCAAATAAAATGGCACCCTCTCCACAGGCTCTAGATTGGGTGGATTGGACTTAGTGATTTGCTCACTAGCGGGGAAAACCCTAGTGAGACCAAGGAGGGTCTGAGGAGCCTCAGTCAAGCAAGGACATGAATTGGGGTGATGGGGGGGGTGTCTCATTTGGGTTGTCCCTCATCTGCCAGCCAGCTGTAATGGGGCCAGACACCCCCCCACACAGAGACTCTTCTGCTCCTTCACACTTGGACTTCCCCAACTGCCCCTCAACTGCCCCCAAACTTCTGTATCATTAAAACTTTCTGAGGCCCCTCCTTTCCCCTTATTCCTCTTAGTTCTGCTGACTGACACCCATGCCTGGTGTGACCCAGCGGTCACACAAAGCCATGCCTGGGAACAAACCTGTGTGTGTAGGCAGGCAGATGCATACATAGGCCTGCACGTGTGCTGTGTGTGTTATTTCACACGTGTTCCACACTGGGTGCACATATGCAATGCTGTATGTGTATAATATTTGCATGTGTTTATAATGTCTCTGCATAGTATAAAAATTACTGGTTTGCTGGGCGTGGTGGCTCATGCCTGTGAGGCGTGGAGGATCATTGTGAGTTCGAGACCAGCCTAGGCAACAAAGTTAGCTCAAGGCCAGCCTGAACTACACAGCGGGACCTTGTCTCAAAAAGACAAAAAAAAATTACTGGTTCTTCCCCACCTAAACTTGTATTAAGTTTGGTATCAGGATTATGGGGCCACTCTAACAAATACCTACAATGTGCAGTTTTGGGTCTGGACCATGAGCAGAGGCTGGAAGAAATTTTGGATGTAGGATAAAGAAACCCCATGTCATCACGAGCCGAGGGTTCACAGAAGGTGGGGGTAGGTGGTGGGGTACCGGTAATGCCTGTACTCTGGGAGGCTGAGGTGGAAGGATTGCATTGAGCCATTTAGAGACTTAGCAGGATCCTGACTCAAAATAAAAGATAGAAAAGGGCGGGGTATGCAGCTCAGTGCAAAGGCCCTGGGTTCAGCCTCAAGTACAGGAAACCAACAGTCTGGATGTTCAGGGTGCTGCTGGGAGAGCTCAGGAGGCAGTAGTGCCTCATAGGAAGTGGGGAGCAGGAGGTTCTGTTACAGTGAAAACAAAACCCAGCACAGGTGTCTGCAGGGGGTGGAGGTGTCTGAAAGTCTTGTTTTCCTCGTGTTGTTATGGGAAATGGGACAAGTGAGGGACACGTCACGGGGGAGGGGGGGACCAGGAGCCAAAGGCAAACAGTGCCAAAGGCTTTGAAAATCCTCGGCCTCAACAGGTGCTGACACTAAGAGGCTGCAGACATGGGAGGAAGAGACCCACGAGGGAATCTAGAGTTTCCAGGAAAGAAAGTGTCCATGACCCTGTGAGCTCTGGGGAGGATCTGGGGCCTCAGAGGGACCCAGCCCTGCCCACAGCCTTGTGACTCCGCATAGGGGACCCGGTTTAACCAGATCTGGCTCCTGACCTGTGAAAATCCTGTCTCAGCAGCTGACTTTGTGGGATTTTGTCCCAGAGAGGAAGAGGTCTACACAGCACCGAGCACTTGACGGTTTATGCACCGAGCCTAAGCTCAAGGCTTCCAAGGGTATTGCCTGGTGTTTGTAAGAAAGAAGACTTTTGCAATAATCGTTGGGCTTTACTGCCTTGGTAAAATAATATGAGGTGACCCACATCCTGAGTGTTATCGGCAGAAACCATGCGTGTATCAAGATACTCAATTGTTTTGCCAGCGTGGGCATAGAAGGTCCAGATGCATAGCCTTACAGTGCCCGCCACCTGGGCCACAGGGCCCAGGCCGTCCACACTGCACTCACCTGTGCTTGACCCAGGTGTCCGCCTCGCTGGCCCGCTCCGTGTAGTTCTCTGGTAGGAAGCCCCGGCAGCCTGTGCGATGCGAGGTCCCCAGGACCCAGCCCTCACTGGCCTCCTCCTGCTCGCTGGGGTCCACAAAGATGTAGTCGCCGGGGCTGAGTGTCAGCTCGTCCCCGTTCTGGGGCTTGTACTGGAACAGGGCACGGAGGGTCTGGAAGGAGACAAGGGGTTTGGGTCCCCTCAAGGGTTCATGCTAGGAAGTGACGTTGGAGCTGAGGTGTCATGTCTGGGGCCTTGCTTCCTCCCCTTCTGTGTGCCCAGGCGCCAGGGCCACGCTGTGCCCTTGTCGAGGAGCCACAGGGCATAGAGCGAAATGCAGCGTGGAATTCTAGGTAGATTCAGGGACTTATCTGTATGTCCTCCCTTTCCTCCTCCCTCCCAACCCGGTTACCCGCCTACTCGCCCACTCACCCTTTGCTTCCTTCCTACACGGAAGCCCCTCAGCTCTCGACGTGTGTCGCACATGCCTTCCCTGACACAGGTGACTATGGATTCTCTTAGAGTGGGGACAGAGTGGATACAGCAGCGCCTCGGTTCCCTATTTTCATCTGCGAACCACTTGGTTCTCAAACCGAAACATATGGCGCAATGTCACTCTTGCTTTGTGAATTCGCCTCTGGTGGTGGATGTGACCGTGGCCATCTCTGCCACCCGCACACAAAGGCAGCCACCTCTTCTCGAGTGGTGGAATGAACTGAGTTCGTGAGTAGAGGGACCGCTGTATTTACCCTGGGTCTGAAGGAGCACCCCAAGCTTTTTTTTAAAACCCATTAAGTCTCAGGAGAGGAGCCCTGGAATGAGCTACAGTAGGGGGAAGTAACAAGCAGCCTTGTTGCCAGCGGTCCTGACAGCAGCCCTTTGCTAAGATGACCAGAAATACCTCTGGTTGGTGGAAACTTCAGGGCTTGTGCCTGGGGGAGCCTGCTCCCCGCTGCACAGCAGGAAGCATGTGGGAAGGGGCGGGACCAGTGCTGTCCCCTGGACTCCGGGGAGGGAGGCCAGGCCCTCACCTGGTAGTGCACGAAGCGCATGTCTCGGGAGAAAAGGGCTGCCGTCCACTGGCAGGGGTGGCCTGGGGGGACAGCTCTGGCCAACTGCTCCAGCGTCCTCTGGTGATGGGGGTAGAACTTGTGGGCCAGCGTCAGGTGCAGCTGCTTGGTGCAGGGCTTCACGCTGCAGTCTGCGCATCAGGAGGGTGCAGGGCGGTTAGCATGGACCTCCGCACAGGGCACCTGCCTCCGCCCGCCCTGCCCCCTCTCGGTGGGTGCTTCCTGCTCAGGCGAGGCCTGGGCTTTCCCTGGTGCCCGGCTTCCCTGGCTGCAGGATGTGGTTGGATGCCACGGAGTTTTGGAGGAGGGAGGAGAGAGACAGAGGCACAGAACTATGGCTTGAGGGGTTCAGGGGCCTTGGGCGAGCTGATCTCCAAATGCCTGATGAAATGCACAGTGCCCAGCCCCCTCAGTCTCAGGGTGTGCATGGACTCAGCGCCTTGAGACCCAGACTCTAGTTCAGTGGTTTCCTGTTCTGTGAGGGTCTCTGGAGAGAACTCACAGGTCTAGCTGGGCATGGTGGTGCATACCTAATCCCAGAACTCGGAAAGCCAAGGCAGGAGGATCGCTCAAGTTTAAGGCCAGCCTGGGCTACAAAGTGAGTTCAAGGCCAGCCTGAACTACACACAGACCCTGTCTCCGGGAAAATACTGCGCACAGCATCTCTGCTTGGGTCTTAAAGGAGCCTGGGCGGGCTGAGGCGCAGGTCTTTGTGGGTGGTCTCTGTGCGCCCAGTCCTGGTCCTCCTGCAGGCTCTCAGGTCAATGAGTGGAGTGGCTGGTGTCACTGGAGCAGCCCGATCCTAATGTCAGCCAGGCCAGAAGCATTTCACATCCTCTGTCACGAGGGTCACAGCACAGGCCTTGCTCTGGGTGGGGGGGACAGAGGTTCCAGCCCCTTCTTCCCTTCCCAGTGGCACAGGTGTGGTCAGGTGTGGCCATCTGCCTCCCCTTGCTCCAACAAAGGGTGACTTGGGCCCAGATTTGCTGCCCCTGGGCGTTGTGGGACAGTGTATCCCGGGGGTCCTGCAAGCTGGTGGGACACAGGAATAGCTGCCTGCACTCCACGAAATTTGCTTGTAAACACACCTTGTTGTTCATAAAAAAAAAAAAAAAAAAAAAAAAAAAAAAAAAAAAAAAAAGCTCCAGGAAGACGCTGTCCCTTCCTGCAAGCTCTGTGGCCATTCCACCATCTTCCATGGACTCCACCCCACTCATGCAGCCCAAGTGGCTGGGCACACAGCCTAGACAGGTGGTGTGGGTGAGGAAATGTGTTCCTCAGCTGGTTTAGTAGCACGAGGGTGGACAGGGCCTCCTACACTGGCCCTGACAGACTAGGGATGCTGCCCAGCTGTGACTGGCCACTGCCTCGTGGGATCAGGCTGAGCCATGGGCCGTGGAAGTTTCAAGCCCCTGCCCTAGCAGTCCTGGTCCTGCTGTGTGAAAGTGTAGAAATGCTTCCTCTACAGTTCTGGAGGCCGGAAGTCCTTCTTCAAGGTGTCTGCAGGGTCAGGAGCCCCCCAACGGCTGGGGAGGGGCTGCCTTGACTCACCCCTTGAGGAGGCCCCGTGGAGGTGCTGTGTGACACCAGGTGCAGCCTCTGTGGCCCATGACTTTCTTGTCTAAGCGCCCGAGTCCTCTCCTCTCTGGAGGGAACACCGGTTGCTGGGTGTCGGGGCCGCTCTCCTCCGATGACTGCATCCTATCTATTTATCCCCAGGGAGGCTATTTCCAGCAAGGCCGCATTCCTTGGTGGTCCCAGCTTTTCAGGGGACACCACTGAACCCAATAAGGCTATTTTGACAGGCACCTTAGTGCCTGTGCCTCCGTCTCCCCGTTTTAAGGCGAGGCTGGTGAGTCCCACTGGGGACATGAGGAACAGTGAGCGCCTGGGGTGCCCAGCCTCTGGATGGGAGTTGTGCTGGGCACTGGGCAGGCCCTGGGGCACCTTGTCAAGCATCCCCTGCAGCTGCCTACCTGCCAAGACGGCTGCCTCGGTGGCGAAGGCGGTGGCGAACTCCCGGATGACGTCTGCAGGGCCGTCGCTGATGAAGAAGCCGAGGTAGCTGACGGAGGAGTGCAGCACCAGGGGCACGGTGGCAGGGAAGGACGCCAAGACCTGGTCCCCTGCCCTCTTCAGGGCCTCGTACAGGCTTTCCACCTTCTGGTCTTCACACTGGGGCGGGAGAGCAGCACCTTCCTCAGTCTCGGCCGGAGAACCTGCCCTCCCCTCCTCTTTCCTCCCCTCACACGCTCATCCCAGGTCCTGGCCTCTTTCTGCAGCCCTGGAGCCCTCTCTCCTGAGGGTCTTCACGAAGTGCGATCAAAAATACAGTGACCGCACCACTGAGCTCCTCCACAGTGAGGCAGCTTGTAAACCTACCACGCTGCGTTCTCATCCGCCTTGGTCACCAGAACTGGTTCCATGTGACTTCCGGCTTCTCTCCAGAGGCAGAATGACCGTGAAAGGGAAATGATCTGAACCAGCGGAGGACACTGAGGTTCAGGCAGGACAGCACCACTAAAGACCCTTGGGAGAGAGAACCCCAGAGCTGCGGCAGGAAGGGCCAGGATGAGGCCGGTGTGCCGGATACCAAGAGGTGCGTGGGAGGGGACTCAGAGCAATGTGTCTTCCCTATGATAAAGTTTTGAAATTCAAGCGGCCCCTGCCCTCGGTGGCACCGGTGACCCCCTTGGCAGATCTGCCCTAGATCTGGTGCTCATTTTCTGCTCTTTTAGGTAAACTCTTTCAGACTGGACTCACCTCCCAGTGCCCGGCTTGGGGCCCTTTGTCCCTCCTGTCCCTTTCCCAGGTCCAGCTGGTCTGGTCCCACTGCCTCACCCTCATCCTCACTGGCCCTGGTCCTGCCTCTTGCTCCCCACTCTCCGCTTTGCTGGAGTTACAGCCCCCTTCAGGGAATCCTGGGGGATGGTGCTCACACCCCCATACCCAGATAGGTGTGGAGCCTGGGCTGCTGGATTTAGTTTGTTTGTGTTTGGTATTTTGAGACAGAGTCTCAAGATGTAGTCCAGGCTGGCCTTGAACTCACTGTGCAGCCTGGGTGATGGAACTCGTGGCCATCCTCCTGCCTCAGCCTCCTGAATGCTGGGACTTTAGGTGTGTGGCACTGCTTTTGCTCTCCTGGTTCTGAGGCACATAGGAGAGAAGATGGGCGAGCTGGGGGCTGGCTGTCTCCCCCATCTGCCGGCTTTGGCCTCCTCTGCCAAGCAGCCCCGGGGTAGCCTTCTAGCTCCCCTCTATGCTCCTGTTCCATCTTCTATATAAAGCGCTGGCCCTAGGACAGGGATACATCCTGCATCTGTGATCACCGCTCTGCCACCCACTCATCAGCTGATTTGTCACATGGTTAGGAAGCTCCTTCCCACTCTGAGAAACATGCTGGCCTCTGGGTATAAAAACAAGGAGTATATCTGCCTCTCCAGGGGGTTTGGGCTGGGGAAGGACACGGAGCTGCGCCTTCCCAGGACAGGAAATGCCATTGGAGACGTAGACAAGGAGAGGGGACACACAAGACACAGCACTGCCTTCTGCCTGGACATCAAGGGAAGACTTAGAAGGAATCAATGAGCAAGCTCCTTCAGGTGAATAGGAGTTCATCAAGTGAAAGAAAGGTTAGTGGACACAGCAGACCCAGCTGATGCTGCAGATCTGGAGCATGTGTTAGAAGCCAGCCGTGTCCTTCCTGGCCTCGCTGCCCCAGAAGCGGGCTGCTGGTGCCCCGGACCGACTTACCGTGAAGAAGTCACAGAGCGTCACGTGCGGGAAGACCTCGTGGGCCCTGTTCTTGGCGCACTGCCGCTTGCTCTCCCTCCAGAACTCCTGCAGCCTCTCGAGCAGGGGCCCCGTGGGGCAGAGGAAGAGGGCATACTCCTGGGGGATGGGGTCGTCCAGGGAAGGGTCCTTGCAGTGGCTGTGCAGCCTGCAACAGAGAACGGGCACCTTCACGGGCGTCGCCGCGGCCAGGCGGCCACCAAGTGCACAGCCCAGAGAGTTCCGGCTGGTTCCAGGCAGGAGCCGTGTCTGAGACAAGGAAGGAAAGCGGCAGGAAGACTCCGACGGGGCTACCAGTGACCTCAGAGGTCCAGACAATGCCTCTGCAGTGCTGGGAAAGTTTATGGGAAAAATTCACGTTTTTCTTCTATGATGAACTTTAAATTAAACGTTGAAAATCAAAAGCATGCAAGCTAACAAAAAAAGAAAAAGTAGGTGAGTTTGGGTGGCTGTGATGTTTTCTTTCAGTTCAGTTACTTTTGGAAGCAAGCTGACAAAGAACCCGGGATGGGAACTCACCCTTTTAACAATAAACACAGAGATGAAGACAACCTCGACCTCGTTCTGTCCCCTGATTAAATGGATGAGGTTTTCCTGGAGGAATAAAAATTCCCAGCATGTCAAAGGCACAGCAAGGCTGTGAGACACCGTGAGGAGCTCATGGGGAGCAGTTAAGCCATGCATCTGGAACCTTAGGGTACCCCGACCTGCGACTGCCTCTGGGAAGGGGTGCAGAACGTCGGGAGGAGTCTCACAGGAGAGAAGGGCACTTCAGTGACAGGAAGGCTATTTATCAAGTGTTCGTTAAAATTCCTGGTTTTAAGGGCTTCCCGTGATGTGGGATGAGCTCCAGAGGTGACGTAGGGTTGGGAGCAGGGTGCAGCCCCAGGGGAGGTGTTGGTCCTGCCCAGCGCATCCCTCTAATAAAGTAGACGCAGTGAGATCGGTGCCTACACTAAGTGTTGATGCTTTAAAAAGTTATTGTCGTAAAAAAAGCGTTGCCGTTTATTCCTCCCAAATCCTCCTCCTCACCTTCCGTGTCCTTATACCGGCTGCTTCCTGCAGCAGCTCTGGAGTCCTCTTTCCCGAGGGTCTTTAGTGCCTCGCTGTCCTGAATCAACTCAAAACACTGACCTCTCATGGTCACTTTGTCTCTGGGGAGGAGCCGGGAGTCCCACAGTGCTGGCTCCGGTGACTGAGGTGGGTCAGGATGCAGTCACATGTTTACGAGCTGCCTTTCTGTCCGATGGCGCTCAACAGTAGAGTCACCATATTTCTGTTCACAGCTCACACAGACCCTCAGGAAAGAGGACTCCAGAGCTGCTGCGGGAAGTGGCCAGGACAGCGGACGAGTGTAGGAAGGCGGGGGAGGGTTCGGAGGGGAGTTGTGGCAGGACGTCTCTCTGGGCAGTAACTTTTCTTTAGCCATTTAAACATTCACGTTTCGTATACGGAGTCTGGCAGCCTCTTCTCCAGTTCACTCTTGTCCCTGGGTTAGTCCCGAGGAAGAATTCGTTTTGTTTTCTAACGGAAGTTTAACCACAGGTCTGTAGCCTGCACGGTGCGAATTTTATATAAATCATGAGCTATCTGTCCTTGTGTTCCCTGCTGTCAGCCACGTAGGCTGATGGGAGAAGTGACGCACGGCCCGTCACACACACGTGCAATACTGCGCTCGTCCTTACTGGTTTCCTTAGCGTGTCAATTCCTCTCTTCCTTTTAAAGATTCCCAGTGCTGCAGCCAAGATGTCTATGCCTGTCTCCTCTTGCCCTCTGTGTTCCGGGAACACGCTGGCATGCATGTGTGCCCGCAGACCTCATGGGATGGTAGCGTGTGTGTCCCTGGGTGGAGTCTGGGGACCCAGTTCCTCACAGCTCCATGAATTTTGACTTGGGGCTGGTGTCGAGTTGGATTGGCAAAGAGGGCCCTGGGTGGCCCAGTGCCCCCGGAGTGTCACTGCCTCACCCTGGCCCTGTGGTCCAGAGGCAGACACTGAGCCGGTGGGGACTGGCTATGGCCCTCATCCTTGTGATCCCTGTCAGTCTCTCCAGCCTGCATGGGCGGGGAAGACACCACTACCTTGTGGACCTAGCCCTTTCTCAGTGACGGTGTCTCCATCCGAGCGGGAAGTTCCCGGGGAGAGTCCCCTCAGGGCTCTCAGAGCAAGAAACAGTGGCACCCCTGGTACCGATAAAAATGAAACACACACACACACACACACACACACACACACACACACACACACAGAAAGAAACAGTGGCACAAGCCTGGCCCATCCGCCCACCTGGCGCTCTCCAGTTTTACCGTGTGAGCTCCTGGGCATAGGACCATCAGTGAGTGGAAGGGATCTGAGAGCGGGATGATCTTTCCTTACTTTCCTTTTTTCTCTATTCTTTCCTCCTTTCTTTCATGGGGGTTGAACCCAGGGCCTTCCCACTGAGTTACACCCCTTGTTTTTGGGGTTATTTTATTTTGTGATAGGATCTTGCTGAATTACTACTTGTCCCAGCTGGGCTCAATCTTGCAGTCCTCCTGCCTCAGCCTCCCCTGGTGCTGGGATTCCAGTGTGGGCCACGGTGCCTGGCCCGGCCCTTTCTTTTTTCATGTGGCCATAATGGATGCTCTGTATTGAGGCATTGAAGAATGGAGGTATCGAAGAAAACTGAGTGTTTCTGTGGGAGTCAGGTTTGAATTAAGTCAGATTTTTGCAGGGTGCAGGAGATCAAACTCAGGAGCTCACCCATGCTGGGCACAGGCTTCACCGCTGAGCCCTGAGTCAGATTTCCCCAAGTGGAAATCCGAAGGCTTTTCACTCCATCTCACAGCAGCGCTGTGCTCCCTGTGCCGGGTGCTGGGTACTGGCAGATTATCTCATCTCACTCTTGTTGCTTCTCTGTCCTCACCAGGGGGTCCTGGGCCCCTTCTGGGGTCCCCGGGAGCAGAGCCCCCAGCATAGCCCAGTCCTCCCCAGGGCCACTGCACCACACTCACCAGCTGGAGGCCTCCTCCACGGTCTTTCTCCCAGTGGCTGCCAGCGCCTTCAGCCTGCAGAGACGTGGGGGGGGGGGTCAGGGAGAAGCATGTGCTCCACCTGCCCCTTGTGGCTCCGGGGCTTCCCTGGGGGCTCCCTGCAGGTGGGTCCCCAGCCTCCGATGTCCCCTGGCTTTCTGGCATTGCTGTGCCAGGTGTGAGTTCACTGAGCTGGATTTAGCTGAGCCAGACTAAGCTGACTGAGTGTATGGGGCCTGCTGCTGTCTGCTGGACCCCGACGGGGATGCGGCCTGCTGGAGAGGTTTGGGCAGAGAGGCCCCCGGTGGGGCCGTGCAAGGCCCGCCTTTCCATGCCCACGTGTGTGCACTGTATAAATGAGAGGGATCTTGGGGCCAGCTTGTCTTGGGTGCTGAGTGTGAGAGGGATTTGGTGGCACCGGGAGCCAGCTTGAGGCTGCCCTGGCCACCCACTGCTGTTCCTAGACCTCGGCGTCTTTGTCCAGAACCGAGGGCATAGCTCGGCGTGGCCCCCTGCATGCACCTGACTCCACTTCCCGCTTGCTGGGTGCTCAGCTGTCGCCTACATCATGGTGACACCAAAGCACCGATCTGTGGGGGAAGCAAGGGCCTCTGGCCCCAGGCTGCTTCCTCCAGCGTTCGAGGTTTGCTTCCAAGTGCCAAGGAATGGAGAGCACCTCCCCTAGCCCTGGGGTGCCTTGAGTTTATTCCTGACGTGTCCCCTCTCTCCCTTTTCTTCCCAAAGGGTCTCAGTATGTTGCCCAGGCTGGTCTCAAATCCTTGGGTTCCAGAGACTCTGAGCCTTGGGAGTGGAGGGCTCACCACACCCAGCTCACTCCTGTCATTTCCTAACTGTCGTGCTTTGTGCTTCCAATGATGCGGTGTTTTCCCCAGGGACAGGTGGCTTTCCCTGTGTGGTTCAGAAACCTGGCCCAAGGGTTCTTTCCGTGGGCCTGGCATCAAAAACACACCTGGGGTTGGAGATGTCACCTTCAGAGCCACTTAGCCACCTTGAAATGTCACCTTCAGAGCCACTTAGCTGTACAAGAGGTCGCCACAGGCCCCAACTTCCTCCAAAGCCCTAGAAATGGGGGCAACCAGGGTGACATGTGGCTTCTAATGTGTGTGACTGTCAAGGTCTCCTGTTAGTCGGCCAGCAGGGCTGCTGCTTCAGCTGCTAAGGTCGCTCGGGGTGAAAGAGCAGAGGGGGCTTCTGCTAAGAACTCCTTCACCCGGCACCAGCGCCAGCCCACCCACTTCCACCGCTAAAGGGCTGGCCCAGATGCCCAGGGTCCCAGCTGCCTGTACTCACGCGGTGTGCGCTGGGAAGCCCAGGGCCAGGAGCGGGTCCAGCAGCGAGGGGGTGCTGTGGCCCTTGAGCTTGTTGCTGACCTTGGCGTAGAGCTGCGTCTCCCCTGCTGCCATCTCTTCCTGCCCTGGGCTGCGCCAGGCGCCTACAGATAAAGCAGAGCTGGGGCGGAGGGGAGGAGACAGGGCTGAAAAGCAAAACCTCAAGCCTTTTTGATGTCTCTGACACAACCAATATCCTGTTTGTAGGGGCGCTAGTCCTCGTGCCCTCTCTGCAAGGTGCTGGGGTCTGCCCACCCCAGCGGGGCACGTGAAGGGGTGAGCCGAGGACCAGGGAGTAGAAGTCAGGCCGGGCTTTTGTCTGGGGCCCCAGGGGCCACCTGCCCTCAGTGACCCTGGCCCTAGTCCCCATGTCTGCATGTTAGACATTAAACTACCCCACATCCACTGGCCCTGCTTGTCCTGAAATCTTTCTGGCCATTCAGTTATTCACTGATTTGTTTTTGATTTTTAAACATTTATTTAAATTTGAACATGCCAAAAGTCGAAGAATCACTTCGACTTCAGCAATTTCCATGCAGTGAGCACACACTCCCTGGTCTCCCAGGGACTGCAGCTGGGGGAGTTTTGAACACCTGCCCTGGGGTGCCTTGGGAGACACTCGAGGTGGTCATGACTGTGGGAGGAGAGGTGTCACAGGGAGAGGCCAGGATGTGGACAGCAAAGTCTGCAAAACCAAGAGTAACCTGGCTCCTGGTGTCTGGTGCAGGATGGAGAGACCCTGCTCTGGAATTTTCCTGGGACCCCTAGCCCTCTCCTGGAGCCCTCCACCAGCGCAGGGGCCATCAGCTGTGCGTGCATGACTAGTTTCCTTGTGAAATCAGTGTCGCTGCCTGTGACTGTAGCGAGCTCGCCATCAGTGCGCGTAGTGTTAATTAGACCAGTCTAGCACAGGCCTCTTCCCATCTCTTGGCTGCTGTGCCCTGGGGCAGATGGGACAGTTTATCTTCTCACCAGCAGATAATGAGAGTTTGGCTGCTCTGCTGCCGTGTGTGCACTTGGGATTGTCAGCCTCTTAAACATTAGCCATCCTGCCGGGGGAGTGGTGGTCCTCACTGGGGTTGTGACTCCTGTCTCTGGGTTGGATAAGGATTCTGAGACCCTTTCGTGGATTCCTTGGCCATTTGAGTATCTCTGGGGAAGTGCTTGTTCATAGCATCTGCTGTTTTGTTTTTTTCATGGGGTGACTTGCTTTTTCTTATCAATTTGTGGGACCTCTGGTTATTGGGTTCTGCATCCTGTTTACTCGCTTTGATAAAAACGGTCTCCTGTGTACTGTTCTGGAAGCTTTATTACTTTTACCTTTCACACTTAGCGCTATGATTCATTTGAATTAATTTCATGTGCAGTGTGAGGTAGGGATCAGGTTTCACTCATTTTTCCCATTGACAACTCTATTATTTGCCCAGAGTAGAATATTTATCACAAATATTTATTGTAAATCATAAGACTGTTTCTGGCTCTGTTCTGTGTCTTGTTCCTTCTGTCAGGTTTGGTGCTCGTTCTGCACAGTCGTGCTAAGCTCGCTGACTTTTGTCTCCTTCGGGATTGTCTTGAGTCCTCTAGACCTGCTGCTCTTCCCCATCCATTTAAGAATCAGGTCGTTGCTGTGTGTAGTGGAGATTTGAAAACACCTACACTCATGGCCCCGTGATTTCCAACAAGGTGCTGACGTACTTCCAAGAGGGAGCAGGATAATGGTGCTGGGAATGGCACGTCCACATGGGGTGCCCCTCAACTCCCACTTCATAGCATGCACAGAGGTGAACTTGAAATGCATGGTGGGCTCACATGTGAATCTAAAACTATGAGCCCTATTTTTGGTACTGGGAATCAAATTCAGGACCTCGCCTTTGCCAGGCGGGTGCTGTGCTGCTGAGCTGTACCCCTGGCCCAAACTAGGAGACTTCTAGAAGGAAACCTGGGAGAAAAGACTTGGTATGTTGGAGTTTGCAAACTTTTCTTAGGATATAAAAAGCATGATCCATGAGAGGTCGTAAACTGGAGGCTGATAACATGGATGTCATCAAAATTGTCAACTTCTGCCCCCTTAAAAGACACCATAAAAAACCCCAAAAGGCAAGGCACCGACTGGGAGAGGGTGTCACCACACATGTAACGGGTGTGGACTTGTACCCAAAATATTACACACATCAATGTATGAAATATATTCCTATAGTCAATAAGACATGTCAGTCTAAAAATGAGCAGTATATCTAAACAGACCCTTGGCAAAGGCAGATACATGACCGGGCAGGGAGACTCAATGCCGTTGTTCTTGGGGAGGAAATGCTGACACATATGGCTTCACAGAGCACTGCCTAGACTGCAAGCTGAAGTTGGAAAGACTGGCACACCAGTCAGCTCTTCATGAGAAGGTCAGTGGTTTATTTCGGCTCATGGTTTCACTGGTTCAGTCCATGGGCAGCTGGCTCAGAGGCAGAAACTTCACGGTGCTCAACTCTTGGTAACCAGAAAGCAGGGCAAAGGGGAAGAGTCTGAGAAGAGGGGCCACACTGCCCTGCCAATCTAGTCATCTCTCGAGCCTGTGAAGATTCACCAGGATTAACCGTCACAGTGGACCACACCAGGTTTGGACAAGGTGGCCGGATAATCGAGACTCTCTGACATTGCTGGTAGGATTGTACATCATCCGCTTACTTCCGAAAAACACTTCCATAGTTTTCTCTGAAGGTCAATGCATTTGCTATACGATCAGTTCTACTTTGAGCTTCTAACCAGGCACACATAAAAATATATGTCCATACGCAGAGATTTGTCCCTGGATGCTACTTGCTGTTTTGTTCCTAATTGTTCCTAAAGAAAGCACAGGATGGGTGGATGGGTACACACAGTGGATGGGTACACACAGTGTGGAATATTTAGCCAATAGAGCTGTTCTTGCTTGCTCATGGAAAGGACACGTAGTTTTTCATACAGCAGTGTGCATAGACACAAAAGAGTATTTTGCTGAGTGCGGATCACCACAAAATCCATCCTGCTACCTTCTGTGATCCATTTCAATGAAATTCTAGAAGAGATCAACCCAATCTACAGCAACCAAGAGCAGATTGGTCGTCGCCTGAAGTTAGCGTGGCATAACAAGGTTGATGGAGGTAGATTCCCTGGAGATTCCCTGGCATGCGCAGTGGTAGTTATATGGATGGGCACAGAGGACTAACCTAGATGTCAGAATGGGCACATTTATAGTGTGCCAATTAGACCTCAGCAAAGTTGATATTTTAAAAAAAGAAATGAAAGGAAAGTTGAGGACCACAAAAGGTAATATGTTATTTTCTGCCAAACCAAAAGTGTTGCTGGGATTTTGTTTGGAATTACGCGGAATCTGTAGATCAGTGTGGGGAGGACCAGCATTTTAACTGGTCTTTCTTCCCATGAATGTGCCTCTTAGTAGCTTTTTGTAGTTTTCAGGATGTTCCCTTATACTTTTGATGTTACTATAAATGGTATTATTAAGCAATTTCTGTTTTCATTTGTTTGTTGCTGGCAATAGAAATACAATTTTATACTGATCTCATTTATTAATTCTAAACCCGCCTATTGATTTAAAAATTTTAGAGGTTCTTATGGATTTTCATGTGTTCTGTCTCTAAATAACTACAGTTTACCTCTTTCTAGTCTTTCTGAACTTTATATACTCTTTGCCATTATAGCTCCAAAAAAGGCAACAGCGGATTTTTTGTGTGGTGTTTAAATCAACCTGCTTGCTTGAGACTGACCCTTTGGTCACAAAATGTCATTTCCCTCCCTTCCTTTCCCCTTCTTTTCTATTTTTTTCCTTTTCCTCTTTATTGAGCTACTTTGGGCCACAAATAAGATGTTAAACAATGAATCTAGGGCCTCTTCATGTATTATCTCCATCTGAGAGGAAAAGGTTTCAGCATTTTACCATCCCGGTGTGTCTGCTGTGTTTTCTGTACTATCTTTTTCCCTTTAATTGTACCCCCTTGGGGTGAACCCCTGACACCCGACCCCGCCGCCAGTCTGCTCTGCCCTGAGCTGTGCCCTTGCACTCCCAGCCTGCTGCTTTGGTGAAAAATCATCCACGGTGACTGACACTCAAACTGACGTCCCGAGTAACCACCTTCCGTCCTGGTACCCGAGTGCCCTCTTGGGAGTCCAGCCCTGTGGCTCTCGCGATGTGACCACCGGACTCAGCACTGCGCATCTCTGCAGCTCTGCACCCCTCCATCTGCACCTCCCACCTCCTCTCACCCCTGTCCTGGTCCCACCAATCTCCCTGTGCATTTGTTTCTCTCTCTCCTTCTTTTCTAGACACCACACATCAGCTGGAGTGGCAGCCTCTGCCTTCCCTGGCCTGCATCTCGTGGGGTCCCCAGGCCCATGGTCCTTTCTCTCTGAGGGATTCAGAGATGTGGTAATTTCATGATCAAACAATTTATCTAGAATTTGAAAGTCTAGAAATAGACAGAGCTCATTGCCCACAAGAGAGAAATGGATGTGGGGCCGACTGAGTGCCTCTGTTTAATCTGCCTTTCTCTGATAAATCACCAGCAGCTCTGAGAGCACTGGGCCTGGCACACACACTACTGGTTCACATGTTCCCATGCCTTGGCTTAAAGCAGGAACTGTGCTGCCTGTGCCCGCCAGGAAACGCCCACCTTCTTCTCCCTGCTTCAGGGCCAGCAGCGCAAAAGGCTCCTGGGCCTCAGGCGGGGAGTGTCCACGCTTTCCTGCCCAGGGGACATCAGGATGGGAGGCCTCCTCTTCTGAGTGTGCCAGCCCCAGACGTGGTCACGTCTCTGATTCTGGAATGTTCTCTCCTGACCTGGAGGGAATTGGTCTGTAGGAGACTTTCCCAGTGGCATTTTACAGGGAAGGTGTCCTGCCACCTGCACGACCATCCCTGGGAGACCTGTTTGACCCTGGGCCCCTTGTCCAACACCCCTGTTGATAAGACCTCATGGTGGCTATTGATGATCTGTAGTGGCCAGCTCCCCTGGGTGTACCATCCACATTGCACGGTCATGGTGGTGCTGGGCCCTGGGGCTCAGGATGAGGGGACAGCCCACACTGTTCCCTGGGTTTCTCATCACCTCCAGTGCACAGTTCAAAGTAAAGGACTCACGGTGCTTCCCTCTTGTCCCTGTCTGGGGGCAGAGGTCCGTCTCAGGCTGGCATGTCCACATTCAGAGGACTGCACACACCCAAGCCCTGGTGTGTCTTCCCTGGTTGGAAGTGGAGGGGGTCGGGCCCCTGGAGACAACCTGGTCTCTCCCTTGCTCCTGGCCAGGTGCTCTGGGCTTGCCCCGCCCCCACTGTCTCCTCAGCTCTCCTCTGCCTGGCAGGTCCTGCCCTCTGGCACCACCCTGCCCTGCAGCAGCCCTGCCGGGACACATGGGTCCCTGTTGCTCTGGCTGCCTTTCACCGGCTCCAGTCCTCCGTGGCACCATCTCAAGGAAAGCCCTTCTGACGTCCCGGCCTCCGTGACCTGGGTGTCTTCCTGGCATCCCCATCTCCACTCTGTCCTGGCATGGCCCTGAGGGGCCTGAGACGCACACAGTGCATCCTTTTCCCCACCTTGGAGCTGACGCTCTCTGCCATGGGCAGCCATCCTCCAGTGCCTAGAACACTGTTTTTCCTATCGCCAAGGCCTCCCCTTTCCAGAGGGCTGCTCCAGCTCCACACCCTAGCTCCCCAGGTCTTGCTGTCACCCCCAAGCCTTCCTTGCCTGGTTGGCCCAGACTGCCTGCGAGTTCCCGTCAGGCTCTGTCTATGCTCTCTGGGTCTGGCTCTTGGTGGATGGTGGAGGCAGGGGCTCCCCACTGAGCCATCCAAGTCTGCTCCTGTCCTCCCTGGCCGGAGCCATTGCCCGGGGGGACCAGAGCACATCCTCCTTGCACAGTGCTCAGTGACAAGCACCCCGCCTGGTCCCCTGTCCTTAGGCAGCTACAGGAGCTACTGCACTCAGTCACCCGGAGACAGAACCCCACCCTCAAGGGTCTCTGTCCCCTCGGTGGCCACCTGTTCCCATGCCACAACTCTCCTCTGCAGAGCTTCTGCAAGGCTCCCTCCCGGGGGAAACGGTCCCCTCCTGTCCCCACAGCCGATCCTCCTGGGCCACCTGATAACCACCAGGGCTTGGGTTACACAGAGGCTGCCACAACACCATTGGCCGCGATACGATGCCCACGGTGACAAGGCCCAGTGACTCGGTGAGAGGCCTCCCGCTGGACTCGCCGCTGGCAGCTGCTGCCTGCCTCTCCGGCTTTTACCATGAACAAGGAAATTCCTGCTGCTTCCGACCATGGCGGCTGCAGACACGGTGAGCGATGTGGGCTGAGGACAGAGGCACCAAGAGGTGCCTCCCTCCCTGCGGGTGCTGCTCTCGCGGTGGCGTCTTTTGGGAAGTGTTTGTCTGTGGGTTCTTACTCTTGCTATAGAGATGAACCGCCCGATTAGCCAGAGGCCGGTAGGGCCGGGCAGGGAACACTGCTGCCAGCGGGCTGTGTTCCGATGGCGCCCTAAAGCAGCGCTTGGGAGGGAAGGCCAAGAGGCAGTGTTTAAATGACTCTTGGTCAGTTCTAAGCAGACCTTGGGAAGCAAAGTTCCTTTAAGCGGCCCATGCTTCTCTGTGTTTTGTGAGTGGTAACAGCAGCCAGGAGAGAAATCAGAGCAGACCTGAGGGCCAGGGTTTGCCAGCCCCTAGGGGCTCAGCAGACTCAGCCCTGGGGACGCAGGTGCCCAGGGACAGGCGCGGTACCCAGAGAGTGACCAGGACTTGCCCAGGAGCCCTGCACTCTCACTGCCCCCAGCCCCTCCCAGGAGCCTAGAATGACCACAGCAGGCTCCTCAGCTCCTTGGCCTTCCGCAGGTGGAATCTGAGCTCCAGTTTCTGATGGAAATTGAGTCCCGCAATGGCCTTGGCATGAGCTTCAGCTTCCAGCCACTCCTCACTCAACTATGTGGGGAGGCCCGGTCCCAAGGCCTGGACACTTCCATCCTTAATTAGGTCAGGCAGGGAGAGGCCGTGTCCATGGGGTGCTGCTAATGCCACAGCTAAGGGTCCCTTCCCCAGGGCCAGGCACATCTAGGGGCCCAGCATTACGTGAGTATGGACACTGCTTACCTTTGAGGTAGACAGACCCATGATGGCACAAAGAATTGTGCCTACACGGCTAGGGCTTAGAAGGTCTCTTATGTTCCAAAGAATGACAGTTGCTTCTGAGTGGTTAAAGGGCTTTTCTTTGAAGGTGCCGTTTGATTTTAAGATTGGTTAAATGGACCATGGAAACGCAGTCCTTTGGGGGATTAAGTTTATAGTCTTGCTAATCCTAGAAGCTTTTTGGTTCAGAGGGGGAGATGCCTTTTTGATGAACTGGTCCTGAGTCCCTTTGTGTGGACCTGAAAGATTTAAAATACGACAGATTTGTGGGTGATGCCGGCACGCTCTGCTCTGTTCTTCCTGGGCAGGAGGTGGAGGTGGAGGCAGAGCCCGGTCTCAGAGGCCCTGAGATCGTCACCATGGGGGAGAATGACCCACCTGCTGCTGAGGCGCCCTTCTCTTTCCGGTCACTGTTTGGCCTCGACGACTTGAAAATTAGTCCTATGGCACCAGGTAGGTGGCGTCCAGTGGGGCCTTGTGACATCTGCCCGCTGTGTAGGTGACAGATATGGCTGAGGGAACAGGGTGGAGGGGTCCTCTCTGTGCACCGTCACCTCAAGGCTGGACACCTACTGTCTTCAGTTTTTAGAATCCCAGAGAGACAAGGGGGTGATTTTGCCTAGCTGCTGGCTGACTCTCTAGAGACAGATATTTTACTCTGTGGTTGGGGGTTTTCAGACATTGGTGGCCCTGGTCCATCCTGGAGGAGGACAGATCTTGGCCAGGAAATCTCAGGGAATCCTGAGAAGCAGAGGCTGCCAACCCTCTCTGAAACCCTAAAACAAGCTGTCTGCACATCCCCAAAAGGCTCAGAGTCTGGATTAAAATCTGACAGCACCTGACAGCTGCTCTCAGCAACCAGAGGCAGAAGCTGCTTTTGCAAATGAGCTGTGGCTGGGTGGTGAAGATCAGACCCTGCAGTGTCTGCCCTGCTGGGCTGGATGTGTCCAGGAGCTCGGGGCTTACTGGTCCTGGAAGTAGGGCTGGGAGCAGGCAACATGGGAAGCCCTGGCTGAGTTTCGGAAGTTAAAGAATGACAGCCAGCTGGACAACTAACATGGCGGAGGGACAGATGACGACAGCGTAGGGGAGAGGGTTCAGCCAGTGAAGAGAGACAGGATTTTAAAATGTGCCTCAAAATTAGCATAAAAGTAAAGGGAAGAAGAAAAGCCCTGTAATCTACAGACCCAGGTGTCACCTGGTTTTGAGACCTGCCTCTGCCCCTAAGTACGGACTCACACACAGCACAGGGGGACAGGTGTCTTCCTGCAGGCTGCCTGGCTTCTCTAAGGGTCCGCGTGGTGCTGGAACTTTGATCACCCAGATGTGTAGCCTGTGTTGCCATCTGATCAGTGAACCTGTGACACTCTCGAACGGTTTGTGATATATGAGAGTGCTATACGCACCCCTGCCTTGTGATTTTTGATGGTTATTTATGATTAATTCCTAGGACTGCGAAGGGTCACATGTTTTGGTTCTCACGTGTTTATTTTATGAGTCCAAGTCTGCAGTACGGAATGTCCATGTTCCTTGTGGAGAACTGATACATTTCTTCTTTTAAGTCCCTTTCCTGTTTCTCTGTCCTCCTCAGAACCAACGTGTTTTTAAGCCTTTCCTGTTTAAATAAAGCAGCAGAAATTTAGATAATACGCAGATCACCAAAAAGGTTTTTAAGAATTACATTTGTACATGACTCAGAAAGTACCCTGTTACCCCTTATTATTACATTTCTTGCTTTTCTTTTCCACACATTTGCCTTCTGAGGCTCTTTTTTTTAACTGTACTGTATCGAGTTCATTTTCCACGGCATTAAGTAGTTAGATAGTTTTCAATCTCTGCCCATGAGTCAGTCTAGCCCTCAGCCTGTTTTTATAGATAAAGCCTCACTGGGACATGCATTCCTGCTTTTTTTCATTCTGTGTCCTGTTGGGTTCACGCCATGACCACAGAGAGGTGGGTGGACAGGTCAGACACCCCATAAATGTCAAGGTCCTGACCTCTGAGTCTTTGCAGAGGACTGAGATCTGTCCGCTCTGTTCTACACCATGTTAAGCAGCCATAAGTGTCCACCGTAAGTGTCTACCACGCGTGCAGGTTCTTTCTTACTTCCCCGGGCCCCTTTTCTAGCTCTCCCCATTATAAATGTCCCTCTCCTCAGTGTCTCGTAGGCTGAAATTTGTGACTGATCCACAACACCTTGTAGAATGGATTCCCGGAAGTGCAGTTCCCGGGTCACACATCTTATCTGTGTTTCAGGCTTCTGCTGTCATTTCTAGGTGGACACAGGGCTCGCTGGCCACAGTTTGCATCCTAGTGGCCATTCAGTGGGGGAGGCCCAGCTTGCCTTCTCTGGACAGCAGTGGGGGTGAGGATCAGAGTCCGTGGGAGGCTGAAGCGGACTGATGTCTGGTTGGGATTCCTTCATTTCTGGGCAGGGAGAGAGTCCTCCTCCTCACTCATCCGTCCATCCTGCATCCATTCTTCCGCCCTTCATCCTGCGTTCATCTGTCCTGCGTGTATCTGTGGGACTCTCTTGTTCTGGGCACAGAACACACCACTGGGCTCGTCCGGACCTCCTGAGAACCCCCATTGCGCTCTCCTGTCTTTGAGCTGCTGGACCCCATTTCTTCTCTCTGTCTCTCTCTCTCCTCTCCCATTTCCCTCTCACCTCTCTCCTTCCCCATTCTGTTTCTTTTCCACATCTTCCTTCAGCGTCTCTGTCTCAGGCAGCTCCGATGGCCCTGATTGTCATATTTTGATCCTGTCAGCATTGAGAGGGGAAAGCTGAGGTTTCTGAGAGCAGAGGCAGGGAGATCTGAGCTGTCACTGAGGGCCATGGGGCGGGGGGCTCTGTTCCCTTTGCCTACTTTAGAGTCAGGGTCTCACTATGTAGTCCAGGTTGACCTCAAACGCATCAAGATCTGCCTGCCTCAGCCTCCTGAGTGCTGGGATGGCAGGCACGTGCTTCTGTGCTCAGGATCTCACCTGGATTTTAATGATAGCAGCCTCAGCATGGCTGTGCCTCCCAGGACTACGGGACTCCCAGTGTGCTGTGGCTTGGCCCCGAGAGAATGGAGCTGCCAGCGCCTTCCCTTCCTGGCCGGGTGTGCCTGCCTCTCTTCCTCCACATCCTGACTGAGTCTGTGAGCAGCGGGGCCTGAGGCTCACTTCCTCGTGAGCAGTGGGCGGGCTGCCTCCACCTCGTGGGTCTTGGGGCAGAGACCAGTGTCCCCTGGCTGCTGGAATCAAGTGCCACCAGCCGAGAGATTTAAAACAGGAGGGCTTTATTCTCTGTGTTCCAGAGACATGAGTCTGAACCCTGAGTGTGGCCGGGCCTCGCTTCCCCCAACAGCTGTAGAGCTTGTCTCCTGGCTCCTTCTGGTTCTGGTCATCCACTGACAGCCTTAGGTGTCCCCAGGCTGTAGCCATGGCCCTCTGTCCTCTGTCTTCATCTTCACATGACCATCTGTCTCTCCTGTCCTTTTCCGTCAGCTCCCCTCTACGTGTGCCTATCTGTGTCCCAATTTCTCCTCTAAAAACTGAGGCAGCCCACCTGCCAAAATCAATCCAAATTGGGTCCAAAAATCAAAAAGACGCCAGAGAACTTAGGGCACAAAAACCCGCGCGTTTATTTTAGCTGGCCAAGGACTTAGTCCCTAGAAGCAACTAGGAGACTAGCGCCCTGACTGGGAGGGGTTTGATGGAATTTGCTTTGTTACATTTATTTTTGAGGGACATCAGGCAATAGTTACACAGCTGAGACCACACGGAAAAGCAGCTCTGGGGGGATGTTTCGAGGTTATTTACAGCTCTGGAAGGTTCGAGGTTATTTACAACTCTGGGGGAAGTTTTGAGGTGATCTCCTGTCATGGATGTACAAACATTCCTGGGAAATTTTAACCACGAGGTTCAGTTACAGGTCAACAAGGTTTAGCAAAGTTGGCGCATTACAAAACAGTCAAGCGGTGCTTAGGCTATAGCAAATAGTTATTTTTCATAGCTTACAACAAAAACTGTGACAGGTGCACTGACTTAGGGCCACCCCTGCAGCCTCATCCCACCTACATTGCTTTATAAAGCTCTTCCTATTCGAGCATGATGGCACATGCCTGGAATCCCAGAAATCTGGGAGGCTGAGGCAGGAGGATTGCAAGATTGAGCCCAATGTGGCTGGGCTAAAGCTCAGTGCAAAGGTCCTGAGGCTCAATCCCAGGGCTCCTCCTGAAAGCCCCTCCAAATATTGTGACTTTTTGAAGTCCTGAGAGGTAGGACCAGGGGGATGCATCTTTCTGGGGGACACTGTTCAGCCCAAGATGCTACCCCCCAGCCTAGGCCAGGTCCTTCTCGAGGCACCCCCATTCTGGGTGGATGAGCGGCTGAGTTCAGGTTTAAGTCCCTCAGAATCACTGTTTCTGCTTTGCATGCTGGCTCCTGCTGGGCCCAGATGCCGACGCGGTGGCCGCGCAGATCCTGTCTCTGCTGCCTTTGAAGTTTTTTCCCATCATCATCGTGGGCATCATCGCGCTGATCCTAGCGCTGGCCATCGGCCTGGGTGGTGAGTCCTGTCCGTCACTTAGTGGGCGCTGAGGGGCAGGCGGGTTCAAACCCGCGGAGCCTCCCCGGCCAGTGCAGGGCTTCATCCCGGAGGAGCCTGTGCGGGGAAACATGATGTCACTTAGCCACTGAAACAGGGCTGTGTGGGGCTGGGTGGCCGGTGGAGGAGACAAAGTCCCCATTCATGGGATGCCAGGCTCCCTCACTTCTGAGCAGGGCACTGTGGGCGGGCGGCTCTGGGGAAAGTGGGTTACCGGGTGGGCGGGGAGCTTGTGGGGACAGTTTCTCACTTTCTCCTTCAAAGAGCTGGGCCGAGAGGTGCTTAGCTCGCCCACCTTGGCCTCGTGGCCTGTACAGAGTTCCTCCCCAGCCCAGTGCCCAGGAAACAAAGGGGGCCCAAGAGAGCCCAGGGAGGGTGCCCGCTTGGCTGTGTCACTTCGTGCTCGACCTTGAGTGTCCCCACAGTCTAAAATCCCTGGAACTCCCAGGCCAGGGCCCATCAACAGCAAAGTGGGGCACAGCAGCTTCACTACCAGAATGCAGGACAGAAACCGAGCTGAGGGATCCCTGCCACCAGGGATGCAATTTCAATCAGTTTCATTATTCATGGGCACGCTTACTGCCCGCCATGTGGCAGGTGGACAGTAGCCAGGGCTGTGCACTGAGAAAGCTGCCTGCTGGCTTTCTTGTCTCCCTGTCTTAGTCCACTTTGACTGCTCCGGGAAGTACAGGTGCCGTTCGTCTCTTAAGTGTATCGAGCTGACGGCGCGCTGCGACGGGGTGTCTGACTGCAAAGACGGGGAGGACGAGTACCGATGTGGTGAGTGTGGCCGTTCTCCACAGAGGCAGGAGGGGGCGGCCTTCCCCCTGTGTCATGGTGTGGCCTCAGCCACGGGGACTTGGCCCTGAGGCCCTGGGCTGGAGCGCAGGGAGCTCTGAGGGAGAGGATGTGGCAGAGACCAGGCCTCTCGGGTGCAGACAGTGAGCTCCACCGTGCTCCATGTGGCTGAGGGCTGTTTCGAGGGGCAACTGGGGCGGGGGATGCGCTGACATCCTGCTGTCCTGTCGCCCTGGTGCAGTGCGGGTGAGCGGCCAGAGCGCTGTGCTCCAGGTGTTCGTGGCAGCCGCCTGGAGGACCATGTGCACCGACGACTGGAAGGGGGGCTACGCTCGTGTGGCCTGTGCCCAGCTGGGCTTTCCCAGGTAAGCGCAGGGCTCTGGCCCCCACCCTGGGGCAGCAGGGATCTTGGGGCACCCAGCAGGGTGGCTTCTCTGTCTTTGGCCCAGTGCCCTGCTACAGGGGAAATCGAGGTCCGGGCCGGCCAGGGGACCTGACTGGGGTCCACGAGGACTTTCCAGGCCAGGACTTGTCTCAGGCCACAGCAGGAGGCTGGGCATAGTGGTCGTGGTCCTGGGGGTCACGCTTCTCGGAAGGGCCAAAGAACTAGGTCTTGTTCTTTTCTCTCTTTCTTTTGTTCTCTTGTACAACTTGAACCCAGGGCCTTCATACTGAGGTACACTCCTTGGTCCCATGTCTTATCTTTTGAGACACCCAGACCGGACTCCAGTCTGCCATTCTCCTGCCTCAGCCTTCCAGAGTTCACCACAACTATTTTGAACCAGGTTTTTAAAGCCTGGGATTCTGTGAGAACACAGTCGTTCAAAAGGCTGTTTGGCAATACTTGGATGAACCACTTTCCTGGATTTTCTGCTCCCATGTTTGGCATTGCCTGGGTGACTTCTGGATTTAGGGTGACACATTGACATCCAGACGCAGGCCCCGCCTCTCTGCTGGCCTTTCTGGGGCTCCCCTGTTTCTGTGGGGTCCTTGATTTCGTGCTCTTCACCCTTGACCCTCAGCACCTCAGCAGACAGCCTGGGGACAGAGTGAAGTGACCCGGAGGCCTTGGATGTATGACCCTGGGCGGCCCAGCAACAGGTGGTCAGAGTCTCGGCTGTCAGAGCTGATGTGCCACATGCTCGGCTGCCTTTGTCCAAAGCCAGGGGACTCTGGAAGGTCCCCACATGTGTCCCTGAGGCCTCCCCACCCCATGGCAGTCACCCTAGTGCACACACCAGCTGGGACTCCAGTCTTAACGCGACTGCCCTGCTCCTCAGAGCCAAGGAGCAGAAAGTTCACATTGTGCACACATGCACACTCACATGTACACACTCACATATGTGTATGCAAGCATGCAGCACAGGCCAGTGCTTCCCGGAAGGGACTTCCGCTTCCTGCTGAGCCCTCTGCTCTCCTCCCTCCTAGGCAATGGCTCCCCCCTTCACCCATCTTCTGGTTCTCAGGGCACCAGCTCATTGACCTGGGCACCCATTGTGCCAAGCGGGCAGCCCTGGCCTCCCCACCGCAGCTGGTGGGGGACAGGGTCCTCCCGCCTGAGCTGGGACTCTGGGCGCCTTTCTAAGAGCTGGTCCCAGGGCAGTGTCCCCAATCTGTTGTCTCTGCCCAGCCTGATTTTTGCTTTATACGCAGGCTAATCAAAAAATATGGTGACCATTTAAACAGTCAGGTGAAGGCGGGTTGCCACGATCCCTCAGAATCCTCCCCTGGTCTGGCCGAAGCCCTCGATGCTGCTGTTTTCAAAGCCGAACCTTTTTCACCCTATATCTTGACACTTCCCACACTCTCCTGGTCCTAGGGCCCCCCCGGGTCGCTGCCCCCACCGTACTTCCCTCTCTCTGGACACACCAGGAAGGTCTTGGTCCCCCAAATCTTCCTTTTGGGGTATTTGCCATCCACTGGATGCTACTGACAATGCCACTCCTAGTTCTGCATGTGACTCCTGGCTCCTGCTTTAAGCCAGGTCAGCTGCAGGCATGGAAGTGGGCCCCTGGGGCCTCCGGAAGGGTCCTGAGGATGGTGACCCAGGGCAGGGGGAGCTGGGTAGGCAGGGCAGTGGTGCAGGACCAGAAAGCAGACTGTTTCAGGCCACCATGGGCTGGAACCTTGTTAAGCTGCGTGTGATCTGATGGTGGGCGGATGAGGGCCCCAGCATGATGCTGCAGCCCCATGACGGGAGCGTGAATGGGTGGAGGCGGGTCAGGGTCCCTTAGGCACTGTGTTGGGTCTGCTTGCAGCTATATTGGCTCGGGTGACCTCAGAGTAGACCTACTTGAGCCGCAGTTCCAGGGGGACTTTGTGTCCATCAACCACCTCCTGCCAGATGACAAGGTGACCGAGTTACACCACTCTGTGTATGTGAGGTAAGCAGGGAGACACTGCCCGTCCAAAACATGCTGGGTCACTGTCTGGGCCTGTGGAGCCGGGTTGGGGGGCAGGAGCTGATCCGGGCCCTTGCCGAGTGGAGGGAGGAAGGGAAGAGAGTTGGGAAGCAGATGGGATGTGTGTGTGGTCACCTGGCAGGGCACCAGGTGTGTCTGGGATGCGGGGACTTGGAGGACAGGAGCGACCATCATGCACCTCACAGAGTGCTATGGGGGTCATTGCTCACTCTGTGTGTTTGCCCCAGAAACTATAGGGAAGGGAAACTGGTGCCCTTTGTGACAACCTCTAGGTGGCAAGGCTGAGTGAGGGGTCACCTGTGGTGCCCAGGTTAGACGGGAAGGAGCAGGTGCAGCCAGATGCTGGGGCCCTCGCTCTTGCTCTCTCCAACTCCCGGGACCCCGAGCTGCAGTCTGAGTCCTCTGCTCCTGGGCCACTGCTTCCAGCGTTTGTGGCCTGGGCGGCAGGGGTGCAGGGTCCCGAGTCTCTTGTGTAGGGAGCCAGGACACTCAGATCTCAGGGCCCCTTGCGAGCCCTCGTGAGCGATGGGCTCTGTCCCCACCTGGCCGGGGATGGGCGTTGCTGGCGCAGTCTCTGCTCACTGCCCCAGGAGGTGTCCTGTCCCCATGTGGGATCCCAGGCTCCAGAGGTCCTGAGACCCAGCCTCGCTGCCCCGGCACTGCCCCCCAGTGGTCAGGGTGTAACAGCACATGGCACCATGGGAACTCAGACTCCTCCTGGAGCCCTTGGAGGCTCAGAGAAGCCACAGCCTTCAGCCCTGCAGGGTGGGTGGGGTTTCCCATTGCATCCTGGGAGCCTGCTGGCAGGGCTTGCTTCTGTTTCAACATGGACTAAGATAGTGATTTGTACTCCAGGGCAAGAGGGATGAGGTGTATTTTTCTTCATTTACAAGATGGAATAGCCGAAGAAAAATTTACTCTAAAAGCCTTGGATACAGGGAGAAGCCACAATATTTAACGACTGCTTAGTCATTTCTATTTAAGCATTAATAATGCTTAAATAGAAAGCATTATTATAGGGAAACATGCATAGCCATGGGTCCCCCTCAGGCTCCTCTCTCAGCACACACTCGTCCCATCATCCTGGTCCTTCCTGCGACAGCTCTGGAGCCCTCTTTCCTGAGGTCTTCATGAGCTGTGAGCAAAATCAAGGTGGATGCTGTGCTGAGCGCCACCCAGGGGAAGGGGGGCTCGTGGGGACACTTCACGGTGTCTGCACCGTGTAACTTCAGGCTTTTCTCGAGATCGGAATGACCGTGACAGGGAAACAGTTTGAATCCATTCAGGACAGCCAGGCAGCCAGGACAGGGCAGCTAAAGACCCTCAGGAGAGAGGACTCTAGAGCCGCTGAGGGAATGGGAGGGACGGTGGGCTGGGTGTGTGTGACCCCAGCAGGAGGACAGGCTGGGAACCCTCAGCAGAGCTCTCACTGTAGTCAGGCTCAGTGTGACCTTTGCTGTGTTTTGCTGTCACCTCCCACTTTCCATCATGCCTGTTGTTTCTCCACACTAGGGAGGGATGCACCTCGGGCCGTGTGGTCACCCTGAAGTGCATGGGTAAGCGTGCTGGACACACAGGGAAATGAGTGGAAGCCAGCCTTCACCAGGTCCTGCCCCTCCCCCCTGCATGGCGCTGAGCCTCCCTTGGGTCCGGGTGGGATGGAGCAGGAGGCAGTGTCAGCCTCACCTGTCCAGTGGGAAGGTGGCCTTGGTGGGCCCTCTTGTCCCTTTGTCCTTGGACTTGCAAGGGTCCAGGCCCAGACATAGCCAGTGGCCTTCTGCTCCCAGCAGGGGCTCCTCTGGCAGGTGTGGGGCCTGGGGAAGACGGGGTGGGGGAGAGTGTTAGGGGACTTCTTCGGGCTGGGGCAGTAGTGGCTGACCTCACAGCACTGCCATTATAGATGGCACTGGATGCTAGGGGCACTGTCACCTGGGCTTTGACAACCCTGGGCAAAGGGTCTTGTTTCTGGGGGGGAGGGCTGGTCCCACGGGGTGGGGGAGTGGTCTGGAAAGCCCGAGCTCTCCCTGCACCCCTTCGCTTCCCCCTCTGCAGCATGTGGGCTGAGGACCGGCTATGGCGCTCGCATCGTGGGCGGGAACGAGTCCTCGCTGGCTCAGTGGCCCTGGCAGGTCAGCCTCCAGTTCCAGGGCTACCACCTGTGTGGGGGCTCAGTCATCACGCCCCTGTGGATCGTCACTGCCGCACACTGTGTTTACGAGTGAGTGTGGCTCCTTCCTGCCAGGCCCCGGCCAGGGATAGGCCACGCGGGACAGGCCCAAGCTGGGCAGTGAGCAGGCAGGAAGCCAGGCAGACAAAGCCACCACACTGCATGTTTTCCTGCATCCCCACCCTCCTCCCTGGCCCTGTCTCCACACCGGGGTGACAGGGCTCACACCAGGGTCAGAAGGCCATGTCAGGCCAGGGCCTGGCCTTTGGCTGCTAATTGCATGCAGTGGACCATGCTAGGCTGAGGCAGGGTGAAGCCATGAGGGGTGGGGTGGGTGAAAGTGCGTGGAGGACTCTGAGCCTCGCAGAGCAATCTCTCCGGAGGTGTAGAGGGTAAGAAGCCTCCTAGGCCAGGGTGCATTTCCCTTTCACTTTTGCCCGCTCTCTTTGGTGGCTGTTGGAGGTGGCCCTGGAGCCTCCTTGAAAGCCAAAACTATTTGTAAATGTGAACTGCATGGGTATGGAGCAGGCAGGTCCTGGACACATACAGGTCATGCGTTTCTACAAAGCCCGCCTGGGAGAGTGGTCAACACGTCAGGCCCTGGGCTGCCTGCTGCCCAGTGGCACCTTAGGGCCCCTGGTGTTAGCGGGTCCCATGGCTGACTTTGTCCTTGGCTTCACCTCCTGGCCTGTCCATTTCAGCCTGTATCTCCCCAAGTCCTGGACGATCCAAGTGGGCCTGGTCTCCCTGCTGGACAGCCCTGCACCCTCCCACTTGGTGGAGAAAATCATCTACCACAGCAAATACAAGCCAAAGAGGCTGGGCAACGACATTGCCCTCATGAAGCTGGCCGGGCCGCTCGCCTTCCACGGTACCTCTGGTTTCTGGGCCGTTCGGTGGCTTTTCGTTTGTTTCGAGGGCGTTTGTGATTACGTACAGAAATAGTTTTATGATGGCTGCTTGAACCTTATCAGAAAGCCCAGTGTCTGACTCATGTGGGTGTTGGTGTGTGCTGATTGTGCTTGTCACTAAAGTCGTGATTTGCCAGGTCCTTGGGGGTGACCAGCATTCCCAGCAGCACCCTGATGTTTGGTGAGGAGACACAGAATTCCACCCCAGAAAGTCTCAGAGTCAGTGGGCACCTAAATTTAGATTCAGCCTGTAGCCTGCCCGGGGCTCCTGTGACTTGATTAGTCTCTCCCCAAAGACTCCAGGCACCCTGCAGATGGGTGGGGGTCGCCACCAGGGTGCCCCTCCCTTAGGGGCAGAACCAGGTGGTACAGAGAGGCAGGCGTGTGCACCTCGAGGAGGGAACATTGCTAGACAGGCACCTCTGGGTGCTGCGGGGGCAGGGTTCACAGAGCTCATTCTCAGGAAGTGGGGGGCAGCGCTGGACTTTGTTAGCAATCCAGTGGGTGGGTGTTCTACTGCTTCGGGGCCTCCTACAGCCCTGGCACATGCACCAGGGGCACTCTGGGGGCAGGTGGTCCCCCGCCTTTGCTGGGGGGCTCAGTAGCTCTGGATGAGTCAGATGCTCCCGGAACGCCCGGGTCGATGGGATGCAGGCCAGGGCCGCTCCAGGAGGCCCCCCAGGCCATATCTGCATCCGGTCACACCCGTGTCCTGGCCCATTTCCAGGGGTTGCTTTCATACTCTGGTGGCCGAGTCCATGGCAGCGCAGAGGCCATGTGGCTGCCGAGGCCTGTGCACTCATGGCTCTCAGCTTTGGCTCCAGAGGCTGCCGGTCTAGCAGATAATGGGGCGAGAGGTCCCTGCCCTGAGATGCTCCCTCTGAGCCCGAGGCCCAAGCTGTCCCCGGAGAAAGTCAGTGCCCCTGCCTTGCGAAACTGCATGTGTGGAGATAGGTGACCTTGTGGTGAAAGAACCCACCAAGACAAAAATAAAAAAGGGTTGAATCAGACCAGAGCACACTGTCCAGGGGCTTGGCTAGCGCCGGCCGTGTATTTGCAAGACAGGACTCACCACTGGGGTGAGAGACCGAGGTTTGCCTGAGGGAATGCAGGCTGGGGAAGGGTCCCAGTTGGCGTATAGAAGTAAGTTTTCTGGGACATCTGTTTCCTCATTAAACCTTCTGGGAATGCCTGTGTGGCAGATGAAGGTATATATCAAAATTGCCAGGTGACAGACTGCTTATTTCAGCCTTCTGGAGGGGCCCCCCACCCCACGAGGGAGGTTTATGTTTCTCTCAAGGGTCCAGGCATTAAATCCAGACTACTGGGTATGTGTGGGGCGACATGCTCCCTGGGGCGGCTTCTTGCAGTGAGTTCCAGACCTCTTGTTGCTGGTGGACAGTTGTGAGCACACAGCAGGAAGACACAGCCACTGGTGGTGCGGTCTGCCCGCTGCCCGCTGAGCGGGGCTCTCGTCCCTCTGCCCGCAGAGACGGTCCAGCCGGTCTGCCTGCCTAACTCGGAAGAGAACTTTCCTGACGGCAAAGTGTGCTGGACATCAGGCTGGGGGGCCACGGAGGATGGAGGTCAGTGGTCTGAGATCAGATTCTGAGCCCAGGCCCCCAAGACCTTGGGGCAGGGAAGGGTCCCTCAGACATCTCATTGTAATGCCCCCAGAGTGGTGCTAAGGTCCAGTGGGGATTGTTCATGGACAGCTCAGGACAGCCCTCCCTTCGGCCCAGGGCCATCAGGTGCGCTTCGTTGTCTCAGGATCTCAGGAGAGGACTGGGACTCCAGGGGAATGGGGACATCCTCACCAGGGCCTCTGACACACAAAGGGCCGTCCTGCACCTCATTCTCCTCCTATAAATGCACACAGGGCCGCCTGGACACCTTGCTTCAGAAATCTGCTTGGTGACCAGTGCGGTGGGCGCTGGTGGGAATCTGGAAGTTGTATTACTTTCTCCTCCAAAGATCAAGCAGAGCAGGCCTCCCAAGGTGACCCTGGTGCTGTAGCAATGGTGGCAGGAGCCTGTGAAGGGTGCTGGCAGTGGTGCAAATGAAGCCACATTGGTGAGGCACAGGGAGGTCCCCAGGCTTGGACTGCCCACCGCCTCTTTCCTAGTTGGTTGGGAGAGCATCAGCTTCCTGTAGCTCTGTAACAAGTGATTCTGATCGGGGACTTGGAACTATAAAAATGTGGTCCATCATTCTGGAGGCCAAAGTCTGAGATCTTGGCGTGTGGCTAGGGCTCCTTCTTGGCTCAGAGGTGGATTCGCTCTGGGTCCCCCTTCCCTGGTCTGGTGGCTCAGCAACCTCAAGGTCCCTTGCTTGAACCAGAGCCACCCCAGTCCCAGCCTTCATTTTCCCTCAGCTCCCCACAAGTCTCAAGATCACAGAGGCCCCTCTCCTTGGCCTGATAGGGACTCGGTCATTTGATTTAGGGCCACCAAGGGCAGGATGAGCTGACTTTGTCACTTTAATCATACCGCAGAGACTCTATTCCAGGTAAGATTCCTCTTCCCTCTTCCCAGCTCCTGGGAGCTCAGGATTTTCCCTGGGAAACCTGTCAGTTGCGTCCGTCCCTCCTAAAGAACACGGGGCCTCCCCAGCTCCAGGCTGTTGCCCCTCCTTGTCTGCCCACTGCCAGCACCACTCCAGCTCAGGACCTTGGCTCTTGGTAGGTTGAAGCCAGCCCTTGGCCAAACCCAGCCTGAGCCAACATGTGGGGCAGAGAGGCTCCTGGCTGTAGCCGAACTGAGGCGACCCTGGCTCAATGCAGAAGCAGGGTAAACAATTCCGCTCCCTTCCTCTCCTGGGGACCCTCTCTGGGGATGCCTGCCCCAGCACCGTGGCTCTGGTCACCTTGGACTCTGGAAAGGAGGTCTCTGGATAGGAGCCCCTTCCTCCCTGGAGTCCAGGGTCCCCGAGAAGACCAGCTCACCTGCTCCCTAGTGACCTACTCCGTCCCACAGAAGCTCCTGACCCTTCTTCCTGTGAAGGTCTGGCTGCGGGCTTGAACTTCCTCCCCCTCCTCTCATAAGAAGCTCCGCTCACACACGGAGCCCTCAGCCTCTACACAGCACCCCATCCCGGGTGGGGTGACCTTGTGTACACGTGTGGGTGAGGACACGGGGGAGGAATGTGGGCACCATGCCCAGGTTCCTGCAACCAGCTGGTGCCAGAGGTGGGCTCCACCTGCTGCCCCTACCTGTGCCCCTCGCCACAGCTGCTCTTCAGGTATCTGGGGGATTGGCCACCGCTACCCCGATCTCTCAGCCCAGTGTCAGGCCAGGGTGTCCTGTCGGGGGCTGTAGAGACATGGGGGCTTTGGGGTCCCCCACGAAACATGCGAAGTGACACACTAATCGCACACTCAGGGTGCAGGTTTTGAGGGGTGAAGACCCACGTGGCACCTGCTCCACCTTCAGAGGCAGAGAACCCTCTATGACCTACAACGTCAGGCGGGAGGGTCGTCCCTAAGGCTGACCCTCACAGGTGTATTAGTATCCAGTGGCTGCTGCAGTGAAAGAGGCCAGCTTGGTGGCTTTGCGTGGCACAGTTATAATCATGGAGGCCACCAAGGAATCGGGGTGGTCAGGCTGGCTCCTTCTGGGGCCCTGGGAAGGGCACTCCCATCAAACTTATCTGTGACTCTGACCTCTGCTTCTGCCTCTCGGCTCCTCCTCTGAGCCTTTTCTGGGCCTAGTGATGTTGCTGGGCCCACCATACCCCTGCTCCTCTCTGGTCTGCACCCCGTCACACCTGCAAGACCCCCCTGGCCAGGTAGCAGCCTCGGGTTCCAGGGATCAGGCTGCACGTGTGTTTGTAGATGGCAGTGCCAAGCGGAGCCTTCCTGTGCTTCAGTCTCCCTGGGGAACGTGGCTCTGCTGGTGTGGGTCGAGGGCCTGACCAGGAGCACCCCGGGGGAGAACACTGGGTCCACCCTTTCTCCGCTTTGGGGAGCCCAAGCGGTTTGTGAGGGAGCCGAGACCCAGGTGAGGCACGCTGCTCTGGAGTCTGCTGTCCCCCCAGGGCCCTGCTGTCTTCAGGTACCAAGTTGTACCTGGATGACCTGCCCTTGCCCTCAGCGTCACCCTGGGCCCCGACCCCCCTCCCCCTCACCGTTTGTCTGCCCTTGTTGGAGCAGGCGACGCCTCCCCTGTCCTGAACCATGCTGCGGTCCCGCTCATCTCCAACAAACTGTGCAACCACCGGGAGGTCTACGGCGGCATCGTTGCCCCGTCCATGCTATGTGCAGGCTACCTGAAGGGCGGAGTGGACAGCTGCCAGGTGAGGAACCACAGTGCAGTGACCCAGCCTGAGGGCTGGGCCCCTGCCGTTGCTTCCTGTGGCTGTGTGCAAAGCAAAGGTACCCGGCATGGGGAAGAAACTGGCTGGAGATGCAGCCGCCCCCCCCCGGGCACTGGGCTGCGACCCTGACCTGGCCTCTTCCCTGCCAGGGAGACAGCGGTGGGCCCCTGGTGTGCCAGCAGAGCCGGCTGTGGAAGCTGGTGGGTGCCACGAGCTTTGGCATTGGTTGTGCAGATGTGAACAAGCCCGGGGTCTACACCCGAATCACATCCTTCTTGGACTGGATCCATGAGCAGATGGAGGTGTGTCCGGGCTGCTCCAAGTTCAAAGGGGACCCAGGGCAGAGCGGGTGCCAAGGTCTCTGCGAGCAGTGACTTAGCAGCTCAGGGCACAGTTAATCTCTGGGCCGGGCGAGGCCTCATGTGGGTGTGGCCCTCACATGGCAGGTGAGCAGGTGGCCAGGAGGGGACTGAGGACCCCAAATGTCCCCTATGCATTGCCCCTTGCTGGAAGCTGGGGAGAGATGCAGAGTGTTCAGGCAGGAGGGGCCAGGATGCCAGGGAAGGGAGTTCCAGGCCCCGCTGCAGTATAACAAGGGGACAGAGGAACGTGGGTGGAGTGACCAGGGTGTTCTAGCAGGGTCCCAGGCAGGGACCTCGGCCTGGAAGGCAGGTGGCCAACGTCTGCTGACCTAATCTCGGCCTATGTCTCCTATCACCCTGGGGACCAGTTTCCAAGACCTTTGCCACGGCAGCCTGACCAGCATTTGTCATTATTTGACTTCTCCACGATGTCCCTCCGGGGATAAAGTGGACTCTCAGTGTTGTTTTAATTGGCATTTCTCTACGAGGCCTTGCTGGTTTTGATGTGTGGGGTCTTTAGAGCATGGGTGAGTGTCCAGGACTGCTACAGGCTCTGCTGTCCGAGGGTTCTGTCGCAGGGCATTGTAGTCATCTCTGACTCTGATCACCCAGAGTTTGGAAGATGCTGGGATGTCTGGGGTAGCTCTGGGGCCGCCTTGGGGTAGTGCTGAGCACCTAGAGGACGGTGGTCAGCTCTCAGGTGGCCTGCACCCGCCTGCTCATCAGAATGTCTGACAAGAGGATGGCAGGTGAAGTCTCTGTGTTTGCTTTCAGAGGGACCTGAAGACTTGAAGAGGCTCACTATCTGAGCTCCTGAGTGGATGCCCAATCCTTCCCCAGACTCGACGTGGGCAGGGTGACATGGCTGCCTACCAGATCCCCAGGGACACTGGCCTGACCCTGACACCCATTACTGCCTGCTTCTCATGCCTCGAGCTGGGGGGCTTTGGGCTAAGATGACTTGAAGCTCCTCTATGACCTTCCCTGAGAACCAAAGCAGAGCATCCCACTAGCTACCTTTGCCCACTTCACTATTTAGGTTTTTAAAGAATTAGTATTCTTGGCATGTGTTTGCGATATACAACAGTGACCTCAGTTTGGGGAGCTAGGGACACATATGCATCAGATCTCAGCTGTGCTCAGTCCCCTCTGGCCCTTTCCCGACCTACCTTCCACTCCGTCTTCAAGGGTCCCACAGGAGTCCTGGTGAGTCAAGCAGAGCTGGGGACAGTAGCTCAGCTGAGAGGCGCATGCTCAGAGCTGGGCTCCCTGGCTCTGTGCACACCTGGTCCTCCACACTGGAGCCAGCCTGATGCTTCCTCCTTGCAAGGCCCGCTCCACATGTGGGGACTTCTCTGTAATAGAGGCTTCCGGGGCTGAGTCTGGTTGTTCCCCTGTGGCATCTGGGGCTGGGTGTGTTCCTGGCCCTTGTTCCCAAAGAACAGAGCAGTTCTGCAGTGGGCACTGGACTTGGTGAGCAGGTGCTGGCCACTCACATACCCAAAGCAGCTGCAGACCTGGGCCTGAGTGACATTGGGCTCTCCTGCCTACCCAGGTGGAGGCATGTATGACCTGTCCTGTGAGGACAGGGTCCTCAGCAGGGTGGGTCTTTTAGCCTAAGACCCATCAGTAAAATAAAAAGAGACAGAGGCCGGGTGGAGCAGGACCCAGTCCGTGCTGGGTCCAGAAGTAAGCGGAGCATGTCAGCACAGGTCAGCAAGGCTGGCTGCTGCCCACCTCTGCATTGGCTTGGTAACCTCGCACACCTGCAGGATCGGGGCCCACGGACACCTGCAGCCCCCACGTCACACGGCGACGGAGGAAAGTAACCTGGAGGTGACACTGGCTCTTGGCACCAAGTAAATCATCAAGACATGAATCAGCCAAGAATTTCAGGAGAAAAGAACCGGTCCAGGCACCCAGGGAGGAGACAGGGGGTAAGGGTAGGGGAGGGAGGCTGGTCACGTGGAGTAAACCCCGTCACACTGCGGGGATCCTCCAGGACCCCCAGTGACACCTGAGCCCACAGATGTAACCCTCCTTTCCATGCACGCATGCACCTGGGGTGAAGTGAATTTATAAAGGAAGTGCAGGAAGAGATGAACACAGTGTCCAGGAGCAGCTGGAGCAGCCGTGACCACGCAGTGGGATGAAAACACGGGGCGGCTCTCCCAGGTGCTCGGCTGCATTTTCTCCTTTACTGAAGGGCAGCGGGCACCAAAGAGCAGCTCTTTGGTGACTGTGACTGTGAGCATCACTGCTCTGGTGCCCAGGACCAGGATAAGCAGAACAGAAGCCACTCAAGTACCAGGACCTTCGATCAGATAACCAGATGATCATGACGAATGGGCTATCGGCAAATCCAGGGTGGACATGGGGCCACGGATGAGTCACATCCTGGGTGGGGCACGGGGTGGGGCACGTGAAATTCCACCCCACCACTCTGGAAAGCAGGTCGTGTAAAGTTTATAAATTGTTTACTTCTGGAATTTTCCACCAAATACCTGCAGAACACTTTTGTAACCGAAACCACAGATAAGGGTAACTGCACAACTAGGAAAGGCTCAAGACCGTTTTCCTTTGTAGTGTCTCTGCCAAGGTGTGGTTAGACAGATAAACAGGTCCTGAATTACAGTTCCAGCCTGCAGGGAGAGGGATGATTTCCTGTGCAGCCGTCTCTCTGGAAAAAAGTGGGCCATGGGGGGGGGGTGGTCAGCAGATGGACATTTCTGGCCCACTGTGGCCTTTTCCTTCTCTAATTACCACGCAGTTTTTGAGGAAATGTTTGATGTTGAACAGTAGGTGGGGGATTATGTAGATGGCAGGAAATTAATCAGCACATACTGGGTACTTTTCACATTCACCTGTTTCATTTCCACAGCAGGCAGTGTGCTGACTTTCTGTCACTATGAGAAAATTCCTGGTATAAGTGACTTAACAAGAAGAAAGGTTCTGTGGTGTCTCATGGCTTCCGAAGCTTCGGTCCGTGTTTGGCCAGCTGCACTGTCGCCAGGCCCGTGGCAAGGAAAATTGCTTGCTTCATGGTGGCCGGGAAGCGCAGAGAGGAAGGGGAAATGGTTTGGGGACAGGATATGGTACCCAAGGGCATGTCTCTTCTGTCAACCAGGACACTGGGTTAGAGAAGGGAGGCCACATCCAGCCAGCACTGCATCTGGATTAGAACAGCTCACTATAGCAGTGGGAGTACAGGTTGCATGGGAAGCTGGGAGCTTTGTTATTTGAGCTGCAAAGGGCTTCAGGTCGCCTACTTGAAGCCGTTTGGGACCTATCTGTGGCTCAGAGTCCTTCCTAAGGAGATGTTTGGTTTCCATGGAGACAGCCGCAGACTCCATGGAGGTCCAGGGGTGGATTTCTTCTTCCTTGTCTCCATGGCTACCGCATCATCCTTCCCCATGCTTGAGAGCTGGGCTAGATGGGAGCCAGGAGACAGCACAGCTAGAGTGCTCCTGACCTGCAGCCACGTCAAAGACCTAGCTGGAAGAATGGGCCAGAGATAGCACGGGCTCCCTGGGGCCTGGGGGGAGCCCTGTGGCCAGCAGTGTCCTGAGCTGATGGGCAAACAGAGTCCCAGCTCCCAGTCATCCAGGACAGACCCACTGGGACGGAAGTCTCATTCCCATTACTCACTTTAGTGTTTAACATTTTAAAAAGAATGAATTATAGGAAGCCTGATGGCACTGCAGTCAGTTTGAAGAAAAGAATCTTAAACATTGACCACTGACTTAAATACCATCATTGGCTGTGAAAACTGAAGCCTTACTGTGTCACCTCGTTAGGAGGGCTTCTCGCCCAATCAGAGGACAGTGGCCAAGGGCTGTGTCCTCCTCGTCCATGCCTGGTGCAGGACATGAGTCCCAGACACAAGGCAGCATCTAGGACTCCAGGGGATGGGGGTGCGGAAGTGAGTGCTCCCCACATGGAGCTTCATGAGTGTGTGTGATCCACAGCCTCTGAACAGGTATGGGTTCCTATTGCCTGGCTTCCAACTCCTGGGAGGGGACAGAGACCAAGTCCAGGACGGGGAGCGACAGCCAGGAGCCACACTGCTCTGTCCTGCGGTCAGTGTCACAGCAGTGAGGCTGTGGGTAACCTGGGTTTGTAAAGTGTTATTTGCTGGGGAAAACTGGGCAACATTTACAAGGAGCCCTCTGCACTGTCTCCTGTCACGGCCTGAGTCTGCACTCTCTGCTGTTGTGGCATGTGACCCTACATTTATCTCATCAAGAAAAATTCTGCAAAAGGCATCGGGGAGACAAGTGCTCCATCTACTCCCAGGGACTCACTCAGGAGTTTTGGCCTGATCGCCAAGATGCTGTGGGGCCGAGGAATTGTTCTCACCACTGCTTGGTGTTTTGCGCTCAGAGTGCGTCCCTGGAGAGTCATCCAAGCTGAGTGTGTCTCTTGTTCACGCTTGAACTTGCAAACTTCCTGCCTCAGCCTCCTGGAGTGCTAGAGTTACAGTCATATATCATCATGCCAGGCTATGAATTTCTTTGTCTGGTCTCATCTTGGCCCATCCTTAAACCATTGACACCATCTCTTCATCTCAGGGACTTCTAAAAATCACAGTGGGAAGCCGGGAATGGTGGTGCATGTCCGTAATCCCAGCACTTGGGAGGCTGAGGCAGGAGGATCTCTGTGACTTCAAGGCCAGCCTGGACTACAAAGCAAGACTGTGTCAAAAAAAAAAAAACAAAACAAACAAAAAAAAAAACAGCTGGGCACAGTATTGGGACCTGTAAGAGTCTCCCCTGGGGAAGCTTCGCCAACAGATGACTTGTGCTTAACTTGTCCTCTGCTCTGTCAGCTCACACCAGGGACAAAATCCCACCCCTGAAATAAAAGAGCTGCGCACACATGGACATCTTGGGTAGATGTGGCTGGAACCCCACCAGGAGCCGTACCTCAGGGGCAGGAGCTGGGCTGGGGCTGGACAGCCAGGGGCACAGGGGCACAGGGGCTTGAGTTCTGCCTACAGAGCTCACAGTTGAGATGGCTGGCACCTGTTTCACATCCCCTGGGGGCCACGGCCAGGACAAGCAGGAGGGCAGCCCCGGGGGAAGGTGCACAGTGGCCCCTGCCTCGCCATGGGGCTCAGCTGTGGGCTGTCCTCATACCAGCAGCCTGTGCTCACCGCACTGGGTCTCACAGGGGTTCTGATTGGGAGGGGCGAGAAGGAGGGCAGGCCTGGCCTGCACACCCAGCTGGCCAAATCTAAGCAATCGGGGCGGTGCACAGTGCCCTCTGGCCTGTGTTTGACTTCAGGGAAGGTGTGCTGGCGAAGGTATACAGCAAGCATGGTGGTGGGGTGCGGCCCTGGGCCCCCCAAAGTCAAACAGCCGCCTCTGTCCCTGCCTGACTCACCGCTGCGGGAGGGAGGCCATGCCGCGCCTTCTGTTTCAGGGATAGCGGGGAAGCAGAACCATTGCTTTGTGGTTTTAAAGCACAGGATTTGTAAGGAAAAGATTTAACGTCGTGCGTTCAGGACTCAGTCAGGAGACAGGAGCCCAGAACCCAGGCAAAGGACCCTCAGGCCCACCCACTGCCCCCACGGCCCCTGGCCTGGACTCCGCTGTCTCCATCCTGCCCGGTCACCTGTCAGCTCTGCGTCCGCTTCTTTGTGTCTTTCGTGTTTTTTTCCGTCTTTTCTTCTCAGCTCTTTATGCGCTCGTGTCTGTGATACATAGTACTCACGGTCACCGCAGGCAGCTGGACCCTTCTCCTCCTCACCCATCTCCCCTCCATCCTTTCAAACAACCGACCACGCTTTGGTTTCTGACCTCCCCATTTTTTGGTCTTGATTTCATTAATTTCTGCTCTGGTCTTTATCACTTCTTGGCTTCATTAGGCTTCATCTTGGCTTATCACTTCTTGGCTTCAGTCCCAGGTTTGAACTGTTCTTGTCCTCTTAGGACCTTGAGCTGCACCATGCGGTTATTTATTTATCTGTGATCACGTGGGGTTTTGTTATTGTTGTTGTTACTGTCTTGTTTTTGTTTTTAGTAAGTGGATTCCCCGCTAAACTCTTCCCTCTTAGAACTTTGTGTCGCTCGCTTTTGGTGTCTTTTGCTTCTGTCGTCATTTGATTCTAAGGGAGTCTTATTTCCTCCTGGAATCCTTCTGTGTTATTTAATCTCCCAGTGTTTGCATAATTTCTGAGGCTTCTTTTGCTGTTGATCTCCAGCTTCATTCTGCTCTGATGAGACAGCATGCAGGGCCTTACTTCGGTCCTTTGCATTTATCTGCGTATGCTTTATGGCCTGAGGGATGGGGTATTTTGGAAAAAGTTCTGTGTGCTGTTGTGAAGACTGTGTATTCCGCTGTTGCTGGACAAAGCACTGCGTCGATGCTCTTTGGTCCATGCATCTGCTTCTTTTCAGTGCTCAGTGTGACAATTTGTCACGTTACTACAAATTCCCCCAGGATTCGCCAGTGATGGCCCCTGGCAGGTACATGCAGGGCTCCTAGACTGGGCACCTGCTTGGGCTTGACCCAGCTGTGACCCAAAGTGTCCAGCTCTGTGCGACTGGCTGTGGTGGTGCTTGTGTCCCTGAGGTGTGTGTGGGTTCGGGCTGGCATTTCCTGACCCTTGGAGGCTCAGACATTTCCTGGTCCTGATGTGTGGTCCTGCTGGCCGTGTTTGTTTCCTGAGCTGCTGAAATAAATCAGTAAACAGCCACTGTGGCTCCCACAACATGATGTGCTGCTGTCCCCCAGGGCCAGGGTTGTCCACAGTGTGGCCTCCCAGCGGGATGCCTGTTCCTGGCTTCTGCTATCTTGGGTGGTCTCAGGGATCCCCCAGGGCTCCGTGTCTCTATGTCACTGTCCCCTGCAGGGATCTGCATCCACCCTAATGATTCCATCATCTGCAAAGACCTGATTTCCAAAGAGGGTGCTGGGGATGGGGCTCCCATGTCCTCTGAGAAGCCACCCTGGGGAAGGCTTGGGAGAAGGGTCACTGCGTGCTTCTGTGGCCTTGCTCCCGAGCTTGTCCCCCAGGACCTTACCTGTCTTCCCTGAAGGTCTATGTGTCCCTCCTCAGGGGCTGGGGCCACTGGGGAAGCACCTCGGACACAAGGCCAAGGCCAGTCTGGGATTCCATCACAGGGACCCAGTTGACGGCCCTTCATTGCCAGTTATGGGACATGGACACCCCTCATCCTCTCCAACTGCACCGGGCCCATGAGCCCCCTACTCTGCCCTCAGTGCCTTCCGGCTCTGGGCAGACCCATTCCGGTCCCCACTTCCATGAGAGCAATCTGCTGGGGTCAACGCCTGCTCACTGCTTCCTTCTCTCCATGTAGCACCCTCAGCTGTCACGCAGGTCGCACCAGCATTCCTGGCTGTAATTATTCTTTGGAAAGCTGGATTCCCAACCCTGAAGGGAAATCCGCAAGGAGAATCCCTGGGTCTCTGGCTCTACCTTGGCACCTTGGGGGAGTGGAGTGGCTGGAGTCGCCCTTGGTGGGGACAGCGGGGTGCAGGCCCCACCGTGGTGAGGCAGTGTCCCTGTGAGATGGCCAATAGGGGCAGAGGGTAAACCCCAAAGGAAGGGCAGGCGGCGCCATGGAAGGGCACAGTGGGGCCCTGGCCCCCTCAGCTGGATCGTTTGCTGCGGGGTCTCACAGCAGCCTCGGGGTTCCTGTCTGCAAATCCAGCAGCTGGACCCTACCCTCCTGGGCCTGCCAGCTGCCCTGGGGCTCCTAGGCGCCTCTTGGGCAGGGAAATTTGCCCACCCACTGGGAAAGCCAGTGTGGAGCTCCTTGGGGTCTATGACCAAAGTGACAAAGTCAGCCGGGAATCATGGTGCTCACCTGTAATCCCAGCACTCAGGAGGCTGAGGCAGGAAGATCACCATGAATTCAAGGTGATTTCAAAGTAAGAACTGGCCTCAAAAAGGAAAAAAAATCACTAGGTAAAAGGTGGGTAAAGGCATGCGGAAGCCACACCCACGCTTCCAAGGCCATTGCAGCACCAGTCATGGGAGCTAAGAAATGGGAGCACCCAAGGAAGAGTTCCTTCGGCAAGGAACGGGTAAGGCAAAGGTGGCATCCACTGTGCTCCAGGGAGTACTACGCAGCCCTGACAGAAGGAAAGCCCTGGGTTAAGAGGTTCTGACCTTCCCACCACGTGCCCTTTAGACCATCCTCAGCGGAACACTGCAGACAGGCCGAAGGCCCCTTGCACCTCCCACGCGCCTTTCCTCCTCCAGATGTGCTGGCCCCGAGGTGGGTGGGTCCCCTACCCCCTGTGCTTGTGCCCTTGTTATTCTTTGGGTCCAACTCTGTGGCACTGACTGACATACTTTGGAAATCTCCATCACAGGTGATCACCCTTTAAGATGAGGCTTAATTTATTCTTCACTTAATTTTGTAAAATGTCTCATTACTTCTTCAGTGTAATCTGCAATTATGTAAATTTATGAGGTATATAAAGCACATATTCTGTATGTACAAAAGGTGACCCAAAAATACATTCAAGAGCTCCATTTTGGCAGACACAGCCATGGAATCCCTTCAGAATCCTCCCCTCTCTCCAAACACACTCTTCCCCCTTTCTGAGGTGTGATCAAAGACCTAGTGAATGCTGCTGCCGAGCGCCATCCAACAGAAAGGCAGCTCTTAAAATCAGGATGCTGGGTCCTCATCTGCCTTAGTTAGGGAGTCTGGTGCCGTGGGACCTTAGCTCCTCCCCAAAGTCAAAATAACTGTGACAGGGAGACGGTGTAAATCCATTCAGGACATCAAGGCCGCCAGGACAGCACAGCTAAAGCCCCTCAAGAGAGAGGATTCCGGAGCTGCTGCAGCAAGTGGCCGGGGTGATGGAAAGAGTGTGTTAGAGGCCACAGGCAGGACTTAAAGGGGGATTCATGCCAATGTGTCTTTTACTGTGGGAAATTTAAACACCATGTTTGTTGATCATAATGCATAAAAGTCTGAAAGGTCCACTACTAGGCCTATTATATTACTGCCCTGTACTGGGTATATCAGTGCCTTTCTCATTTCGGGCACTCATCCTTCTTCCCGCTTCTGCCCCTTCCTCCCCCTCCTCTCCACTCCTCCCTTTTCTTCCGTCCTTTTTTGATGTAGCCCAAGGTTGCAAAGCCCCGTCAGGTCATGTCCTTCCGTGCATGCACCGCCACGGAAAGCACAGCTTGGCCGAAGCTGGGAGTACTCGCTCCCTACCGAGAGCCACATAGCTTGCACTCCAATCCCCGGGCACTGCTGCTGGGCCTGGACAGCAGAGTCCAGCAAAGTCCCTGTCACTGTGCCCGTGCCCCTTGTTTGTCAGAGCTCAGCCCTCTGAAGGGAGGCCCTCCCGCAGACCCCAGCCCGACTCGGGGTTGTGCCTCCAGGGATGGCAGGGTGCTGGGCAGGAGGGAAGAAGAGCCTGGTCACCCCTGGTGGAATCTGGGATCCTCCCACGGGCTGTGGACTTTCTAGAAAAAAAGAGAATCTGGGGGTGGTTCCAGCATGTCGGGAGGCCGAGTCAGGAGGATCCCAAATTTGAGCCCCATTTGGGTGAATTAGAGACTCACATAGATCCTGTCTCCAAATTAAAAATAAAAAGGGGTGGGATGTAGCTCAGTGCAAATCTCCAGAACCACTAGAAAACCCCAAAAAGCAAAAACCAAAACAGAAACAAAACTAGCTCTAATGGCCCAGGTGCCCCTGTCACACCGGAGCGAGGCCCCGTGAGCCCTGGTGTGGCTGGGGCAGAAGGGCCTGGCTGGCCCACTTGCTGGCCCGGGGTCATGGCATCCTGACACCGGGTTCCGGCCCCAGCCCCAGCCCCAGCCCCAGCCGCACCCATGCCGGTCACAGTCCACGGTGACTCCTTGGGTAAACGCTGTCCAGACTCTTTAGTCAAACAGGGCCGTGGTATAAAGACAGTGCCGCTGGCTTCCTGGCCGACTCCTGTCTCTCTGCAGCCCAGGGGCCAAGTGCGATGGCGCGCAAGGTAATCTGCATCCTGGCCATAGTCCTCATGCTGGTCCTCAGCGCGCTGGCTGAGGGTGAGACAGGTAAGGTGGCCTCGTGCAGTGGCCAGCGCATCCCTGGCCGGTCCTGTCTTCCATGCTGACCCTCAGAGCATGCTGCCATTAGTGTCACACTGTGATAGGAATTTTTGGCTTGGGCTTACACCATGCCTCATAGCATTTCCAGAGGTGCATGGTGCTGCACATCTGTAGCCCAACACTTGGGAGGCTGGGGCAGGAGGATCCCCACAAGTCCGAGGGCAAGTTACATAGCAAGTTCGAGTCCAGCCTGAACCTCACAGGGGTAGCTGTGGTCTCGAGGGCTGGGTTATCAGTGTGGGCTGGCACGCCAGTGGGCAAAGTGTTTCTGATTTGGATATTTTTGTATATTTGCATTATTGTACCTCTTTCAGTGAAAGAGGGCAGGGAGTTGGCAGGGTCTGTGGAAAGCACTTCCCGAGCTGCGAGGTTCCAGCCCACTGTCGCTGGAGACTGGAGACTGAGTTTCCAGGGAAAGGGACAGCAGAAAGGGCTGCCAGCATCCCCAAACCAAGGGTTCCCCCAGAGGGGACAGGAAGAGCTGAGGGTGTCTCCTAAGGGGGCGTCTCCCAAGGGGGCATCTGTCAAGTGGGCATCTCCCAAGGGGGAGGTGTTGGGGCAGAAGGAATAGGGAGCAGCAGGCCATGTTTCGGAGCCAGAGGGAGTGGGCAGGAAGGGACAGAGGTCCCCGGCAACCTGGTCAGTGTGACAGCCCACAGAGCCACACATGGGCACAGCCCCAGGCAGCCCCTGTCACCCCGAATCCCCCCAGGACCTCGAGGGCCTGGGGTAGATGTGGAACCGTGACAGTGATGGCTTGTGTCACCTCCCACCTCAGTGGGGTCCTAGCAGGTTGCCCTGAAATACAGCCCCAGGTTAGGCTGTGTCCAGGTCCCCAACAGCAGCAGGTCCCCACCTGCCCTTCTTCTTACCCACGTCGCCACGGTCCTGTGCGGGGCTGTCCAGCGGCTCTCTGTACTCCCAGCCTGCAGTTGCCCAGTCCCTGCTCTGCATGGGCCCCACCTCACCCAAGCCCCCAGCCCCACTCGAGTCCCTCTCACAAGTGACTCAGCTGCCTCCTGCAGGATGCCCTTCCAGCTTTGTCCTTCCGCCCTGGCCTGGGTCCACCCGGAAGCCCCTCTGTCCCACGCTTCCTCGGCACATGTGGAACCCGTACCATGCTGCCTTAGACCTTACACCCTCAGCTCTGAGCGACAGCGCCTCCCTTCCGATGTCCCGGTCCCTGTCATCCTGCCTGTCATCCTGCCATCGAGTGCCTGATGGGTGCATGTGACTGTCACTGTTTGTGGGTTCACACTGCCCGCCGTGATGCGCACGGTGAGGTCCCCGGGCAGGCAGAGCGCGTCCCGGGCACTGTGGCCTCTGGCCCACTTATCCCGATTCCCGCCAGGGACCTGTGACGTGGCCCCCAACCAGCGCATCAACTGTGGCTTCAGTGGCATCACGCAGAAGGAGTGCGAAAGCAGAGGCTGCTGCTTCAGTAACAAACACCGCGGGGTGCCCTGGTGCTTCATCAAGCAGCAGGTCAATATGGAAGAAGGTACAGCTGTGGGGCCTGGGGTGTGGGTGGGAAGGACAGTATTGGCTCCTCCTGTTGGGCGGAAACCACAGTCGTTTCCAAGTGAACTCACGGTGCCTCTCCTCTGACTCCCCAGAGGACGAGTGTCTCTTCTAGTGGCAGCCACAGGGACCTGCTGGCCTCCAGACCTGGCACCATCCTGTGCTCGGCGGCCTGGAGCTCAGCCACCAGGAGAACGAGCTTTTCCCTTCTGCAGATGTAGAGCGACGTCCTGACTTGCGGTACTCAGAATTGGCTTAAAATTAAAAGAGAGGAGCGGTGACTTGTGCCTCTTGTCTTTCACAAGTACACGTGGCAGTTACCTCTCTGGGTCTTGTCCCGACCCACTGTCACTGCGGCCGTCTCCGAGAGCTGGAGTGGGCGCTGGCGGGTGGAGCCTGCCGTCTGCTGTGTGGTCGGCCTGCTCACCTCTCCCACTCCTGCAGGCGCCCCGGCTCCTGTCCCCAATGTTGCCCACATGACACTTGTCCTGCTTCTGCCCTCTACTATTCTTCTTTCCGATATGGCAACTGGCTCGGAGCCCCAGCACACATCTGAAAGGGTCAGCAGTCACGTGCAAAGGGCAGTGGGGGGCTGGCATCTTGGGGACCCTTCCCCACCCCGAGATCTAAACAGAAAGAGAGGAGAGGGACTCAGAAGCCAAGGTCACTCAGTCACCTGATGCTGACACAGCCAGAAGCAGAAGAAAGAGCCATTTGCATCTGCCTGCTGCTTCTCAGTCTGTGTGGCCTGAGAGATGGGCACTGGGGGTGGGGCCCGGAGCGCCCTGTGGAGAGCAGGGAAGGGGCACCCCACTCCGTCACTTTTATTCCTGCAAGCTCAGCCTAAGGCCAAGCTGGGTTCCCAGCTTCAATGGAGCTACCACCTGCACCCTTGTTCCTGGGGACGCCAGTGGCCCTGCAGCCAGCCGGGGAAGGGATGCTCAGAGCCCATTGGGCTGCTCTGCTCAGCCAGGGAATCACTTCCCAAGCCCTTGGCCTCTGGGGTGAGGAGCAAGATGCCGAGAAGGGGGAGAGTCTCTCCTCCGAGACAGGGACCAGGAACAGGAAGGCCCTGTCCCCTGCACACAACAGGGAGCAGTCACGGCTCAGGACCCTCATGAGTCCTCTGTGTGACATGGCATGGTAGTTGTCATGCTTATAATGCCTGGCACAGGGTGCATGCAGATAGCTGTCATCTTGTGTCCTTGCAGGGGAAAAGGACAAGAGAAAACACAACCAACCAGGTGTGGTGGTGCACACCTATAATCCCAGCACTCAGGAGGCAGAGGCAGGAGGATCTCTCCAGTTGAGGTCAACCTGGGCTACATAGTGAATTCAAGGCCAGCCTGAACTATACAGTGACACTTGGTTTGAACAGCCAGAAAACTTGGCTGGGGATGGAGCTCGGTGCTAGAGAGTGTCTGTCGTGCAGGAGGCCGAAGTTCGATCCTGTCTTGGTTACTTTTCTCTTGCTGCTGGGACAAAATACTTGACACCCAAAATGAAGGAAGAAAAGGTTTATTTAGCTCACAGTTTGTGGGGGTTTCAGTCCATAACCAGCTGGCTCCAAGGCAGGGTGGCTCATGGCACAGGGGCAATACATCAAAGCAACAGATAACAAAAGCTGCCAGGGCACACATGCACAAAGTGGGAGCAGGTGGAGCACCCCTGCAATCCCAGCACAGTGTGAGGCTGAGTCAGAAGGATGGCAAATTCAAGCCCAGTCTAGGCTACTTGGTGATTTTGCAAGATCCTGTCTCAAAATATAAAATCAATCAATCAATCAATCAGTTAATCAGTCAAAGGCCTGACCTTTGCATGAAGGTGACCTCAGCATAAAGGCCCTGGTTTCCATTCCCAAGAGGAGAGCAAAATCACACTCTTCTTAAGCCTCCTGTGTAGGTGCAAAGTTCAGATGCCTTTGACCCTGGCCCACTGTGGTGTGAGCCTGTGAGCAGCACATGGCCGTGTGTGCCCTGCCTTGGGCGCTGGGCCAGGATGGGGGCGGCCCCTCCAGCGAGCTGCAGACTAATGGGGCTCCCCTTTGTGTGTCCCTGGAACACCTGATCCAACAGCCTCTGCTGGACAGACACTCGCTCTGGGCCCTTGGAAGCTCAGCCGGGGGTCCTCTCAGACCCCACTTCCTGGCCCCTGGGAGGGGACAGTGCCCTCTTCATGCCCCGCCCTTCACGTGGCATGGCCTCGGGAGTGGCTGGCCTGTGCTTGGGGCATGGCCCGGGTCCTCTGGGGTCCTGCTGGTGTCCTGCACCCTCTCCCATCATTCTCAGCAGGGAGGTGGGGTCCCCGAGACGTGGTCCACCTGCTCCTGCCCTCTTTCCTGCCCAGTGTTTGCTCCGTAAGGAAAGGGGAGAAGCTCACCTTCTCACCTCTTCTGGCTGGAGGTGGCCACAGGACTGTGGCTGTGAGACACAGAAAAGCAAAGGCTTGAGGAGGCTTTTCTTTCTGAGTAAAAGGAGGCTCCCTGGCCAGGCATGGCAACCAGGCTTTGGATGTCTTGGTGCATGCCACCTTCTGGTGCTTCAGCAGCCATTCTATGACACTGAGGAAAAGCCCAGAGCTAACACCTGGGCATCCTGGGGGTCTCTGATTTGACCTCTTTGTCTCCAGATGCTGTGTTCACTAAGCCAAGTGTCCTCGTGGGTGACCTGCTGCTTGCTGGGGTTCCTGCGACTTTCCCAGAAATAAATGGCAAAACTAACATTGAGAACTTAGGCATCCCCAAGCCTAGCTGAAGCTGGAGGTTCACTGAGAGTCACCTCCTTCTGGTCACTCACAGCTGTGATGACCTCCAGGCAGGCAGGGGCCCCCTGCTGGGGCAACCAGTAGAGCAAGCCACACCTTATGGGCAGCTATCAGGCCAGGTGACGGGGAGACACTGCCACACTTTGGCTTCCCCAGTACCTGCAGGTGGAGGTGGGTCTGGGACAGTCGCTTCCTGCTGCCCTTCCCTCGAGTTCCCCTGCTGGCTGCCCCCTACTGGATGTGACCTTGGACCCTGCATCGGGACCGGGGCTCCTGGACACCAGGGTGAGAAGGGGCCCCGGCCACCCACGGCAGCTGCCCCAGCAGGGTGATGGGGTTGGTGTGGGCACCGGCCAGTGACTTGGCCCGAGGGTGTCTGCCACCGGGACAGCCACTCGGGGCAGGAGAGTCCAAAGATGGTTGGCAGAGGGGATGCCAGGGTGGGCGCATGTGGGGCCAGGAAGCCTGGCAGGGAGGTTGGCAAGGGGACTGCTGGAAAGGGGTGCACAGGCACAGGGCCCAGAAGTTTCACCCCAACAGAAGCTCATTCGAGTGAGGCACTGATGCACTGCCCTGACTGTGATCCAGCACACTTGGAGCCAGGGGAGGATTCTGAGGGGGGCTCATGGTCACGCGGCTTTGCTGTAACAAAATTGTAGATGTAAATGGTCCTTGTGCTTCATGCTCATGTGCTGTGGGCACCTGTTCACTGCAGTTTCTGCCAAATGAAATCGTGACACCACGGCTTCATCCTCCTCGGTCACTGGCTCTGGCCCACTGTGATTCCGGCTCCTCCCCAAGCTCAAAATGGCAGTGACAGGGAAAGCTTTTGAGTCCAATCAGGACATGGAGGCAGCCAGGACGGCACCACTGCAGTCACTCAGGAGAGCGGACTCTAGAACAGCAGCGACTGATAGGGGCTGCGTGGGAAGGGCGGGGAGGGCTTTGGGGGCACTGTGGAAAGTAGTTCTTAAAAATCCAAAAGTCACTGTCTTTTAGGAGCACGGTGAGTCCCTGTGCACATGTGTGTGAGCACACCAGGTGCACGTGTGCACGGCCCAGGCCAAGGAGGGAGAGGAGACAGACAGACAGACAGGGCGCTGCCTCTGTAAATGCTGAGTCCTGTCCCCCCTGGGTCCCTGCACCTTGTCCCACATTCTGCCCACCCTGCCACCCCCTTAGTAGCCAGTGCTCAGTGCTTTTGAGCCACTCGGGCTGTCCAGAAGCAGCGATAGGGCAGTGTGTGCCCCGCCCCTGTGGCCATCACGCCTGGGCATGGAAGCCGGCAGGAAGGCAGGCTGGCAGGCATGGGGCACTGGGCCTTGGCGTCCTCTTGGAAGCAAAGGCCTACAGGAAGGAGCACAGCCCTGCTGAGGCGGTGGCCAATGGCTTGGTGGTGGCACAGATTTGCCCTGGGACCCCAACGCTGCACGGGCCGCTTGGTGGTAGGCAGCCTCCCATGTTTGTCTGTTCCCTGGCCACAGGACCAGTCACTCGGGGTGAGTGCCAGCTTCCACGGTCTCTGACAACCAGACAATGCCAGACACTGTTCCTGCTGGCTGTGGTGTCCTGTGCACTGCACTCCTCTCACAGACTCAAAGTCTTCTAGAATGTTCCATGTCACTGAAGCTGAACCTTTTAGAATGTCCCACATCCCTGAAGCTCTTCAGATAAATTGCTAGGGTGCCTCTCACAGGGAGAGACTCACTTTGGGGAGAACACGGAGGCCAGTCAGGTGCCCCTTATCCCTCACCCAGAGTCAAGGTGTGAGTCGGTGAGGGGCCAGGTTCATCACAAGGCTGAGGAGCAGGGAGGTGGTAGGGAGGGGAGGGTCCTGGCTTCCTGTACCCCCAAGGTCCAGCCAACCTGGCATAAAAAAATGAATGTCTTGGCCCTGACCGGCAGTGTCTGCTTGTCTTTGTTTTCTGAAGGACACAGTATGGAGCATGTTTCCATGGCGTGAGTGGCACAGAGCAGCTTCTTGGGCGGCTGTGTGTCAGCCTCCAGCCTCCTTGGCTAGAAGGAAGGAGGCTTTGGAGGAGCTTCCATTCACCCCAAATAAATGCTCACATTGAATTCAGCAGTTAACACATATATAAACATTTATCAATTTACTTGGTTTATACTGTTCCTAAATCAGGGGCTTTTATAGGCTTTTACTATTCTGTTTCTGCTAATGATGTCAGCCCTGTGGGGTCCCCGGGGGGCTGCTGTCCATCCTGCCCTCTTCATCTTGGTTGGGGTGGTGCTTTGCCGTGGGCCCAGAGACTGCAGCCACGGACATCCATGGTCTCAGACTAGGGTGGCTGGAGCTCTGCGACCCTGGCACCAGCCCTTTGGCCCCCTGAAGCCCAAGGCAAATTGTGTCCTACTTGCTGCCACATTACGTGGGCACCTGTCTGTGCCTCTGGGATCCATGTGTCTAACTGGGCTACAGATGGCAAGGAAAAGGCAGCCTCTCGGAGATGAAGAGGCGTAAAGGGGCAGACTGGGCCACCGGGATGCATGTGCTAGGGTGGGTGACACTGCTGGGAGCGGCCACTCGCAGGTCTGTGGGGTGACCCGGAGGGTAAGACAGTGAGAAGCAGCCGGGCAGAGGGCAGCTCAGGATGGGAGCCAGGGCCCTGATTAACCATCCTGTACCTCAGGGCCGGGCTCTGTCACTCCCACATCAGCCACACACCGGGGACCCGTCAGCCCCAGCGTGCGGGGAAACAGAGGTGCTGGGAGTCTCACCCATGGAGAGGATGTGTCATCCCCAAGCTCTGCCCCTCTCAGGAGGACTCTGCTCCCATCACCCGGGCCCAGGATGCGTCCTCCCCACCGTGGCGTCCCTGTCCCCTCCCCTTGCTCGGGCTGTCGACGGAGTCCATGCACCTCGGGTCTGGATGGCCGGATGCAGTCCCCATGTCTTTCTCCTCTGCAGCTGGGCATGAACTCGGAGGCTCTGTGGCTTCCAGGTGACTTTTCAGACAACAATGGGGTTTTGTTCAGAGACTGCTGAGTTAAAGGTCAGGTTCAGGAACTAGCTCCCCAGCCAAGTGTGGCTTTCATCCTACTGTGGGGTAACCAGCCGAGCTGTGGAGCAGTGGCATGGACTGAGGAGACCTTCCTCCTCTCTGTGTGCAGGGAGGGCTTGCAGGTCAACAGCCTTAGTACTGGGGGGCTGGTGGGAAATGTCAGCAGAGGGGAAAGACGTCAAGCTGGCCAGTCCCAGGGCTCGGGACACGCAGGGCAGTGTCTGGAGCCATTGGGAAGGTCACAGAGCATGGCACGGAGCACTCAGCACTCTCCAGGGAATTTCTTCATTCTCTTGGTCTTTATGTGTGCAGAGTTGGACTCTTTGGGTGGGTGGGGAGAGCCCTGGAGGCACCAGGCAGAATCATGTCCACTGAGCCGGCAGGTGCCATGATGGGGAGCTGGTGGCGAGTGGCGTCCACAGAGAAGTGGGCAGTGTCAGCTTTCTGTATCTGGTCCAAGCTGGCTTGGTGGTGGTGATGGGGGAAGGATCGAGCTCCGTGCTCCCTGAGACTGACCTGAGAGCCTGGCATGGTCTCCAGCACCCTGCACAAGAGATTCCCGGGTCAGAGATAAGACTTCGTTACCCCAGCACAGCAGAACCAGGGTGCCTGTGCTGGTTCCTCTGCCCACCAGCCCTGGAGCTACCAGAGAGGAGCTCAACCCTCAGGGTCCGAGCTCACCTGCCCTTTGCACCTGTTTGTTTTCCTGAAATCGGTTGCCCCACAAACCCCCTTGATGGCAATCAGTCCTGCAGGAAGGCCGGCTTTGCCCTCTCCCTGCCCACCGCTGCTTACGGCTAGGGGCTGGTGGGGAGCTCAGCCTTCCCCCATCACCACCACCAAGCCAGCTTGGACTGGATGCAGAAAGCTGACACTGTCCACTTTTCTGTGGACGCCACTCGCCACCAGCTCCCCATAGACCAGTCCTGATCACAGCCTCACAGAGGAGCGTGTGGGCAGAGCTGGGCCCGAGGGAGGTGGTCCAGGCTTCACGGTATCAGCTGGGCGTGGCGGCCTCAGGTTCCTGCAGGATTTGGGATTAGCTTGTTTCAACACTGCTGTGGGCTGCCACGGAGCAGGATCTGATACTCCTGCTCTGATACATGGGCACTGAGCCCGGTCCCCGAAGGGAAAGTCGTGGGCGGGGAGCTTTCCCCTGGTGCTGTGGCCACGATTAGGCCATGGAGGCCACTCGATGCCCCTGGGGGTCACAGCAGCACTGCACACGAACCTGAATTCTAGGTCTCCCGCTGCAGGGCAGCTCCACTCTTAATCCACAAGAGGGAAAATATCTGGGAAACCGGACCGGATCTCCCCATGAGGGTGCTAAGCATGAGATCTAAGACAAGACTGCAGAGGAGCAGAACATGAAGACTTATTCCTCTAACACTTCACTTATAAATAAAATAGAGATGCTTCCATCTTTAGTTTTTAAAATTCATTTTAGGCCATTTAAAGGCTACATATAATACAGGAGTAAGTGCTTTTTTTTTTTTTTTTAAGGGCTAGATTGTCAATATTATAGGCTTTCTGGGCCATGTGGCCTTTGTCACTATAAGCAGCTCTGCCTCGGTGTCCAGAAAGCAGAGATAAACCATCTAAGAAGGAAGGCAAGGCTGTGTCCTGATAAAGCTTGATTTTAAAAACAGAGTGTGGGCCAGGCGTGTTGGTGTACACCTGTAATCCCAGCACTCAGGAGGCTGAGGCAGGCGGATCACCGTGAGTTCAGGGCCAGCCTGGACTACCTAGTGAGACCTGGTCTCAAAAACAAAATAAAACAAACAAAAAACCACTTAGTTTACCTGTGCCAACTCCTACCACATGAATCATTTTATCTTGATGTGCAGTGTCAGCGGTATGAGGGTTTCTGAGTTTAAACACTGGCCAGGTCCTGGCTTACCTTAGTACGGTGTTAGAGTAACAGCGACCAGAACACAGGACGCTGCCCCCACCCAGACTCTAAAAGTCGAGCAGCAGCTTTCAAGGAATGCAGAGAGCAGCACCTGCACCACATGCCCGAGACGGGCATGCACCCTGTGACCCTGGGGACCTCTCTTGTCCCTCTCCTCCCGCACCCTGCACGAACCTCTTGCCTGCAGGATCACGGCTCACTGCTTCTCCTTGCTTCGGCCAGGTCCCTGGCTGTAAGACCCTGTTCCAGACCAACTAGCCTGGTTGACACAGCCAAACCCCAGGAGCCTGGAACCTGGGAAAGGCACCAGGAGTATGTACCACTCGGCCTCCGCCACCAGCATGGGGAACAGAAACACCCCTCCCCGGTAACAGAGTGAAAACATGACCTTGTCAGGCTTTTAGGGGGCCAGGGAGGTGGGGCAGCGTTGGATAAGTCCTCTCCCCTCATGTCACAGATGGAGATGCCAGTCAAGGAAGCAGCCAGGCCGCCTTGGTTTCTGCGCAGACCACGCCACCCCGTCTAGGTGAGGTTGTAGGATTGCAGAAGGTACTTAGCGTGATGCACAACACGAGAGGGCAAAGCTTCTGAGCTCTTGGGGTGCTGTGTCCCCTTCTCTCTCCTACCCCCATCCCAGTACACAGGCTGCTGACACACGGGGTGGATCTGGGGTCCACAGAGTGCGGGGCTCGGGTTGGGCGTGGCTCCCACCCTACCTGGGCTCACTGTGCCGCCACGAGGTGACTGCTGCTGCCACCTGTCATCCTACAGCGAGAAGGCTGTAAAATTTACAGGACACTGCGTCCTCATCCTCCCTGGTCAACACACCTGGCACCGTGTGACTTCCGGCTCCTCCCCAACGGACACAGAGGCAGCCAGGACAGCACCACAGAAGGCCCTCAAGAAAGAGGACTCCCGGCCACTGCAGGAAGCAGCCAAGACGATGGGATGAGTGTGCTCCAGGTGAGGACACTGAGGCAGATCCATGGCGATGAGTCTTTTCCTACGCTGAGTTTTTGAAGTTCTCTTATTTTGATCCGGCCTCACCTCACCTCTTGTCCTCGTGTGCGGTGTACCTTTTCTCCAGTGGCTGTAACAGTTTAGGCCTGATTTCCAACAGCCTGAGTGTCCGGGTCCTGCTGCGACTCTTTGTGTTTCCCTCCCGTAGTGTTCTGGAGCCACCAGGGTTTGCAGCTTTCCGTGTCTCCGCAGCTCACAACGCATCTGGCAGTCATTTCTCCGGACACCGTTCCCTGCCCAGGGCTTCCTCGGCTATCATTCCCTTCCTCTCCTCCGGGCCCCTGAGTCCAGGTGTGTGAGGCTGCTTGGTGTTGAGCCAGAAGTCCCTGACACCCTGTTGCTTCCCCCCAGCCCCTGGTCCTCCGCACTTCACCTGGGTATTTGGTATCGCATCGATTCTGAGCACATGACCGTGTCTCCCACGGTATCCACCAGCCAGGGTCTAGCTGAAAGCCCAGACGGTGATTAGGTCACTTCTGAGGCCCTCGATTTCTTTGCTAAAGTTTCCACGTGGTTCATTTCTCTATCCAGACTCCTTTTCTGTTGTGCTTTCACTGTGGTTTTGTTTCCCTTTAACGATGTGAACAGTTCTGGGCCGCATGGGGCTCCTTCCCCAAGCGGTGGGCACACCTGCCCACTTCCCAGGTGTGGTGACCGCCATTCAGTGCTGCCAATGGGCTGTCCCATCTCTCAGCCAGGGTCTTCTCCAGCTCTCAGGTCTCCGTCATGTCTATTTCCCCAGGAGCTCCCATTCCCAGTGTTGCAAAATTTCCCATGGTGGCCACATACTCAGTAGAGATGCCCAGCTAATCCCTTCCTGGGTGTGACCCCCTGGTGCCCAGCTCCAGCCACGAGCGTGACCCATTGTCCACGTCAGCAACCTGGCACGGTCCGGCTTTCTGTCCAGGAGCCAGTGGCCTCGCCTTTTGGGGCACGGCTTCCTCCTCGGGTAGCCAGGCTATCTCAGTGCCCTGTCCTAACAAAGGACCAAGGAGGGCTGGGGCCGCAGGGTGGGGGAGAGGTGGCTGGGGGTGTTGAGGAAGGTTTCCAAGGCTCCTAAACAAACAGACAGGAGATGATAAAACTGCCTGGCCGGTGGTGAAGGTCCATTCTGCAAGCCACCCCGTGTGCGGCTAAGTGGACATGCGTCCTCAAGATGCCCCACTGCTGGCTGTGGTCCTCATCCTGGGGCTGTGCACCCTAGCGGGGGCTGAGAAACCTTGTAAGTGAGAGCCCCTCGGGCTGGGCCAGGGAGCTGGGACACCTGCAAGCTCCAGGGTTGGGGGGGAGGTCAGCCCCTCACCCCTGTCAGCCTGGGAGGCCGGGACTGCAAAGGCTGATGCTGCCTGAGGGGTTCCCAAGATGCCCCCATTCAGACTCCAAGAAGGGCCGAGACCAAGCTGCAGGCAGGTCCAGGGCATTGGGAGGCCCCAGCCAATCCTGCCCACCTTCCGCCTTGGTCTTGCCCCGATAAGGGTTGCTGCTGCTGTTCTTTTTAACTAAGAAGACAGCTTCAGCAAAGGCTCAGCTCCTCGGGAGGACTGCACAGTCTGGATGCAGGCCTGATGAAACCTGGCGTCCTGGCTGCCTGGGACACAGAGGGTCTCCGAACCCCAGAGCTAGGGGGCCCAAGCTGACCACCGACCTCTCTGCAGCCCCCTGCCAGTGTTCCCGGATGAGCCCAGAACATAGGAAGAACTGTGGCTTCCCGGGCATCACCAGTGAACAGTGCTTCGAACTTGGCTGCTGCTTCAGCTCCAGTGTTGTTGGGGTCCCCTGGTGTTTCCATCCTCTGCCCAAGCAAGGTACCCCCAGAGCTGGGCCCTCTTCCAAACACAGGGTGAGGGTGGCAGCATGGGACCCAGGTTCTGGGCAGAGTCCAGAGCATTGCGGGCTGTTGGCCTGAACCTACCGAGGGCCAGTTAATCTAGGCTGGGCATGCCAGGCTGGTTAGTCTCTGACCAGTTAGTGTAGGGCTTATCTGTTTAGTCTAGAGACTAACCAGGCAGTGGTGGTGAACCTATGGCATGAGTGCCACAGTGGACTATTTGTTATCATTGAATGGTCTACAGGGTTTGCCATGCCTGCCCTGGGGCCTGGTCAGGCTAGTGAGTCTGGGGCTGGCCCAGGCTGGTCAGTCTGGGACTCACCTGGGCCAACCAAAACAGTGTTGAAAGTGCCTCATTCTCCCCGTCCACATCATTTGCCCTTCTCGGAGCCATGTGTATGGACCTATCTGTTCTGCTTCCTTTGGGGCCAGCAAAATTATTCACGTTCCTTCCAATTTCAAACCTGTGCCTTCCAAAATAGCCTCCAAGAGGAAACGGATACTTTTCTAGAGCGTCTCGATGCTCCGGCAGCGGAGCTCGAGAATCCAGCGTGTGAGCTACGGGTCAGAGCCTGCTGTCAGGTCCGGGTCTCACCACCCGGGTGTGTGCAAAGGAGCTGTATGTGAGCCCCACCCATGAGCATGGACCTCGGCCAGGTGTCCTGGTCCACACACCCAGGTGTCTTTCCTGTCTGTGACCATGGCTCAGCACTCACTGGGCCTGGCTGGGAAGCCAGGGAGCCTCAGTGGGAGTGAGGCTGTTCCCCAGGCCAGCCTCGAAGGGCTGTGGGCTGCCTGCCCCATTCCTGGAGCAGAGCTCGAGTCCGCAGAAGCAGGGTGATTGTCCTCAGCCCAACCTGCTGTGCTCCATTCTCAGTGAAACAAAGCCAGCTGGGGGACTTTGGTCTCTAGAGACACCTCCTCTAGATCTACAGAGCCTGCCAAGCCAGAGTCCCCGTGGGTGGCGGGCCTGAGGCCTTGGGAGGTCACCAGCCTCATGGGGTCTCTGCACTGTTCTGCCCGGGCCAGAGACCCAGGAGTGCGTCATGGAGGTCTCGGCCCGCAAGAACTGTGGCTACCCGGGCATCAGCGCTGAGGAATGCGCCTCCCGGGAGTGCTGCTTCTCCAACGCCATCTGGCAAGTGCCCTGGTGCTTCTTCCCTCAGTCCGTGGAAGGTAGGAGGCTGTCCTGGGAGGTTGCGGGTGACTGTCACAGGCCACAGTGCTGTCCAGCCAGGCTGCGTCTGGAGACCCCCAGTCGCCTCCTTCTTGAAGTAGAGCTGCTCCACCCCTCCCCGCTTGCTGGTGTCCCTGGGTCCTGGTATTGGTCTGTGTCTGTTCTGCTCCGTCCCGGGTTTAGACAGACAGAGAGCCTTGCACCGTGTGGCTGGAGGGCTGGGCCGGGAGCGAGGCCTTTGTCCTCCCTTCTGCCATACCTTTGTGTGCTCCCCACTGCGGGTCCTCCCTGGCACAGCCTGGAGGGCCTACCCCAGTGGCCGGCTTGCCACCCTGCATCTGCTGGATGGTGACAGGAAGCCCTGTTCCAAACCAGGGCAAGAGCCCAATGGTGGGGAGCCGCTTTCCGGGTTTTCCTTCTCTCAGGGTTTCCTTCAGCTTTTAGAGCTCTCCAGGTAACCTCTGAGGTGGCTGGAAGGTTCCCCTGCAAGGTTTCCCACGCTCAGGGGGGATCAGGTGCCACAGGGAGCACCCTAGGATGAAGTGGGGGTGGGTGCCCTCAGGAGGAGACCCTGGCACAGGACCTGGGCTCACCCGAGGCTCCGCCCCACTTCTCCCTTCTCCCCCTGCAGACTGTCATTATTAAGAGGCACCGAGGCGCAGGCTGTGGAGGGCCTGCCCCGCTCGCTTGCTGCTGCAGAACCGGAGAAGAAAGCTCGCCGTCCAGCTTCAGGTCTCGCATGTCCCTGGGTTTCCTCCATGGTCCTCTGATCCTTCCCCAAGGCTCCATACACAGCTGCTTCCAATAAAGAAAAACCCCTTCACTCTGGCCAGGCTTCGCTTTGATTTCACAGACACGAGGGTAGCAACGATAGTGTGTATGTGTGCGCGCGCTTATGAACGAGTGTCTGTGTGTGTATACGTGAGTGAGCATTACCACAGGCGGAAGCCATTGTGTGCAATTTAAACCCCCTCCTTTCCCCTTCCGGGCTCCAGCAGCTCTGAAACCCCCCAGGGACCTTGACCCTGGCGAGCGGCCTTTGGCTGTGCTGATGAATCACTCCCCATTTCCCCTGTGGAGCCCGGCCCGCTGGCTTTGGACGGGGCACGAGACTGTGTTGGCCTCCTTTCTGGGTGGTCGGGAGCATCACCAGGACCAGACAGGGCCAGCAGTACAGTCTCTCCCATGTCTGTCCCCCTCTGCCTGACAGCGGCCTCCATCACACGCCCGGCTGGAGTGTGGAGGGCGGAGCTGGCCTCACTGCCTGCCTGCCCTGGTGACTGTGTGTGTCTGCTCCACGGGGCTGTGGTGTCACCGAACTAGGGCTGGATCTACTGAGTGATGACATAGACTGGGCTCACTGTAGCTTTGCCTTCTTCCTCCTCCCTCCCCTTGTGTCCCACTCGGAGAGCTCCAGGCATCTGCCCTGGAGGGTGGTGACCTTCAAACACGGCTCCTTGAGGTATGGATCCCGCCTGAGCCTGCTCTGGGGATTCCAACCCTCTCCTAGGGTTTCTAGGGAGCTTCCTCCCTGCCGCCCCTCCTCTCCATTCCATCTCCTGATGGGTGCAGACGTGGTGCAGGATGCGGATGGGTTGGTGCAGGTCCTCGACGCATGAGCTCCTCAAGGGCAGGCGAAGGCCAAGTGGCTCGGCCCTGGGTTCCACCGCCTGTCTGTCCCCTAGCTCCCTGGGCTTTCTGGCCGGCAGCTCAGGTAAACAAGGTGCCTTGGGAAGTGATTGAAGGGCGATGTCAGCCCCTTGCTGGCACAGGGGTCTGCAGGAAGGCGGCCACTGTGCAATGGCCTGGGCAGGTCACCTGGAGAGGGCCTGTGTTTCCAAGTCCCAGGCTCCTATTTACAGTTTTGGGGAACAGTGACGAAACTCTCCGTTGGCCTGAGGGTCGGAGGTGAAGTTAGGGCTTCTGGGTGCACAGTGGGGCACAGGCAGTGCACAGGCTGGCCCGAGCCCCTGTGGATACGAAGGTGTGGGGCCGGCCCTGAGCACCACACACCTGTCCCTTAGGGAGCACGCGCTTCTCTTTTGTTGACGCTGCCCCAGAGGAAGCAGGTCTGACCTTGATCAGGGGCCCGGCTGCATGGACCAGTCTACACGGCGGTGTTCCATGTGTACACGGCTACATTCCTGCTTCCCCATCCTTTGGTTCATGTTTGCAGTCCCCTCGCCGACACTGAGGTCCAGCAGCAGTATGGTTACTCTGCTGGGGCAATGTGTCCCCAGCACAGATGTCCCCTGCCCGAGGCCCGTGAGCTCCCCTGCCACGCTAAACCCAATTTTCTCTAGCTCTACTTCAAGAGCAAAATCACCAAGGAAAAGAAAACTCAGAAAACAGCTCAGAGGAGGGCCACTCGAGCCTCCATGATCTGAGACAAGGAGGCAGGGGTTGGCCTCCTCTGGCCTCGAGTGGGCAGACACCTGCTGGTGACTCAGGTTTGTCACCATCACTCATGTCTGAAGTGCCACAGGTATGGATCTGGGGGTACAAGTGAGCTTTAATGAGTAGCGGAATTTGCAAACAGGAAACCCATGAGTGCTGAGGTGTGATCGCACATCCGTGATATGTGTGACAGTCATCGAACCTGTGACCTGGCCTGGTGGCCACCTCCTTTCCCCAGGGAAAGCCTAGAGTCTGCAGCTCCAAGGAAACAGGCACAGATCGCACGTGGCCTCGTGTTTCTCTTGGCCAGAGCTGGGATCACAGTCAGGCTGCTGGGGCCTCGGGCACCACTGCATGGAGACAGCAGCCTTTCTGTGCATGGAGGTTCTCTGAAAGTGTCACATCAGTGCTAGGGCCACTGGAATGTCGTGTGCAGGTTGAGGGCCAGAGCTCTCTCGTGCGTCTTTAGTCCCTTTTGATACATTGACCCCCAGCCTCTCTGCCTGACCTCGATATATTGGGAAAACATTTAGAAGCCACTGCTAAGCCGGCAGACCTCTAGTCTGCCAGACTAAAAGCTGGGCTGCTATCATATCCAGCCAGGCATGGGGGTGAGGTGGGAGGAGGCTGTCATCCCAGCAAGCCAGGAGGCTGAGGCAGAGGGATCACAAATTCAGCCATGGTGTGGGGAAAGCCTGTCTCAAAAGCTTTAAAATATAAAAAATAGGCTGGAGACGGAGCTCAGTTCAAAGCCCTGGGTTCAAACCCCAATCATGCAAAAATTAATTAATGCATTGAAAAAGAAGGTCTTCTATCAGAGACTTGCATGAGCTCTCCCGGCTCTGCCCAACTGCCCACCGGGGACCTGCTTGCATGCCTTTCTCTGTCCTATGACTGAGAAAGTCCGCATAAGCTGGTCATGGTCCTCAGGACACACCTCCATCTCCTTTGGCTCAGCATAAACTGTTCTCTGCTTTGGAGAAAGGGCCAGGCTGACGGCTCCCTGCATCCTCTGCCTGGAGGGCAGCACCGTCCCTTGGCCACCCTGGGACACGGTGCCCCTCCAGCAGACACCCCATGTCTCCAGGCCATGTGGCTCGGGGCTGGTTACCACCCAGAGGCCCTGATGTCCCTCCCTGCCAGTCAGCACCCCTCATGGCACCCTGTTCCCTGGCCTTGTTCACCAGGGCCTGGTGAAGCCTGGGAGGGTGTAGTACAGTTCTGGGAATTTCCCTGGCTTTTGGGTGAGGCAAATGGGCCAGGACAAGGGGAGGTGGCCTGCCAGAGGGGCTGACCATGCAGTCCCTGCTGGACCTCCTGGCGTGTCCATGGCGTGTCCAGCTCAGAGGAGGGCCACTTGAGCCTCCATGATCTGAGCCAATGATCTGTCCCTCCATGATCTGGGACAGGCTGACACCAGCGCACTGGGTGGCTGGGTGCCCTGAGGTCCAGGGGCTGACAGTCCCTGAAGCTGTCCTCTGCTCAACACTGAATCTCAGTTGGCTTTCATGCAGCACAATCAGAACTGTGGCTCTGAGGAGGAAGTGACAGAAATTCCTTCGAAGATTGGACTCAGGACTCAGGACTCAGGAAAGCCCCTCCTGTGCACCTGTGCCTGGCCTCCAGCGCTCTCTGGTGGCCCACCCGGGGACTGTCATCCCACCCCACCTGGTTGAGAGGCAAGGGTCGCCCACCTGGTACTGCCTGGCAATCGCCTTTTCATCTGCTCAGGACACCGTGGCCCACTCGTGACACTGACCAGGAACAGTTATGCCTTGAGATCTGAAAGATGGGGGGATCATTCATGCAGAATAAAATCCACCTGGTGCAAGTGACTCATTAGGAAGTTTTGGTGGACATGGCCACCATCCAGCTGCAAGAGGACCTCATCTTCACCCCCAAACCCGCCCACGCCCCACAGTCAAGGCTTTGGCCCTGCTTCTGCCCCGAGGGTTGGCTCGCTAGGATTTCCCCCAAGTTTAACCGACAGTGTGGAATTCGGGATCTCATCTCCTGTGCCAGCTTCCCGTCACCCAGACCCAATACCCAACACCCACAGTTAAAAGGGGGACAGGGGCCTGTGGCCTACGGCTCAGGGTTCAGTCTGGTGGGCACATCAGGGAGAGACGTGTCCTGTAAGGCCACCTCTGCTGGGGACCTGGCCAAGATCCCAGCTGCCTGCATGAAGGGCACAGGACAGGATAATGAGACACAGAGACGAATTTAGTAATGCATAACTTGGGGGTTAAGAGGTCAAGGCGTTGGGATGGGCAAAAACAAAGACGCCCGAGCCAGCCACTGTTTATGGGTGCATACAGCGAGGGGTGAGTGATGGCCCAGCAGAGGGCTGTGGCAGCCTTGTACTGGGAAGGTCTCAGGCTGATGAGGATCAGTGCGAGGAGATGGAGGGCACGGAGTTTGTCCTTTCCCCATTACTGCTGGGTTCTTAGGGAACCAGGATGTCTTCAGAGGATGCAGTCTTGCCCTGGGACATCATGGCATCAGGCCACCACTGGGGCCTCAGCTGTGATGGAAGACACAGTAGCAATGGAGTAATATAATCCATCACTGAGGTCAGTGCACCCAAGACCCAGTCACCTCAGTAGTCAACGTGACAATGAAGATTCTCTGGGACCTCTTCTTTCACGCAGCACACAGATATCTGGACTCATCTTGCTTGCTGTGTGTGGTGATAACACATCTTTTTCTTCCCTGCATAGTATTCCATGGTGGTGGGCATTTTTCATGATGTACTGTCCACTTCTCAGTTGTTTTCAGGTCACTATGACATGAATCAAGCTACTGGGAACACTGTGTACAAGCCTTAGAATACATTGACACCTGGCTGGGTGGATGGCTTTTCCCGATGGGCTTGCTGGGTGGTGTGGGTGTGTTAGAAGAATCAGGAAGATTGCTCTCCAATGCAGTTGTACCATTTTCCGTTTCCACCAACAATGGGTGGAGATGCCCGCTGCTTGGCGCCCACTTTAGCTCTGTTAGGTGCGTGAGGTGGCCTCCCATTTTCCTTCTCCCAGAAGGAAAGGCGTGGAGTCTCTGACGTGTCAGACTCCTGACAGCTCTTCGGGAGCAGTGCTTGGTCTAAGGTGCTTCCCCGGGCCGTAAGCGTCCACGCAGGTCTCACTCAGGGGTGCGCTGTGTCTGTGAGGGGCTTTTCGCTTCCTTCAGCAGTTCTTTCAAAGAGCAGATGCGTTTTAGTTTTGATGAAACTTAATTCTTCCCTTTAGGGTCTGCCTTCTCGATTCCTGGCGGAGAGACATCTGGCTAATCCAGGCCACGCAATCTCCCCCCTGTTTTCTTCTAGGAGTTCTGTAATTGTAGTTCTCCTGCCTTGGTGTCTACCACATACTCCCAGGCCGTGGCTTAGCCTGGGTCTGTCCACGTCCTCGCTGCCCGTCTGCTGGGCGACCACT